CGAGAAGGAGGATGAAGCCAAGAAGATGCAGGAAACGTCACCGGTTGAGATGCCAACCCCGCCGTCGCGGCGCGCGCTGAAGGACCTCGACGCCAACTCGCCCTCGCCGCAAAAACCGCAGCAAGTATCTCCGACCAAGTCGCTCGAGAACGAGAACCAAGAGGCCGGAAGCCCGCGTCGTAGCACACGCCCGCGTGCCCCGCCAGTACGCCCCTCTACAGTGGCGGCTGCAGTGCGCAGCACCTTCGCTCTCCGCCGTGCCAAGGGCAACGAGTTTGTGTTTCTCCAGCGGACCGAGGCCCAAGAGCTCGCTCTGGCCACGAAACGCAACACGCGGTTCAACAAGGGCAGCTCCACCATGCCGAAGCAAACACTGCATGTTCTTCAAATTCACAAAAGCTACACCACTCCGATCGGTGACGACAAAGCCAGCCCTGCTCCGGTGGCTCGAGAAAGTGCAAAGGCCAAGAAGCATGTGTCTTGGAACAACAACCGACTCGTGGAGTTCGAAGGTGAAGACGCCAATGCGACCGGTCACAAAAATGACGTCGCTGGTGTGGGCCGTGGGGTAACGCATCAGCGCAGCACGGACAAACCCTCCGATGTGAAAAGAAAGGCAGCCAGTGGCCGCACGACTCGGTCGCAGACGGGGCAGAAGACTGGTGGTGAGACGGTCCCCGACGCAGCGACTACTGCACCCGCTACTGCAACGCCGCGGGCGCGGCGCGTGCGCGGAGCGTCCGGGCCCGAAACCACGGCTGTAGCTGCTCCCACCTCTTCTCCCACCTCGTCGTCTGCATCTTCCGGCAATGATAGTCCCCTCGGTCAACGCAAGAAGTTGATCCCCAAATCCCCCAGGAAGACGATCGAGACCCCGTCCAAGGGGAACAGTGCCACCGCCAGCATGACAAGCAGCAGCAGCAAGACATCACTCCGCAGCAGTAGCACGAAGACGAGTCTGCTTAAGGTCAATGCGGGATCGACGCCGGTTGCCAGACGGATTCGCTCCCGTTCGTGAAGTCGTGGTTGGGGGAGGAGGTAGTGTGTGATTGTTCGATTATTTGTACATACTAGCATGGATGGCGTGGGTTTTCTTACTGGATGCATAAAATAGGCGTTTGGGCTGTTATCTCGCTTATTCGGGTACTCGAATATCACATACTGCTAATATCTTCGGTTTGAGTGCCTGTGTTGAGTTTGTATCGTCTATACTGTGCGGATGTATTCCTACCTAAAGCCATCAGTCTATGCCTCGGTAAATGATCTGATGCCTCAGGCATAAGCATGTTTTTCATCCCAGGTACAGTAACTTGGTCGTGTGACCTTCGCTAAGGATGCACGCTATTATGCAGTGTGCATTTCTCAAACATGAAATATCTGCCTCTTGATTGATAAGATGCGGAGCTTCATAGAAGAGAGGGTATCTGATTTTTAGCTTTCACAAACCTTGGGTCTTGTCCTACAAGATGCCGCTCTTGGATTCGGGTTGTATATAAATTCCCGTCGGCATGGCAGGCACTTACTGTGCTGATGACAGATGAGCATCAACATTTAATAGTCATCAAGAATCATTTACCAAAGGATTCAAATTTATATTTTCAAAAGTAGTAAGATCTATCATTCGCTAGGTTTTCTTCCTAACTTCCACTAAGGACTAAGTAGCAGACCGTGTTCAATCTACACTCAAACTGGTATACAAGATTTGCAGTTTTGTTGATGGACTTGACCTTTCTATAATTTTATTATTTACCTAGCTCCCATAGCATAATCGTAAAGCTAGTCAGACAGAGGGCGTGAGTTGTCACTCGTTCATACCAAGATTTGAAGATAGTATTGCTCTTTATTGTTGTCTGCCTGTCTGTATTGCTATCTCGTTGAACGGTCTTTAGTATAGCTTAGGAGTCAAACCGGTATATGTATCTATCAATCTGTACTACGAAGTGCTGCAAGGATGAAGTGATCTCCAGGAGCTAGACTGGCGAGATTACTATGGTCAAGGCTCGTCGTCCCCTGTTTTGTGTGTGGGTGTAGTAGTTCTTCTATGAAACCTGCTAGGAGCAGATCATCCACTTCTCTGACCCGAGCAGAGGAAACACTCCTATTATCCTTCCACGGAGCGAAGAAAGTAGGGGAAGAAGGGACGAAGGGATAAAAGTAGCGCGCACCCAGCACGTTGGACAAGGAACTGCCTCTACAGGTCAAAGCAGGGCAGTCAGGATGTTCCGGCGTTCCCTTCCCATGGAGACACGCTTACTGATAAAGAAGAGTGATAGTATGTATCTCATCGAATCCGTACGCGACGAGACAAACGACATCAGAGTATACTCGACTGGCATGAGCCGCAGAGTAAACAGAGAAATCCTCCACTCACCCTCAACCCAACAGAGCCCTCTCAGACCGATATCAGAAAGAGAAACACCCACACGCGACACACCCTGCACGATGATACAATCCCCTGCACGGCTACTGCAACCCTTTCCAGACATACAGTGCATGCACATGTACAGGACGAATGCAGAATTGCCTTGGTCCTCATTTGCGTGTCCAACGTGAGTCAGAACCTCCGCGAAAGCTAACTAGCGATCTACAGGCTACAGACTAACTTACAGCACACCTTAACTTTAATGAGATGTCCGACTTTTGTTTTCTTTTCAACGGTCCTGATGCGGTTTGTCAAGACCCCCCGTCAAGCCACGAAGCAAGGGGGCTGGATTGTAAGGCTACGTGCATGCAGCTCTCTGCTTGAGATTTGCAATAACACCTGGAGAGAGAGGGATCGTTACGATTCCCCAGGTTGGTAAATGGGAGGGGAGCACTGTGACCCGGTAGGGTCGATTTGCGAGGTAAGGAAGTATATACTAGGTACTACCCAGGATGGGGTTTGGCATCAACAACCATAATGACTATACCCAGAAAGTGTGAACATAAACATCAAGCATAGCAACGGTACGAGTAAACGATGGCAGAGAAACAAGCAACCCCGATAAAAGGAATTTACCGCAACTGCCGAGCAAAAAAAAATACATCTTGAGGCTCCAGCAAGATTATAATAACCGCGCAACGGAGAAAAAGGATCTCCAGTTTTTATTTCCCTCTTTCACCCCGCCCGCTCTCCTCGCTTGGAACCATCTCTGTAATGTACACGGAATGGGTATTGCAAGTAGTCGGATGGGTTCAGTTGGAACTCGGGTGCAGTACTAGTTTGATCTTTGGGGATTATCATCGAGGGTACGGGAGATTGATTCTGTCGTGATTGGTAGACTAGGACTTGGTGGCCAGTAGAGAGAAAGAACCGGTTGCCTAAAATGTGGGAACGAACTCATCTGCTGGATGGTTGTTGTTGAGATTGAGATATTGTGTCGGAACTCGGAGAACCCGGTTGGTCGGTTTCTGGTCCTTTGGCTCGTTGGATGGAGATACTCATGTATGGGGACTGTTGGATTCGGACCAACACCGCCCATGTTGACCGTGTTTTCGGGTCTCCATCATCGGTCGATGGAAAATGGACTATCTATGGCTCTACGTAGTTTATCTTCGGAAAGATGACGAAACTGGACCATTTGCAGGCATACTTCGCCATACTCCGACTTCTGGTGGGTTTGACGGTTGTAGCAAGCAAACACGCAGACAATCGATCAAAAGTGTAATAAACATTCAACAAGAAGCATCAAATGGTGTACCTGAAATTCCCCGATAGATAGATAATCATTAACCCCCCCGACGAATCAAAAGCAAAGCAACCCCCTCCCTCCCCACTTTGTTGACTGGATGTTTTGGAAATTTGTAGCATTAATGCCTCACAAATGCCTGCCTGCCTCACTCTACAAATTCTAATCCAAACACCCACCTTGCCAGACACCATTCATTCCAATCAATGTACATACATCTTCTACGTCACTCATTTCCCTGGCCCCCCCTTTTATGGGTTGTTCCCCCGGTTTAGGTCTAATTGGAATGCCGAACTGCAAGCCACCAAATCCCCCCCCAGGGAAAATTGATAGGGTTAGGGCAGCCGCACCTGGCGCAGGGCGGCGGGGGATCCACTTTTGCAGTTGCAGTTGCAGTGCCAGCAGGCACAGGCAAGTGCTAAGCTGAAAGCAGAGGCTCGGTGGTGGTTAGGGCTTTGCCGGATTTGTCCACCGGGCCGGGAGTTCAGTTGTTTGCCCGGGTTTTTCCGGTAAACCACCTTACCACCTGTCCGGTTCTGGGAGGGTTGGTGTGCTAGGCTGGCTTGGGTTTAGTGAGGGGCTCACCCCTCGATCGGGTGTTGACGTTGACGTTGCTGTTGCTGTCCACGGTTGCTGTTGCTGTTGCTTGCTGGTGCTGGTGCGGGTGCTGTTGCGTTGCTACTTTTGCTTTTTCCATGCTACTCGTACAACCACCACCACTGTACGGAGACAGTACATAAAATCAAGAAAAACTCGACCAAGGCTTAAAACCACCAAGCACCAACCAAGAAAGATTTTCTTCACAACTTTACTACCTACCTAGTTACTAACTATTCCGTAGTTGTACGAGTAATAATTAAATCCTGGTAAGGTACTAAGTTACTGTTTGTTACACAAGTTCGCAAACTTTTTTTTTTTTTTCGAGTGGTCGGTGCTTGACAGCAAACCGACGTCATCCCGCAGAGGTTAGTTTCCCCCCCCCCCCTTCTGCATGGAGGACTGTCCTCCGAGCTCGAGCTTTTTGGTTTGGTCTGCGTGTGTCGGATGTCGCATTGCATTACTGTTCCTGTACTCCGTACGGCCGTGCTCTGTGTGGACTTTAGGTTGTAACTCGTGTTCAAGGTTATTGGCGGATGGGGAGGATTTAGTTTTCGTGGGTTCTCTTGGGGGGCAGGGATTAATAACTAGTTAGTTGTCTTGACTAATTCGTTACAACCTTGGGAGGTTTGATGATTTTTGGGGGCTGTTGCGTTGTCTTGCTTACGATGTACGGTTTGCAATAGTTAAATTTTGGTCCAAAAATGTTGAAGGGTCATAATTCTGTATCGTCTAGCTGATAAGAAGATTATCTCATTCCGTCATTTTTTTTATGTCCCGCATAAATCATTAACGCTTGGGTTTTTCTTCTTCCCGTTCCAGGAAAACGCTTAAGCAGACAGGTTCTTGGCCGTCTCCTCGGGCCACACGTCGTAACCGAAGGTATCCTTCATGTTGACGAAGCGGAAGTGCCGGCCCTTGGCGACCGCGTTGACCGCCTCGAAGTCCTCGTCCGACAGCTCGATGCTCTTGAAGTTGGACTCGATGCGGGCGGGGTTGGAGCTCTTGGGCAGGACGACGTAGCCGCGGCGGATGCCCCAGGCGATCAGCACCTGCGCCAGCGTGTTGTTGCCCTTCTGGGCGATCTCGTTCAGGGTCTTGTTCTCGCTGACGCGCTCGCCCGTCGTGGGGACCTGGTTCTGCGAGCCCAGGGGCGAGTAGGCCTCGGGCAGGATGTCGTGGTCGAAGCAGTACTGGACCAGCTCCTCGTTGGGCAGGAAGGGGTGGATCTCGATCTGGTTGACGTGAGGCTTGACCTCGGCGTACTTGAGCAGCTTCTCCAGGCCCTCGATGGTCCAGTTGGAAACTCCGATCGCCTTGACCTTGCCCTCCTTGTAGATCTTCTCCATCGCCCGCCAGGTGGGCTCGGGGTTCTCAGTCAGGTCCTTGAGGATGACGTACTGGAAGGGTTGGTTAGCTGGGATGCTGGTCGCTGGCTGCCAGGGGTCAAGGGATGGGGGGCGTACCTTTCCATCAGGGCCGATCTTGGGCTTCTCCTGAGTCTCCTTCTCGGCGGCAATGGGCCAGTGAACCAGGAACAGGTCGATGTAGTCGAGCTGGAGCTTCTCCAGGGAGTTGTTGACCGACCACTCGACATCCTCGGGGCGGTGCAGGTGGTTCCAGACCTTGGTGCAGATGAAGATGTCCTCGCGCTTGACGGAGGGGTTCTTCTTGAGGAAGTCCTTGACCGCCTGGCCAACCTCGTCCTCGTTCAGGTAGAACCAGGCGCAGTCGAGGTGACGGTAGCCGATGTTGAGAGCGGCAGTGACGGCGTCGTAGGTCTCACCCTTGGATCCCTCGCTGGCGAAGGTACCGAAACCCACGGCGGGGATCTTGACGCCGTTGCTGAGAGTGAAAGTTTTGCCGGAAGACATGATGGTGATTTGCGGTGGATGTGGGGGTTGTTGTTGTTGTTGTTGTTGTTGGGAGGAAAGTTAATGGGAGGAAAAGGAAGAAGAACCGGCTTCAGTTGGGAGATGCGGGAGAAAGGTACAAATAATAGTGGTGGTGGTTTGTGGTGAGTAGAACAGGAAGGATAGAAGTGGGGGAGGGCGTTTAAAGAGGGGTAGTGGTAGTGGTGGTGGTAGTGGTGGTGATGGATGATGCTGCGAGGCGTGGGAGTCACTTTGCAATTGGCTCTCAACTATGACATTAACCTTTTTTCTGAGCTGTTCTACTGAGTCCAGATGAGTTCTACATTGTTCGATGGAGTTTTCTGAAGCTTCTAGCATCGAGGATCGAGGGCAATGGCATTCATTGTGAGCTCATAGCCGTAGATTCATAGCAAGCTTAGATGGATACTATGAGTACTCCGTAGCTCCTCCACCGAAGCTCTTCCTATCCTCTCTAGTTTCCCTTCCCGGAGCGAGCTTCACCCGGCAACATGACGGCATTGCAGTGAAAACCCGTCATGAAACCCTCGGGCTCCCCTCCTCTTCCTCCTCTTCCTCGTCTTCCTCCTGCCTGCCCCCCTCCCCTCCCCACTGCGTATTTTCAGGCCAATCCAAATCCAAAACCCATGACATCACCGGCTCATAATTCAGAGCGAAACGGCGCGAGCGTTTTGAGACCCGCTACTGCCCGCTCGATCGTCATCGGCTCCACCGATCTCAGACTCACCCATGGCTGAGGGTATTGACCTTGACCCAATTATCCCCCGTCCAAGACACCTGCTGGGTCTGTTCTGCCCCCTCCTGTCCACTGGCCATGCATTGTGGCTTCATGCCGGTCGGAAAAGAGGATCCTCTGCCCCCCCTTTTTGCTGAACTAGTCTTAGGCATCTAGGGGGTTCGTCCTGCAGTGGAAATTAGTTATTGGCGGTGATGCCACAGGATAGCCCTGTTCCGCCCCGCCCGTCGAAGGTGGTGTGGTAGTGGTGGTTGTGGTGGTGATGGCAATGATGGTCAGTGATAGCCTCAAGGGAACTGCAGACTTGTTGCAGACTTGCAGATGTGTCGCGGCGGTGATGAGGGTGGAGCAAAATCCCTCATTCTGATACCGTTCAGTACCTCCTATTACGACTCGGTACTTCTGATTTCTTGCCTGTCAGGGGGGATGACACGCTGGGCCGGTATGGTACCGAACAGGGTCCGGGTGGTATTTGAGTGGAAAGATTACCATGGATCTTTCCAGGACTCCACTGCTCTGCTCACCAATGGTCGTTTCCCTACCGACTCCGCTGGCCCCGCTCCTCCCTATCACCACTAATCACCATTCATGTGTGAGTGATGACGATAATTCCTAGGGATGATGATACGCCCCGGTGGAGCCCGGATTGTGGATTCGAGCAACTGCGGATGGCGGATGGAGGGCAGTAAACCCGCAGTAGCAGCAGTAGCAGCAGCAGCAACATGCACCCCATCACCACCACCAGCACCACCAGCACCACCACCATCGACTCCACTATCATTCCTCCTACGTATCGACTGCAGTACGCCGTACCATCCCAGCAGTAACACCTTCAGTAATGTGTTGAACCATCCATCAGAAACATCCCCCATTTCTAGTTCAATGACTTCGGCTGGTCCGCCACTATCGCTCTTCAAAGCTTGTTATATATGATCCCAGCTCTGCCCTCCTCTTTTTCTTCTTTCCTTCCGTCATCCTTCTATCCATTCTCATCTTCTTCTTCCATCACTACCACTTCCTTCCAGGTGAAGAGCTCTTCGGTTCATTCCCTGGTTTTCATCTTATAATAGGAGTGATATCATCCCCCCCGTCTCTTATCATCATTCCATCACCTCTCCGGTGTACGCTTTAAACTCTCTCTCCCTCCTCAGTCTCCCTGGTGGTGCTCTTTGGTTCTTCAACCTCGAAACTCAATTCCTCCGTCTCTTAACCAGTCAAAAAACTCATCCATCATCATGCCTCGCATCGAAGACGCTGAAGGGGTTGACCCTACTGCTCCTGCCCCTACCCACCGCGAGTCTCGCGGTTCCCTCCCCATTCCCGGTGATCTCTCCGGCAACACCGTCGAGGTCCCCGCTACCCGCAGCTCCATCAGTGATGCTGCTCAGTTCATGCACAACCTGAGCTTTGCTCCCTCTTCCCGGGACCGTCGTGCCTCTCGCAACTCCTTCGGCACCTCCCTGCCTATCCCCAGATCTCCCCGTGTCTCGCGGTTGTCCTCCGTTGTCACGAGAGATGTCTCCCGCGATATCCTGGCCTCCCAGGTCCAGGACATGTCCAAGGAGAAGGTCGCCGCCGCCAAGAACATGGCCTTCGCCTTCGACATTGACGGTGTTTTGGCTCACGGCAACCACGCCATCCCCCAGGCCAAGGAGGCCCTCAAGATGCTGAACGGCGACAACGAGCTGGGCATCAAGATTCCCTACATCCTCCTGACCAACGGTGGTGGTAAGACCGAGGAGGCGCGCTGCGCGCAGCTCACCGAGGTCCTCGACTGCCCCATCTCCACCGACCAGTTCATCCAGTCCCACACCCCAATGCAGGCATTGGCTGAGTACTACGAGACTGTCCTGGTTCTCGGTGGTGAGGGTCAGAAGATCCGTGAGGTCGCTGAGAACTACGGCTTCAAGAACGTCGTCCACCCCAAGGATATCCAGGCCTGGGACCCCACCGTCTCTCCCTGGAGCACCCTCTCCGAGGAGGAGAAGGCCGAGGCCAAGCCCCGCGACTTCTCCCAGGTCAAGTTCGACGCTATCCTGGTCTTTGCCGACTCTCGCGACTACCAGACCGACATGCAGCTCATCATGGATCTCTTGCTGGCCGAGGATGGAAAGCTCCTGACCCGCGCCAAGGATCCTGTCGCTTCCCGCATCCCCATCTACTTCTCGCAGGGTGACTTGCTCATGCCCACCGACCACAAGGGACCCCCCCGTCTCACCCAGGGTCTTTTCCGTATCTCCATCGAGGCCCAGTACAAGGCTCTCACTGGTGTCGACCTCGAGCGTGTTGTCTACGGTAAGCCCGAGCGCGCCACCTACACCTACGCCGATGAGGTTCTCAAGTCGTGGATGGAGGAGATCCACAACGAGAACAAGCTGCCCGAGAACATTTACATGGTTGGTGACAACCCGGCCTCCGACATCTGCGGTGGTAACATGCACGGCTGGAACACCTGCTTGGTCCGCACCGGTGTCTTCCAGGGCGGTGACAACGACGACAACAACCCGGCCAACTTCGGTGTCTTCCCCAACGTGCTTGAGGCTGTCAAGGCCGCCGTCCGCAAGGAATTGGGCCAGGAGTTCAAGTTCAAGTGGAACCCCAAGGTCAACCCTGTCCTCCACAGCGAGAACGCCTCCGCTGTTGAGTAAACGGGACGCCTACAACCAATCAAAAATAAGGAACCTGGCATCTGGGCTGGGTTCTTTCTTTATCTTCTCATTCCCCATTTTCTCATACATCATGTTTGATTGATCAAGTACATTGATGTTAGACATTTTTTCATCTTTCCCCCACACCTACCACCATATTGTTACGGCTTTACGGGTTTGGACTACTGATATCCATCGTTGTCGCTTGTCTTGGGCAGTTTCAGAACCAGAGAGCAGACCGATTCTTTGTCTCGAGTGTTTTTTGTGTCATGTTATTATTTAGATTGCGATTGATTTTTTTCTCATATGATGAAGATGCAATATGCAAGGCATGCATCAATGAACGGTATCTTTTTTCTTCTTTTAATAACTCCATGTCACTTCAGCTCCCTATTATTGGGTAATTGGAATATCTAGAGTTTCTTAGACTTTTTCTTCTTTCTCCAAAAAATGTCTTCAACAAAGAAAGTCATGACGTGATGTACAGCACTTGACAACCGGGAGCGGTCAGTGTCACACTCACACATACACAGACCGCCCGATCCGCCCGTTGCATAAAGTTTCTTTTTCCCCGTTCCGTCAGTTGAACCCATCCCCACGAGGAGAATTCCCTTCAATTCAACCCCAACGAGACAGAGCGTCGCAGCCCAGAAATTCAATTCCGGGGCCATGAATCAAGTATCCATTGACTTGTATCATCACCTCAGTATTTATGCTTTGCAGTAACTAAGTGTTTTTCTTGCAGCCTAACAATTGTGAACGTCTGTTTCGTTCTTTATACCGATTACGCTTGTACGATACGATAGACCAACCGTAGTGTATTGTGTTGGTTGGTACTATGTATGGTACTTGCAGCCCCGGAGTGCTAGGCAACCTTCCAGTTCGGCGGATCTCCTGCCGACCCGAAGGCTGATTGACTGAGCTTCCCAATCCGGAGGTGGTCCACGGTGGCCGCGGCATGGCACATTCCCCGAGCGAGTCCCGAGGAAGCGAGAGGTGAATCGTCGAGTCGGGTATATGCGGGCTTGGTGTTTTGGGGTCCGCCGAGAATATCCAGCTTGCTGTTGTTTCGGGTCGGGTTCGTTCTCGATGCCGGATGGATGATTCTTTAAGTGATATGATAGACCACTCAAGGTTTCTCGAACACTGTCTGTCAGGCCAGGGTAACCTGCTCGGCTACGGTGCGATGCTGACTTGCCGCGCGGGAAAAGATTACACTCATGTGCTGGATGGAGTCCCGGTGGGGCTTTTGTCTGGTATTGTGGTGATAAGTGTACGATTCGGTTGACTGGTTGAGTAATTTGATTAAGATGAGTGGCGGGTATCGGAAGGTTCCTTAGCGATGTCTCCTGCAATCTTCCTGCTGGTTTGTGGCTCTGTGATGGATTATTGAGGCTCGGGCATGAGTGAGGATCATGAGCCTAACTACTAGTTAACTAATGCAGGAGATGACTAATTATGCTGGGCCTGTAAGTTAGTCCCGCCCGGGGAATCTGGTAGTATCGGAGGCGACCCGTGACCGTACTTACTTCGGCCCCGGTTGCAGCTATCCATCCGACTCGGGAATTGGAGATCTGACGATGGTTCTTGATACAGGATCTCGTTCCTGCTTCAGGTCTTACTGCTGATGCGTACGGTCGAGAAGTCTGCTGTCGGTAAAGCATAAACTGCACTGGACGTGCTGTGCACTGATCGCGTGTTTGAGAGGTTGATGGAAAGAGCACAGCCGATTACGCTACTTGTAAGCACCCGGGACAAGCTGCGCGCACCTTCGTCGATCTTCTGATCTGAATGCTCTGTGCTTAAAAGAAAGGCTGTTCCTAGCCTTCTGCTGGGCCCGAGAGAGATTTTCTCACCTACCAGGAAGCAAGCCCTTTCGGCGATAATGCATGCACACCTCCCGACTTCGTGCGGGCCGACACCCGCCGGTGCTCGGATAACCGCTGGTCACTTGGGGTCGAGTCGCCTATAACTATACCTAAGATAAGGCGGAGAAGCCATTGACCAAACTCCACTGGCGCGGTTCGATGTTACGATAGGACGATCACACGAAGTGAGTCCGCCTTTTGGCGCACGATCTAGTGTGTTCGTCCACATGAAATGAAGAGAGCGCGTGCTCATTACACAATGAAGGCAGATAGATGAGATGCAATATTCGTATGTTGTCACTTCTTGGGACACTCCAACAAAATTCATAATGCTTATGGCAAAGCGATTCACCTTTCCCCAGTTTCCTCTCGCTATCTACCAAATATACCTATAGCGCTGTTGACCATCCCGCTCCTCGGCCTTGTTGGCCCTTTTGTTGAGGAGATGGAGGTAGCCGGCCAACAACGACGTCAACACAATCCCCGCCGCGGCGAAGGACGAGAGCGTGATCCCACCGGGCCGATACTGGGGCCCGTCCGAGGTGGGGAAGAAGTAGGAGCCGTAGATGTTGGACGAGTTGCCGAACAGGTTCACCAGCGCGTACACGATGGCACGCTTGGTCCGCGTGCGGGGGATCGTACTCGCGATCCACGCCTGCACGACGTTGAACGCCGAGTACGACCCGGCGCACATCAGGAACATCCCGACGTACCGCACCGCCGTGGCGCGCGACGAGATGACCATGATGTTGCCCACGATGTCCACGCACAGGGGCCAGATGATCAGGATCGCGCGGTGGTTCGTGCGGTTCGCGATCAAGGAGTTTCCCAGCGCTGTGAAGAACCCGAAGACGTACACGGGGGCTGTGATGAGGAGGGTGATAGTGTTGTCGAACCCGAGGGTCTTGACGATGGTCTGCAGCAATCCGTTAGAGTCCGATTGTTCCACTGGGTGGGGGTTGGATCCTGACGTACGGGGAAGAAGTAAGTCCAGCTCTGGGAGGTGAGTTGGCAGATTTGGATCGAGATCAGCATCCATGCCTTCGGGTCGGTGAGGGCGTCTCTCAAGCCCTCCTTGACGGACCCGTTCTCATCGACCTCATCGTTGGCCGCGCGCGCCAGGCGCCATTCGGCGAACCGCTGCTCCTGCTCGTTCAGCCACTTGCGCTGCCCCGAGCGCGGGAAGTCGGGCAGAAGCACCACCGCCAGTAGACCGGCTACCATCGTGCCCGCGCCTTCGATGATGAAGAGCCATCTATGTTGCTTTTATTAGCATCGTCGTATGACATTGCCTCGCTCTATCTTAGAGGCAACCGCACAATCACTCACCTCCAGCCAGCGAGACCGCCTTTTCCATTCAGCCCATCCATGATACCCGCGGCAAGCAGGCCGCCAAACCCGTTAGCCACCGTGTTTCCGCAATACACCAACGCCACCCGCACAGCGATTTCTGACGGCTTGTACCAGGAACTAATCAGAAGTCTATACAGAAGGGTCAGCCACACCACAACAAATTTGTCATGGACAGGATACATACAATGCTCCGGAGAAGAACGGCGATTCGGCGAACCCGAGAAAGACTCGCACACACATGATCCCAGCAAAGTTCTTGGTGGCGGCTGTGCAGAGCGAGATGCCGCCCCAGATGAAAATTGCCGTTGGAATGTACCGCGAGGGCTGCAGGCGGGTGAGAAGAATGTTACTCGGGACCTGACCCAGCAGATACCCGACAAACTATGGCGAGGATTTCGTGAGCATTCTGATTGCAAGGTTGACTCATTCGAGTGCGACTTACCATAATGGCCACTGCTGTCTGATATTGGGTATCCGACAGATGGAGGTCCTCCTGCATCCCCCCGAGACGGGCATTGGCAATGTTCGAGCGATCGAGGATGTTGAAGATGAACAAGAGGAATAGTGATGAAACCAGGTGGAGATCAATCTTCCGGACCACTGTGCGGGCATTAGCTTGTCCAGCCTCCAGCATGAGAAGGAAGGTCACTGGTGCAATCAAACATTTTTTCTCTAGTGCCTGTGTCTCTTCGTCCGATAGTCCTTCGAAGGACTCTGATACCCGGTCATCGTACGGTTTCGTGGTCGATTCTACATGGAATGATGATGCTTTGTCGACATCCGCCATGTTGCTGATTCAAGAAGGTATGGAGGTTTTGAGCCTCCACGAACCAGATGGAATGACTGGGAATGCAAAGAATCACGCAAGAGCAATGAGCACAAGTAGTCGGGTCAATTAATGAAAGGAATATATAGACAGAAAAACATGCCGGCCTTGGTCACAGCAGAAGTGCACTTATACAGGCACCGACTCAATGGACAAGGACTTATATACCTTGTTTTGGGTAGTATAAGGACACATTTACCCCGGTTCTAATGAGTGCCGCATCAGACAACAACCCGGGGAAATGCGGGACTTGCAATTCGCTTAGCGGCGCATGCGGGGGGAACCCCAGACGCGGGACATTGGCATCTGGGGTTTGTCCATCTCCGCTCTCCGCTGGTTATCATTCAATACGAAAAGTTTAAATCTAGTGGAGTTCATCCTTAGTTCGGCGGAAATGTCACTGCCAACAAGTTTTGAGACTGAGCAATGTATTGCACCCTATTTGAGCAAGAAAACATGCTTAGACCCAAGTCAATGGCACGGGTACCACACCCCATGTGGGATGGACATCATCTATCTGAATGCCATCATATCTGCCGATCTGAGCTAGAGAGTCCTGTCACGAGCGCACAGAGGCAAGGTCGGCACCGAAAACCGGATCAGATACGGCCCCGCCCACTTCCCCCTCCATCTCCGCTCATTTTCCGCGGAGTTTCCGACGCGTATCCGGCGCGTCGGGTTCTTCTCCACGCGGGAATGCTCTCCAAGCTTTGAAGCTTGGATCAGGTTAGACTTCAGTAGTCGCTCAAGTGACTCCATTTCCGCATGGGCATGAGCTTTGACCGTATCCCCACGGGGAGCCTGCCCCACGGGGGAGATTGACGGTAGGATCCGTGCGTCATATCCAAGAGCAGCACTTGGGTTGCTTGGGGTCTCAAGCGTCCTATGCTCCAGTCACTCTGGTCAATGGGGTTATCCTATACGCGGGAATTTTACTACTGCCCTTTTCTGCTCAATCTACCATTCAAACTGACGCTGAAGATAGTCGGGCACCATGTCCAAGAGCCTTGCAGACCATGTCGAGGATATTGCCAATCCACCTGTCCAGAAGGGCAAACCGGATATAGCAAAAGAACATCGAGACCCCAACTCCATCGACCCAGTAGTACGGGCGAGGGTGGTGCAGAAGATTGATTGCTTCGTGATTCCCTTCATCTGCATCACTTACCTGATTACGTACATAGACAAGGCCATGCTGGGATATGCAGCTGTCTTCGGGTTGAAGGAGGATCTGCACCTGAAGGGAGATGAGTATAGCTGGCTAGGTAAGTTGCTCACCTCTTTAGCCACTTCACCCATACTGACTTGAAACATGACAGCGAGTATGTTCTATTTCGGATACTTAGCGGTATGTCAATCATCTCAAGTTTCTGCCTGGGCACATGGCTGGGTTGCTGACATGATGCAAACCCACAGTTCGAATATCCATCGAGCCTGGTGATGCAGAAGCTTTCAGTGCCGAAATGGCTCGCAGCGAATATGATCATTTGGGGTGGGATCACAATGGCTCTCGCAGCATGCCATGGGTTCCAGAGCTTCTTGGCCCTGCGGTTCCTGCTAGGAGGCTTGGAATCGTGCTCCACTCCAGCCTACCTTCTGATCACGGCTACTTGGTATACGATCGAAGAGCAGCCCATTAGGATCGGGTGGTGGTCGACCTTTCTGGGCGTAGCCAACTCCTTTGGTGGTCTGTTAGCGTTCCTGATCGGGCATATCCACGGCTCTCTCGCGTCCTGGCAGTACCAGTTCATCATTCTTGGCGCAGTCTCAGTGGGATGGGGAGCCTTCATGATGTTCACGCTGGCAGACGGGCCGTATAATGCGTGAGTCTGTTTTTCACCGATGCACGGTTTTTTACTTCATGCTCACGCGTCTCTCCTTAGTTCGTGGCTGAGCGAGGAAGAAAAGGAAGTTGTGGTCAGGCGCCTTGGTCCCGCCCATTCGGGGGAGCCTGTGCACGAGATCAAGCGGTATCAGATCTGGGAAGCACTGACCGACCCCAAGACGTGGCTGTTCTTTCTCTGCGGCGTGTGCACCCAGGTCGTGAACGGGGCCGCCAGCAACTTCGGTAGCCTGATCATCGAGGGATTCGGGTACTCGAACCTCGTGACGACCCTCTTCCAGATCCCGTACGGGATGGTCATTCTCGTCTCCAATGTCTCCGCGATGTATCTCCAGCGCTGGCTGCCCGGCCAGAAACGCTGCCTCGTGGCTTGTCTCTACGTGTGTCCGGCCGTGGCAGGGGCTGTGGGACTGCAGACGATATCCAGGTCGCATTCCATGGCGTTGCTGGTGTGTTACTGGGTGAGCTATTTATTATACGGTCATTCCATACCGCAAGAAAAAGAAAAGAAAAATGCTAATGCTATCTAGTTGACGAGTACATACACCGCCTCGTTCGCGATGATCATGTCGCTCATCACGGCCAACACGGCGGGCGCAACGAAAAGGTCGACGGTCAACGCCGTTTTCTTTATCGCGTACTGCGTGGGCAACATTGTGGGTCCGTTCAGCTTCAAGAGTAACGAGGCACCGGCGTATACGTCGGGCATTGTGACGATGCTGGTGGCGTACTGTGTGGAGATTGTCCTCCTGCTTGTCTTTGCGGCTTACATGGCGTGGCTCAACAAGCGTAGGGATGCGGTCGTGGCTGCTGAGGAAGTGCGGTTGGATGATGCTGCGGAGCAGGTGGATTTGACGGATAAGGAGAATGTGTACTTTCGATACTCTTATTAGCTGTAGGGTCAGATTGTTCTTATGGGCTTAGGAGAATGGTCGTGTCTCATTTAAGTGAGGTATTCCTGTCGGGTTGGAGGAGGAGGAGCGTGCGTATAGTAGAACTGTCATGATATGCTTCTGTTGGTCAAAACAGGCCGAACACGACAACACTTGTTTGCCCAGCAGAGACTAAGATGTCAATGCTTGTTCTGATCTCATAGCTACTTACCTTGTTGCCATAGTGGCAAGACCCACGTCCTTGCCAGTGAAACCAAACCGAGTATCAAAGCGGAGGCTAGCTGCTGTACCTTGGAAAACAAAAGCGGGGAGGAGTTGGGGAGAAGAAGCGGAGAGTGGGATGATGGATTGGCTCTCGCCGCGTTCTATGAATTCCGCTGCCAGCGCGCTTTTCCGTCGCGGTTAGGGCTGCGGGGGCAGAAATCCGACCGTGGACCGTCCCGCCCACCCACTTACTCTTTTCGGTTGCGGAGTGAGTAAGGTACTGTACCTATCTACCTAGTACATACAGTACCTCTGTGAACTCGACGCTCCAGCCAAAAAGATATATTGCAAGGCCCCGGTCTTCCCCCAACGTCAATTCGATCTCCAACAAGCATTTTTTTTCCCCTTCTCCCCCAACCAGTCACCATGACCCTCCCCACGCACTTCACCCTGAACACGGGCGCCGCCATCCCCGCCGTCGGCTTCGGCACGTGGCAAGCCAAGCCCCTGGAAGTCGAGCAGGCGGTCGAGGTCGCCCTGCGGCAGGGCTACCGCCACATCGACTGCGCGGCCATCTACCGCAACGAGACGGAAGTGGGCGCCGGCATCCGCAAGGCGGGCGTGCCGCGCGACCAGATCTTCATCACGGGCAAACTGTGGAACACCAAGCACTCGCCCGAGGACGTCGAGCCCGCGCTCGACAAGACCCTGCAGGACTTGGGCGTCGAGTATCTGGATCTGTATCTGATGCATTGGCCTGTGTATGTGCCCTTGGCCTCGGCCTCAGCCCCTCCCCTCCCCCCCCCTCCCCACTCCCGCAATCACAACCCCACACACTAACACACAGACATAATGAGAGTATAGGGCCTTCAAGCCCAGCCCCAAATGGTTCCCCCTGGACCAAAACGGGGTATTCGAGCTCGCCCCCACCGACCCGGTAACCACCTACAAAGCGATGGAGAAGCTCCTCGCGACGGGCAAGGTGCGCGCGATCGGGGTGTCCAACTTCACGACGGCGCGGCTCGACGACCTCCTGGGCAAGGTGGAGGTCGTGCCGGCGGTGAACCAGATCGAGGCGCACCCGTACCTCCAGCAGCCGGAGCTGCTGCAGTACTGCCAGCAGAGAAACATCCTGGTGGAGGCGTACTCGCCGCTGGGCAACAACCAGAGCGGGGAGCCCCGCGCCGTCGACGATCCGGTCGTGCAGGACCTGGCAGCACAGGTCGGGCTGGATGCCGGGCCGGTCTTGCTGAGCTGGGGCGTGCAGCGCGGCACGGTCGTGCTGTCGAAGAGTGTCACCCCCGCGCGGATCCGGGCGAATCTTCACGTCAAACGGTTGGGGGAGGAGGTCATGCGGAGGCTGGATGCGCTCGAAAAGGGGAAGAGGTTTAATTTCCCCGCTAGGTGGGGGTGTGATATCTTTGGGGAGGTCGGGGAGGATGCGGTGCGTCGGGCTGCGGTGGAGGCTGCGGAGGAGAATTTGGTCAAGTTTAATGTTTGATTTTGGTTCTTGGGGTGGTTGAATGGGTGGGTTGGGGAGGGGGTTTGGTGTTGGTTCGTGCTTGATAGACTTTGTTTTGATGGATGGAGGTACTTTCGTAGACGTGTGCTGCGGCTGCTAGCTATTCTAGTTGTTTGTCAGTGGAATTGACCTATTACAAGGATTGATTGCTTCGCAGGGTGAAGTATGGATTCTTCATAAAGTACAGTTCTACGAGGCAAACTCGGTGGGGAAGGGATTGGTCTTCATTAGAATCTTGACACTATTAAGCTATTGAGCTAGACTGAATAATTGAGCAATATCAGGCGTTATTGGTAGTTAGATAAAGCATGCTTAGTAAAGCCCCCTCATCCTCATACGCCGTGCGCCTGTTCGTCTGGGCAGTATCACATGCAAATCGCTCTGCCTCCCGTGTAATCATTTCAACTCAGCAGAGGACTGACTGCCCCGACTGTCTGATCTCAATTTATTATCCTCCTTCGTTCTGAAAATATCCTCTCTGTTCGGCAGTGATTTGGTTTCAGGGCTGTCGACGACACGAAGGATATCGCACAACCGGGCAAAAGTCTCCGATGAGATCTTGTTACGTAGAGACCAGTCGAGAATATCAGTGCGGAACTGGGAGACGGGGTCTGCTTGCTGCATTAGTAAAGTATCTGTTTCCGATTTGAAGGGGGGTTACCTCGACTGGACTGGAGAGATTTTGGAGATGGGTCGGAGGGAGACGAATTGGAGGAAGCAGACGAGGGGCTCGAGGCTTGTTTTCCGGTGGCCTTTTCGTCCAAAGCTCCTTCATTGGACTCTTCGTGGGAGGGCATGTTATCGGTGATTGCTTCGTCCGAGGGCATTCTTTCAGAGGACGTTTTGTCGGGCGACATCTTGTCGGAGGACGTCTTGTCGGAGGACATTTTATCAGAGGACCTTTTCTCAACCGAATTTCCGTCGCAGAGCAGTTTCTGGACAGGTTGCCAGGTGGATGGTTGGTTCTTGCGGTACTCCTCACGAGAGAACTGGCCCTTCGGGTGGTTCTTGGGGCGCTGATTCTTGGGTTGTTGATTCCCGGGGTGCTGATTCCCGGGGTGCTGATCTTCAGATTCTGGTGTTCTGGCAGAGAAGGTCGTGTTTGCGACGGGGTGTACGTGAACAGACAGGTTGTGGAAATGCTGAATGTTGAAAGTCACCTGGTTCACACGTGTGACATTCACAGGCGGCTCGCGACTCCTTGGGTAAGTGGGAGAGGCAGGGGCGTAGCTTTGGCGGTGGGGCGGTGGCCCAGCTGAGCAAGGCCCATTGAACGGAGGTTCTTCGTACCGCTGATTATTGTGAGGGGGACCGTCGAAGTCTTCGCCACCAAGCTCGTCGTCATCGAATTCGTCGTCATCGAAGGAAGGTTGATCTGAGTATTGATCATTAGAGGGTGGCTCATCGAAGGACCGATCATCGAAGGGTGGCTCTTCCGAGTACTGATACTCGAAAGATGGCTCATCGGAGTATCGGTCATCAGGATACGGCTCATGACAATACTGATCTCTAGAGGGCGGTCGATCATAATACTCTTCTTGAAAAGAAGGGTGGTAGTTGGATGGATCATAAGCTGGCTCTGCATAGCATGGGTCTTCCCAGTCTGGCTCATCGTAGTGCTCGTCATCAGAATATGGCCCGTCATAGTAAGGGTTGCTATAATCCGGCCCATAGTAGTAAGGGTCGCTGTGATCTGGCTCATCATAGTACGGGTCACTGTAATCCTGTCCATCTTAGTAAAGATCACTGTAATCTGGCTCATCATGGTATGGGTCGCCGCAATCTGGCTCATCATAGTACTGGTCATCATAGCACGGCTCGTCGTAGTGGTTATCGAAGGGCTCGTCATCGTAAGACATCCTGTGACAGACTGCTCAGCCCTGCTGAGTGTTTAAGTTGCTTGAGAGTCGGAGATACATAAGCTTTCATCGTAGAACAGGTAGAGGGTAAGAGGACCGATACGACTACGAATGAGTGGCTACTACCTAGCAGACCCAACTACTCGACATAAACGGCAGTAGCGATGCTTTTCATCGGCATTGATAACGCCTTTCTTAAGATCAGGTGACTTAATCTATGAATAAAATTTACAGCGTAGTATAGCTTTTATGAGTGATCTATGGGTAAGTCTGGGTAGATGCTTTCCCGACTTGGGCTAGACTGTAGATAGTTGTGCATCAGGGTATAGTGACTAAGCTAGGACATATCCATGCACATATTGATTGAGCCGTTCCACGGAGACCATGTGACATACTAGCCCAGGGAGAGAGCAACAGCGGCAGCGGCGCGGCGGCGCTGTGCGGAAACCGTGGCGGAAAAGCAGCGGATTTCCCCACGCCTCGGTTGTTGGTTTTCCTCCAACCCCTCCCTCCTCATTTGAATCCACTTGCTCACATCCCATTACTGCAATGTCTCCACCTCAGCCTTGGATGCTACGACCGCGGGGTACATCTCCGAATTGATCCTCTAATGCAATCGGTCCGGAAAATGGCCGACCGACAGAATCCGGCCAAAGTCCTGCGGCCATCCAGGTACCAGGACAATGGCATAAGATAGAAGAATAAACGTCCTCTTGCCTCACTCCATTTCTGTCATTTTTGTTGCAAACTAAGCACTCATCATGGCATCTGCAGTATTACAGTCTGTGGCGCCAACGCCAACTCCTTCACCTCCAACTAGTCTGACTCCCGTGAGCGTTGCTTCGCCAGCCACCTCTGTCAATGAGCTAGATAGCTTGGAAGAGGAATTCGACACAATAAACCATCTACTTCAGACAAGAGCAAAAGGACGTCTTGGTCATGAGCCTATTGTCGCCTATCCGTCATCTGGCACCAACTACGTCTACTATAGCCCCAAACAGGTGAACCGCACGTTAACCCGTGAATAGCTTCTCAATCGCTAACACCAGATTCATTAGCTTAATACCTTTGTCGAAGCAGCAGCAGTTCATTATGCCAAGACCATTCCCCAGCGACGTTCGTCCGAAGACCCGGTTCAGGTGGTCGGCTTGTTGGGCCCCTCGGATTTTGAGTACTTGATTACATTGCTCGCTCTTTCAAGACTAGGACATACGGTGCTCCTGCTATCCACTCGCATTGCCGAAGATGCCTACGTCAGCCTCGCCGAAAACACCAGGGCCTCATATCTTGTCGCCCACACCACCTTCCTCGCCATGGGTGATAAAGTGGCACAAAGAACGGGCATCAGCCTTCAGCCATTACTGAGCCGTGAAGACTATGACAACACTACCACAGGTACAGTGGCGCTACCATCAGCTCACTTGAATGGGCAAATCGAGAATAAGCATGTTTGTTGGATCATCCATTCCAGTGGCTCAACAGGACATCCCAAACCCATATACCAGACGCATGCCGGTGCTCTCAAGAACTACGCCAATAACTTCGGCTTATGCGGATTCATAACCCTGCCCCTCTTTCACGCTCATGGAATTAGTTGCTTGTTCCGCGCAGTCCATTCACAGAAGCTCATATATCTTTACAACGCCGAGCTTCCCTTGACCGCCACTCATCTTCTCACAACCCTCCAGGAGCACCAAGAAATCCAGGTCCTCTACGCCGTCCCATATGCTCTGAAGCTGTTGTCGGAGTCACCTGAGGGTCTTCAGGTGATGGCTCGGCTAGAGCTGGTGATGTTTGGCGGTTCGGCTTGTCCGAAGCCTATCGGTGACAAGCTGGTACAGAATGGAGTCCGCCTCGTGTCCCATTACGGTACCACCGAGACGGGCCAGTTGATGACCTCCTTCCGCGAACGTGATGACCTGGACTGGGACTTTGTCCGCCCTGGTCCAAGCTTATTGCCATATGTTCGTTGGGAGGAGCAGATGCCTGGCATTTACGAACTTTGTGTCCTGGAAGGCTGGCCGTCTAAAGTAGCCAGCAACCGACCGGACAATTCATATGCTACGAAAGACCTCTTCGAGAAACATCCGACAACTCCTAACGCCTGGAGGTACTACGCCCGTCTGGACGACACACTGGTGTTGGAAAATGGCGAAAAGGCCAATCCCCTTGTGATCGAGGGTGTTGCCCGCAACGACCCCAATGTAGCTGAGGCCATTGCTTTCGGAGCAAATAAGCCTCGTCTGGGTCTATTCTTGATACCCGCGGAAGTTTCTCCTTGTAAAACCGCAGAAGAGCTCATCGAGGCTGTGTACCCTGCCATTGAGCGGTGCAATGCAGAGTCCCCGGCCTACGCCTACATCTCGCGGGACATGGTCAAGGTGCTGCCACCGGACGCACAATTTCGGAAAACGGACAAGGGCACAGTTATTCGCTCAGCCTTTTACCGAGACTATCAGGATCAGATCAGCGAAATTTACGATACCGAGGAGGCTACAGGGGACCGGGTTCTTGAAGGGGCCGATCTTCTCGCATTTCTTCGGGAGCAGCTACTTGCAGTTGCACCGTCTATCGATTCTTCCATACTTGAAGAACAGACCGACCTGTTCAGCTTGGGCGTGGACAGTCTGCAGTCCATCCGACTGCGCAGCGCTATCATGAGAATGCTCGATCTTGGGCAACAGAAGTTATCTCAAAACTTTGTATTCGAGAATCCTTCCCTCAAAGCCATGGCCGATGAAATCACTCGTTTGCGTCTGGGCCAAGAGCCCAAAGCTGAGATTCCGGTCGAAGAACGCATGCAAAGCTTAATCGAGAAATACAGTACCGACTTCAAGATCCACACTGCTGTTTCGAGGGAAGACGAGGCTGAACATGTTGTTGTGACAGGGGCCACAGGCTCACTGGGCGCGCATGTCATTGCTCAGCTAGCCGAACGCAAGGATGTCCACACCATCTATTGCTTAGTCCGTGCTGAATCTCGCTACTCAGCTTTAAAGCGAGTTCGTCAGTCACTACGAGCGCGGGGACTGTCTCTCGCTCAAGCTCATGCCGCTGAGCACAAGATAGTCGCTTTGCCTTCAAACCTCTCAGACCCAACTCTAGGTCTTGATGGAGCGACTTATGAGCAGTTGGTGAATTCAGTAACGGCTGTCATGCATTGTGCATGGTCTGTCAATTTCAACTGGTCCCTGGAAAGCTTTGAGGCGAGCTGCATAGCAGGCACTCGGCACTTACTGGATCTCTGCCTCAATGTGCGCAGCCCCAAGCCGGCACGCTTCTCATTCTGCTCATCCGTAAGCACTGTGGCCCGAACTCCAGGCAATTGGGTTCCAGAAGCCCTGCCAGAATCGCTCTCTTATGCACAGGGAATGGGTTACGCTCAGTCTAAGCTCGTCACGGAGCATATCGTCAACCGTGCAGCTCAGTCAACGGGGATGACGGCTCGCGTTTTGCGATCGGGGCAAATCATCGCGGACTCTGTTCATGGCATCTGGAATGCCACCGAAGCCATCCCTATGATCTTCCAAAGTGCGGAAACGATCGGAGCTCTCCCACAGCTGGATGATATTCTCTCGTGGACACCCGTGGATGTTTTGGCAGCAAGTGTTATTGACTTGACTCTTGCGCCGGTGGCAGGTGATGTACTCAATGTCACTAATCCGAATCTCAATCACTGGGGGCTAGACCTCCTTCCGCTCCTCCGCCAGGCTGGTTTGAAGTTTGAAGCATTGTCTCCCCGCGACTGGGTCCATCGTCTTCGGCAATCAAATCCAGATCCCAGCATCAATCCACCTATCAAGTTGGTGGAGTTCTTCGCCAGCAAGTATGACAAGGAGACGCCTAGCCGGGTTCTTCTCTACGACACCAAGAACGCCCAAGCGGCTGCTCCGGCGTTGCGTCAGGCCAGAGGGCTTACCCTCGAGCTGGTCGATCGATTTCTGTCATATTTCCGCACCCAATGGGCAAAGTCGGCTCCAGAAACACCCCGGGAGGTTGTTGTGCTGACTGGTCCTTGCGGCTGCGGCAAGAGTACTGCCGCCCAGGCTTTGGCGCAACGGTTTAATATCCCCGTTATCGAGGGCGACGACCTGCATTCTCCAGCGGCGCGTGCCAAGATGGCAAACGGGACTCCTCTAGAGGATCAGGATCGGTGGGATTGGCTAGCACATATTCGCGGTGCAGTCATGGATCGGTTGCAGCACTCGACTGCGCCCGCCGTGGCAGTGACCTGTTCTGCATTGCGCACGGCTTACCGCGATGAGCTGCGACGCCTTTCGGAATTGTTTGATTTCCCTGTCAATGTCACATTCGTGCTTCTTTCGATCCGTGACGGGGAGCAACTCAAGGAGCGAGTAGCCGCTCGTTCGGAGGTAGAAGCACACTACATGCGAGCTACAATGGTGGACTCTCAGCTTAACACATTGGAGAGCCCGGGTCCATCGGAAAGCGATGTGATTGTCCTAGACTCGAGTCGCTCGAAGGAGAAGATGATTGAGGATGTTGCGAAGACTGTTGAGGGAATTCTTTCTGCATAAACTCTGGTTAGAATAGAGCTACGCATATACAATGTTCAAATCTGAAACCACGTCTATTCACTAGTGTACATGAAAATGATCCTTCTGTGAGCGCAGCATTCTTCATCTATGAGAGAGTTGATGATCGACATCAAATCACTTGAAAACCGCCAACTCCTCTCGAACATTCAGACGCGAAATCCCCGGCAGCAAATCCTCCCTGAATCGTACCGGGTTTTCAAAGACCATGACCACGTCCGATCCCCCAAACTGGAAATAAGAGATCTCATCTCCTTTCCTCACCCATTGGCCCTCATGCACGGTCATCACTACCGACGAGATCTGTGCCATCCCAATCAGCACCACCGCCACCCGACCAAAATCCTCCGTCTGGATGACAATCACTCCCCGCGTCTGACACCATTGACAGCCGGCATTGTCCGGGGCATCGAGGATGCGCGGGCCCTTACACGGCATCCTGTCGCGTCTCACCTCCTCCTTGGCATCCCTCCGCAGCCCGCGATCCGGTCGCAGGCCCCGCCCTTCCTTCTTCTTCGCGATTTGCAAATACACCTGATCCTGAATATTCCTCACTTGCACAATCCTCCCGGAGACGGGGGCATGCTGCCGATGATAATCCGCCGGCCCGAGACAAGCATGCACAAAACTGCCACCCCCGAACACCTCCCTTGCCCCGGAGATCCCCTGCAACAACCGATCAACCGGCCACACCACCGACTTACAATCCACCATCGCTGTCGTCATCGTCGTCGTCGGGGGAACCATCACCTCTCCCGCCCGAGTGAGGGTCGACCACCCCTCGACCACCGCATCCGCCACACACACCACGACGGCCCCATCCCCGGGCGCCGCCACCGGCCGTACGGCATCCACATCCTTCCACCGCCGCCCAAACCAGTGATTAAACGACCGCCACCCGCCCGCGGGCTCCTCCCACCCCCCGGCCTCGTTGTTGTAGCGCTCGTTCAGATAGAAGGTATACAGCGAGGCCGCCGACTCGCGGGAGTGGAGGAACTGGCCCTGCTGGCGGGCAAAGCAGACGAGCCAGTAGCTGAGCCAGGTGAGGTCGGCGGCGGAGGTGGCGGGCTGGAAGGGGGTCTGCCAGCCGCGCAGCGCGGGCTGGTCGATCACCCAGTAGAAGACGACGATCTTGTTCAGGAGCTCGTCGCCCGTGGTGGTCACGCGCGGCACCCACCGGAGCAGTGCGTCGGCGAAACAGAGGAAATCGTCGAGCGAGCGGATGCCCTCGCGCGCCATTTCGGGGGCGCCGCCGTTGTGCGGGTACAGCGCCGTGTTGATGGCCGTGTGGAAGGCGGTCGTGCGGTCCCGGTCGCGGTGGATGTAGTCCCGGAGGTCGCGGATAAGAGGCTCGACTGGGTGGTAGGTTGTTGTTGCTGTGATGGTCATTGTGTTTGGGGGGGGGGAGGTAAATCTGAAAAATGATGGATGGGAATGATGGTCGGTCGACAGGAAATCGGACCAAGGGAGATTTGGATCAATAGATTTTGGAAAAAGAGAATAGATTGGCAGGCTTTTATGCACTGGATAGTACATCAGACTCAGGCATATTATCTCTCGCAACAGATGTACTGTACTGTGCTGAACTCTGTTGCTGTCTATGATTCATGTTGTTGTATCTCGAGCCCGAGCTCGGGAACCTAGGGCCAGTGTATTTTTCGATTCACATGTGAGTTCCACCCAAGGCCAAGCGCGCTTTATCCCCCCTGAAAGCTTGTATCCAAGTGGGTCCTACTTTATTTGGATGGGGGGCAGGAATTCTAGAAAACTATAATTGTGACGTCCCAGGTTTGCTATCCGAAGGAGCCGAGATATTGTTCGCACAGGGAGCGGAAGACGACATTCGAGTCCCCTCAAGATGATACCCGGCCCAGAGGTAGCACCTCACCCTTAGATTACCAGTAGTCACTAACATATTGACACAGTCCGTCAACTGGCTCTACGATCATGTGTTCGACATCTTCGACGAACCGCTGGCTTCCAACGTCACGAAATGGATCAACCAAAGGGCCTACTCCGGCGGTCTGATGCACTTCTTCGGTCTCTTCGGATCGTCCTACATCATCCCCACCACCCCAGAAACACTGAAAGACGTCCTCTCCACGCACGCCTACGACTATGAGAAGGCCTCCGCCTTCAAAAAGTACACGACCGACCAACCCATCCCCAAGAACACGTTCGTGGGGCTGTGTACGCGCGCGATCAACCACGCCGAGCACCTGTGGGGGCCGGATGCCGCCGCCTTCCGGCCCGAGCGCTGGCTGGAGCGATCGGCCGAGGGGCCCGGGCTCTTGATCAGTCCGCTCGGGGGCGCCCCGGCGTCGGTGTGCATGCTCTCCTTCTTCCACGGGACGCGCAGCTGCGTCGGAAGGGACCTCGCCCTGGCCCAGATGAAACGGCAAATCGCCGTGGTGGTGCGGCGGTTTCGTCTGGAGACCGTGGGCCGCGTTGAAGAGGTTCGTCCGTGCCGGTTGTTTGCAACCACTCCCGCGCCGGACCTTCTGGTTCGGTTCACGGAGCTTGAAGGGTAGCAAGTAAGTAAGGGATTTCGGCGACACCAAATGAAATGGCTCGCCCGTCTGGCGGACATGAGAGTGGCGCTATCGGTGGGCTAGTAGGAAGGATATAACTCATAGCCACTATGCAAGATTTAATTGCGCTGGTACTTTTCCTGGTCTTGCTATACTTATTTCTTGCGGACCGTACGATTCGGGAAAAGCTTACTTTCACTATGTCGACGCTCTGGATAGACACATATTTGTCTCGACACCGAGTCATCAACTCCGCCCACTCTCCCCCGAAAGCAAACCATCGCCCTCCCACAAACCAAGATCGAACAACGGCCCGGACTGAACCAAGTCCCCCTCGGACCACAAGGGCTCCGCCCAGGGATCATAACCCACGGCGTCCGGCAACCCCTGCACTACAGGCACCACACTCTCAGCCCCCATCCCTCCCGATAGATACGCCAGCTCATTCGCCATCAAGCCCGTAAACTCTTCTGGTGGCAACCAACGACGAGCGACTAATTTCAGGAGCCGCATCGCACGGAGTGCCCACACCCACGCGGTGCTCATCTGGGACAGGCTGTGCATGATGTACAGGAAGTGTTTCTTGACTCGGGTCTTCACACCGGGGCTCGGAAGGGTCCAATTGCACAGGTGGATGAGGCCTGCGGTGAGGCAGGGGTGGATGACGGAGATGGTTGCCGTTCTCTTGAGACGGATCATTAGTGGTGAATGCTTGGCTATAGAATTATGATCTCAGCCAGCGTACCAGGGAATAATGTTTCTCAACCTCTTTCAGGGTCGCCGTCAACGCTTCGGCGGATCGGGTGCATTCTTCGAGGTGGGTACAATCCACACCCCTTTGATTCTCGGCCTGTGGAGAGCGTGTCTGCCGTGAGATGAATGGACGATGGAGGAGGATGTTCAGACCGTGGTAGTGGATGCTAGGTAAAATGGCCTATTAGCTCTAAGTGGGAACTTTTGATCCAGTGGGGAAAAAAAAAGGGGGGGGGGGGGGTATGCACTGGAAATAATAAATATGCACGGCTAAGGGAGTGCCCAAAGCAGAGGACGGGAGTCGAATCACACTTGGGATCCGGTCGTAGAACGCAGATAGCGCCACCGAGGCCTTCAAGACGATATCTGTTCTGTCTTCGCGTGTGATCTTCGGGCTCAGGGAGTAACTATGAAAGGCATGAGCGGTATTCCAAATGTATTTTGCCCTCCGCCTGACAGCTTACATTTCATCCAGAGGACCAGTGACCAGCCTGAGCATCTCGCATGTATATCGGAAGTTGGTGATAGAGTAGCCCAGGGGCAGATGCTGATCTGGCGGTGACTTCAAAGATTCTTCCAAACCCTTGAATTCGACATCAGGCACGATGGCGGGTAACGGGGTGTGAATGTCCCGTTCGATGCATGCGCTCGGCCGACCCAACGCAAGGCTATAGAGTCTGCTCGCTTTGAGTCAGTCCGGCATCAGAAATGGGAGAAGAAAAGAAAGAAAGAAAGAAAGAAAGAAAATCCGAGAAGCAATCTAGCTAACGATTGACTAGAAAGAACTAACTTCTCAATCATGTAGCATCCCCACCAAGCGACCGACCGAATCTCCGCATCTTCAGCCGGAAGACGACCAGATTCCACCCACGGACGAGGGTCAGTATGGAGACCCAAAGTATAAGCCATGCGCACAGCCATCCCTAAGACCAGTCATCTATCAGCCGAGACCAGCCAGGTCAGACCAAGAAAATTCGCTCACCGATATACGTCCACCCTGCCGGCTCAATATCCAACGCCAACTCCGCCACCGAGATCAACGCAGCGGCCACCACCGTCGACACCCGGGGCGCTTCCATCTCTTCCACGACCAGCTGTTTTGCCTTAGCCGCAAAGCCAATCCCCGCCGTATAGGTGCCGAAGTCGTGGGACAGGGCCGGCTCATCCGCATACCGAGCCGCCACCGCCAGCATCGCATACAGCAGGGTGGGCGTACAGTAATCATTGTCCCGGAGTTCATAGCTCCGACGCCAGGCACTCTCGTGGAGCAGATACTGCCATGGATTCTGCCACCGCCAGAACAGATCCAACAGCGGCCCCCGGATTGCGGGGCCGACGTCGATCATCTCCTCGACGCCGGGCCGCTGGCTTCGATCGGCGGAGAACTTCAGCAGGTGGTCGTGGCACCGCTCGTCGAGCTGCTCGGATACCATCGCCAGGTTGCTGCGCGAGTCGAAGAAGCGCAGCTCCTCGCCTTCCCCGAGACTTAATCCGCCGCATAGGTCGACGAGTTCCTGGACCGAGTCTTGGGGCGTTGAGACGTGGGTCGAATGGTGGCCTTGTTGATGATGAGGAGGAGGAGGTGGTGGTGGTATGGTAGCGGGGGAGAGTGGTCCCCGTCCTTCGTACTGCGCGACCTGGCGTTCGAGACTTTCTATACGCGAAAGCAAGGACTGGATATAGCGTTTGCTTGGGGGTCTGCCAGTCTGGTCAGATGTTGGCTGTTATGGACATGATTGTATGGGGTGGTAATCATGATGTTATACTTGCGCTTCTCATCAGAGTGCTGGTATTCACAGGACTCCTTAAGTCTCGTACATCTCGAACAAGATGGCTTCGCTCCGTCGCACTAGGTGATTTTCTTTTAGGGACTTTTCATAGTGGGACGATGGCGATACTGACTTTGACCCGTCTCTTTCGACACGCCTGACATGCTATTGATACCCGCTGACGGGAAGTCATATTGCGAGCGGCTTGGTCGAATTTGATAAATGCAACAGATTCTGAGACTAAATGCCATTGAATTTCCACTTTGTGGGTAGACGTCGGCACATGGGTGATACCCAGTAATTGTAGTGCTGTAGTGTAGTGCGGTGGTCTGCCTCCCTGTGCCACAGATGTCGGAAGCTACGGCAAGCTACTCGTGCCGACTTTCAATCCCCATTTTCCATAGTATTTCTGTAGTATTTCTGTAGTATTTTAATTTATTATAGCCTCACCGCCCAACAGACCGCTTTTCCCTGTAATTGAACTGACCTAACATAAAACTCGTATACAAGATTCCCTAATAAAGAGCCCTAATGTAACAATACCTTGGGCCTAAAATAGCCTAAGACCCTAATAGCCCTAATAATCCAAACTGCGGCTAGGCGGGCTTAACAAGATAAGAAGTACTGCCAGCAGAATTGGAGTTATTGCGAATTGGCACGACCGATCGCGGATAATGCCCTTCCGCCCTCTCCCTAAACTCTACTGAGCCCCACCACCGACCCAGTCTTCTCAGTGATACCTCTCCACCACCCACCCCAGCTTTCCATCCCAACGGGCCTCACGATCCTCGAAGAAGGGCTTGAAGACCGAAGCGACCACCGTACCCGGGTCGAACTTTGGCTGATATCCTTCAGTGCCGGGGCTCACCACCCGCCCCGTAATCAGCGGCATCCCCACCAGGATCCTGGCCTTGTCCGGCAAAGCCTTGGCGAACAGGCGACTGAGTGTCTGCGACGCGGCCTTCACGGAGGACAGCGAGGCAACGATGGGCTGCGGCTCCTTGTCCAGAATGCCACCCGTGACCAGAAACAGGGGCCATTCGCCCTGGGCCACGCGGTCGACCCGGGCGTGATTTTCGCCCGCGAACCACTGACCCGCCACCAACGTACCGACAGCGGAGATCTTGAAGTCTGCTTGCAGTTCCTCTGGTGTTGTGCTGGTGATATCCGTGCCGGTGACGCGGGCCGCGTTGTAGCACAGGACGTCCAGCGTGCCTCCGAATTCCTGGAGACACCAGTCGAGCGCGGCGGTCAGGCTTGCAGGTTCGCCCGCATCGGCCGTGCGGTAGAGAACTTTGGCCGCGGGGCTTTTCTGCGCTTCGCGCACTTCCTTGGCGATGGCTGACAGGTTCTGCTCGGAGCGGGATATCAGGGCGATGTTCCATCCGAGGCTTGCCAGCCAGAGGGCAAGGGATTTGGACATGAGGGAGCCAACGCCCACGATGATGATGTTGCGGTCCTCGCTGATAGTCATGTTGATGCTGGGGAAAAGTTGCAATCTAAAAATTTCTGGTGATAAATGCGAGAATGCACAATCGAGTGCTTATAGTCCAGTGTTCTTGTGGGACAAGCCTTGTCCAATGCCCTGTCGATGAATGTGGTTTTGAGTGCGATTCAGAAAAATCATGTAGTGTTGGCAGGCCCGGCAGGTGCGTGCGTGCGGACTCTTTTATACGCGGTCCGAGGGAAAACTCTTCAAACACCTCTGTCTGTAGTCGGGGAGTTTTGTCATCGAGATAATGGACATTCTTCCGTCGAGTTCTGCTTCGTAATGTCAAGATCCACAAGATTCATCACGCATCCTCTTTTTAAACCAATGAACCACAGTTGACCGAGAGCACGGAAGGGCATTATCCGGGCCAGTAAATCCCGCGCCCCAAGGCCCAAGATCCAAGCCATAGATAAACTTCGTGGCAGCCATTGATTTCCTAATATCACCTCAGTGAGTTTTTTTCTTTTTTTTTCTTTATCTTTTTTTCACAAAATGGCCATCCTACATTTAGTCCTCTTCCGATTCAAACCCGAGGTTTCTCGGGGCCGTCGGCAAGCCGTCAGAGTGCCATCGACCCACCCGTGACCTCTTTTGACATATGCCAGGTTCTTCAAGAGTTCATGGCTCTTTCTCAAAAGTGCAAGGATGAGTCAGAAAGGCCGTATATCAAAAGTATACGAGGCGGAGTGGAATGTACCGCAGAAGTGTCTTCAGTATGATGCCAGAGTGTCCAGCGTCGCATTCATACGAGTACTAATAGCTGGTGTAGGATCACAGCCACGTCTTCATCGTCGAGTTTGACTCTCTGCAGGACCGCGAGTTTTATAAGAACGTGGACCCCATTCATGCCGAGTTTGCTTCGCGGATCATCCCACTCGTGAGCTTGACGAAAATGGCGGTATTTGAGGAAAGTGACTTCGTTGGCATATAGGGCTTCGGAAGACCCGCAAGGAGATGTATTTTAATAATGAAATTGACATACAAGAGCCCGGAGTAATAGGGAAAATCGAGCTATTTCGTCCAAAAGGTGCCTCTGAAGCTAGTGAGATATCCTGTAGCTGAGAAGTAAATGACATCATGTCAAATCGGCAAATGTATAGGTAGGTACTGTCCAGGTTCCAGAAGCGATCGCTTATGTGATATCGCTACTGATAACAACATTCTCGTGCTCTATCAACCCGTGGCCAATTCCAGTAGGTCCGAGCACGAAACTGCGGCTAGTCATGCAGGATGGAGATGATCAGTGATTTGTTCGGGCGCCCAAAAGAGGGGTCCGTCTGTTTGATTTGGGCCAAATCGGTGGCTGCAGCGATGGCCCTGTGGGGAAATCAAAAACGGCGACCTTGTCGTCTACCACATGCTCTGCATTCAAAGAAGTGTAAGCGGATTCTCTGACCGTACAGAAATGAACGAATTTGATAGAGACCAGCCGTTTGTCGTCTACAGCAGGGGACTGAGGCCCGAGATTCTGCAACTCGGTAGTCTTTGTCTAGACCCCGCAAATCCCGAGGGCGATTCACGAAAGATATACCAATGTCCGATCAAGTGCGTATTTTGGTCTTTTGTAGTTGGGACTGGATCCAGTCAAGCGCAGAGCTAATTCGCGGTAGGGACGCAGAACTTTTGCCCTGGATAAGCAGCTCTGGTGATGAAATTCACTGCACCTTAAATCTGAGTGCTTCACGTGGATGGCTTGCAGGCGCGAACTGCCCTGATATCAGCCCTCAGGATACTGGCGAGGACAGCCATGTTGAGGTCCGACTCGAAGGAGAGCAGAGCCGACGAGTCACAATTCAGAGGTAGGATAAAGCCCACCGCACGATTCCCCCGTGAACTGACATTCTCAATCCGACCAGACCAGAGTTGTTCCTCGAACAAGTGATCCTACCGTCCGCAGAGGCAAAGCGATGGCTCGCTACGCAGTTGACTGTCTCGCGCACGATGCACTACCTCAGCCGCGCCATCCTCGGCACTGCTCGTCATCCCCGGGTATGGTTGGTGACGGGGCTCCAGTACATCAGCAAGGCTCGTATAGAGGCTGGTTGGTCGCGTTCGGCTCATGCATTAACGGGGATCCCTGGATCATCTCTAGATCCCACGGTGGCTGCACTGACCGGCTTAGCCGATGCAAGTGGCCAAGGTCCACACGTGGGTATCGATGCAGGCGGATCGACGGGTGACGACACGGAGGAGAAGATCTGGGCCGCCCAGTTTGCGGAACTGAAAGTGAACTTTCGTCCTCGCGACTTGGCCACTGTCAGACTCCCGGAGGAGATCCAACTGCGTCAGTTCAGTCCGCTGGGTGGAATGGGGTTCCAAGGCCATGAACACGTCCCGAGCCAGGAGATTGCAACAATCGAAGGTCTGGCTGGGCATCATGGAGATGACGAGCAGAGCGGAGGCGGTGCATTTCTCGGAATGGAATGCGAGGATTGTATACTCTATGAAGAACTATTAGAGCAGGTGGAGAGTCGGAAGGGGGGGCGATGAAAGCAACATTTGTGTGAATGTCACTGTGATTATACACTGGTTAGTCTTCTACTGATCGTATGAACTTGGTAGGATTGAGAAGATAAGTACCTAGCATAGAGTATCGGTTTATCAACAGCAGTTACATCGTGCCATGTAGGCACAGCCGAGTACGGACACGATGTAAGCGCAACTTGAGTTAGGGCAAGAGTATGGACGCCCTTTTCTGCTTGTACCCACCGTGAATAGTATAAACGACTATGTAAGAGATAGGTTCATAGCAAAAGTCACAAGCCTTCGGATAAGCCGTGTTCTCCATTAGTTGCGCAAGTGGATTCTAATGAGACGGTGCCAAAGAAGGTAGGGGTTGTCTCTCACCCGAGTTCTCGGAATATCGAGTTGGAGGTATCACGGGCCAGCTAACTACTTGCTGGGATCTGGTGTGAGATTATAGGCTTTGCACGCCGCGGATTCGCTGCTTGCTTACGGAGGTGAGGCTTCCGAGCCACTGCCCTAGACTGGTCTGGTGCGGGACAGACACAGGATGGAATTGTTCTCCTTGGCTGGACTTAAGCCGCGAGAAGGTATTACAATAGTGAAAGTGTGTTATATAGGGTACAAACTTCTCTATACTTGTAGAGATAACAAGATATTAGTGCTTTGGTTTTTTGTACAGATCTCAACTTGTCCCCTTCTTCTCGTTCTTCTGTTTCTTTTGCCTTTGCTTTCCTTTTCGTTTACCTCTTTTTTTCTCACTGTGGATTTGTCAATGTATCCTGAAATGAACCGAATGTATGGGTACAAGGTTAGTTCCTTCTTCGACCTTCGACTCGAGAGGAGCTTGTGCACGTCATGCTTCATCATCCCCGTCGACGACACTCCCTGACCAGCGCTGAGATCAGACCTCAAACGTAATGGACCATCCTTTGCTCAATTACCTGGAGTGGGGTTTTCCCATTCAAGCTGTCTGGTAGCTTCTAAGCCTAGTTCAACTCGAAAAGGTTAAATACCTGTTATTCATCCTTGGACTACCACAACTAAAATTGTCTTCTCTATTTATAAAGATACTTCGTACGTTCTGTGTGGAAGACACTAGCAACATGAGCCATTATACGATCGACGTGGAGAACCAGCGTGGTGCCAACACGACCTATGCAGTCATGATGGACACCCCAGATTTCAGTGGTGACCACAAACCGTGGTTGAATGTCTGGTACACCGCATTCGTCCCCTTCCGTGGAAGTTTTAGCGTTGAGACTGGTGAGGACTTCTACGCCTGTAAGTTGCAATCCGTGCCTGCATGAGGAGCATAGGCAATGGGAGCTGACAAGGAGCTTTGAAGGGGTTGGAACTGTGCCTACGTCGCCTGGCCCAGGCGTGATAGTCCTCAATGGCATGAGCCTGCTCGCCCAACTGGGCTCTGAAGGCTCACCCGGCAGTATGTCACCCCAGTACCTGTCAATAGCTATCTCAAGAAGAAATTTGAACGTTCGGCCACAGAAAGCAGAAAGAAACTAAATTTCCTCGCTTCGCGAATAGGCACTTTTGACATGAAAGTTATCGAATCATTCCCAACAATCGAAGAGATTGAACCCTCTGCGACGACGGGCTCGTATGAGGTCAAAACTGGCACGGACTTTAGTATGCCCAACAGAACTTATCTTGTTGGGCTCGCGAAGGTTGATAACAGAGGACAGGTTGCTCCAGTCGGATCAGTAAGGACACGTCCAGGAGTTCATTGTCTATAGACTGATGACTCTTCCCTATGACAAGGTTGCTCCGGACAACGACCAGAACATTCAAGTCACTCCTAAGATGAGATTTTTCGTTGCGGAGAGTCATCAGATGTCTGGCGAGATTGTCGACCGCTCTGCTGTGGAGAGATATGGTGCTGTCGTGGACTTTAGCAGTGGCGAGGGCGCGGGGAAGTTCTATGCTACTGCGACACAGAACCAGGATGGCAGATTCACTGTGAAGTACTTCGACTCTCCTGAGTAGATGGAAGTACGAGTCCTCTGTACGTGGATGAATGCCAGGCATGGCAGCCTTGGATGTACCTCGCTGGGAGGAGAGTGGAATGAAGGAAGCAAGTAGAGTAGGTAGTTACTAAGGTAGTTGACTGTGACAGTGGCTGACGCTGAGTAAGATATGTGTCAGCATAGCACGGCACGTCGGCGGAAAAATGGCGGAAATTGTCGGGAGAGAAGTAACTCGACTTGTTCCTCCACACTCACCTTATCCTCATACTAGCCCAAGCAATGTCTCTGAAGCTCTAGCTGTACACTTCCAATACAACACGACACAGCATTTGAAGAGCGCAAGTTAAACAGCAATATGTGTCGCTGATCATACAGGAGCTCCATGGCAGCACGCTTTCTCCTACTCTGCTACCAGCATTCGACCGCCGATCGGGAAAAGCCCCCAGGCGGAAAATGAGGTCGGACGATTCCCACGAGCACATACGCAAAGCCCGAAAGGTCACTAGGGCGTGCGACGCCTGCAAGGCCAAGAAAAAGGCCTGCACCGGAAATATCCCTTGTGGTCCATGTACTCGCAAGCATCTGGAATGCACCTACCAGACGGCCTATAATCGCGGGGTAGCCCTCAGCCCCCCGCCATCCGCCTCCAACGATGATCGTCCATTCCCAACCCCGGGCCGTGGGAGAGGATATAGTGGCGGCAATGCATTTTCCCCTTACCCTCGCAATCGGCAAACCCCGACGGGTGGGTTCCAATACACCGCTGTCGAGGGTTCGCACAGTCCGCTCATCTCCCAGGCATCTGAGTCGGCACATCCGATCCAAGAGTCCTTGGTCGAGGTGGGAGGAGACGAAACCTCGCCAGAGGTGGCCGGTCAATACTGGGGTCCTACGTCGGCGCATTCCTTCCTCGACCGTGTTGTTCAAGATCTTCATCCTGCGACGCGACGTTCGCCTTCACAGCAGCATGATCACGATACGCATTCGAAAATCTCGATTTTCTCCTATGGCGACCGCGTTGTGCCGCTACCCTCGGTCATTCGGTTCACGTGGCCTGACAGGGCTACTGCTGTAGGCCTGGTTCAGCGATATTTCGACTTTGCTGCACCAACCTACCGAGTTCTCCATCAACCTACTGTCGAGAGGCTGGTATATCGCATGTACGAAAGCCAAACGCCGCACGACCGGTCCGGCTCATCGCCCGTCGAGCCTCCGCTCGAGGCGGCATCGCAAGCTCTTCTCTTGCTTCTCTTCAGCACCGCAATGATGTTTCGAGTAGACATGAGTGGACGTATGCGCGACGCAGATGACCATGGTTGGCAGAAGAGTGAGATGTATTATGCTCAGGCGGACCACCTCCTTTCTCGTGAAACGGGGGCTCCGAGCATGGCATCCGTTCAGGCTCGTTTCCTCATGGTGCTATATTTGCTTAGCTCCTCGAGGCCCCACAAAGCGTGGTTCACCTTCGGGACCACGGTCCAGCTGATGATGGCCCTTGGTTTGCACAACGGACGCACAAGAAGAGGCCACGACGGGCACAATTTAGTTCAGAAGGAATGTCAGCGGCGACTCGTATGGTGCTCATACACTTTGGACAAGTATCTCAGCGTCATGCTAGGCCGACCACGCTTTTGGCAGGATGAAGACATTGATGAGGACCTTCCTACACGGGTCAATGATTCAGACTTAACGCCTCAAGAGAATCGACTCACAAAGCGTGACTGCTTGATGGACGCCCCCGTGTTTCATGTTCTACTAGCTCGTATCTTGACAAGGGCTGTCAAAGAACCCTATGTGCAAACCGGAATATCCAGCCAAGAACAGATCGCAACGATCTGCACATTACACGAACAGGTACTGGCGTGGCAGGCTGGATTGCCCCCGTTCCTGTCAGGCGTTATCCACCCAAGCAGCCTGGTGCCGGTCTTCCGGCGCCAGCTGACAGTACTGCGACTGGCCCGATACCATGCCGTGATGTTCATCACCAGGCCGCTGTTGCTGCGAAATTATGGGCAGATGTGGCCGGAGTGTGAGGCGACCTACCAGCAGCTTCTCTGCACCTGCCTTACGGCAGCCTGCGATGCCATTGAGCTGATTCTCGGCTTCGTGAACGATGACGAGCTTTATACGGCATTCTGGTACTCGCAGTACATCGCCTTCAACGCTCTTTCTATAATATACATTTATTTGATTCAACTTGGACAGGGGCGGATCTTCCGCGTTCGTCCGCCCTTCCTGCCAAGACCCGCGGGCTCGCTTGATGCCGAGCTGGATGAAGCAACGCTCTACAAGCTGTCCACACTTGCTCAAGATCATCTGGCTAATGCTACGGCTCGCAACGCACCCTCCTGGAAGTATAGCGTCATTCTCCAAGGCTTGCGCCAGGAACTGACCCGTCTGGGTCTACCCAACACAGACGCATCACATCCCTCGGATGCAACGGAGATAAGCGGCTCTGCGGTAGCAGGTATGGTACTTGCGCAGCCTCATAGTACGACGGGCCATACCGGTCAAATGCCACGAGGTGAAGCGAGCGCCTCAAGGACAGGAAACGAAAAGCACAATAACAATTCAAACGCCACTTCTCACCCTGCCTTTGACCACGACCACTACATGGACTCGATTGGCCTAGATTTCCGTACAGAGTCCTTGTTGGATTACTTTGCGTTGGATAAAGATTTGATGTTGGACTTCTGGCCGCAGTTAGATAGTCTGCCAATCAACTCAGCTTTTTGACCAACACAGAAGGCAACTGGAATCTTCTGGTAATCTATCACCTCTGGACGGTAGCCTCGGAGACGTTCCCTCGTCTACAAGGCTGTCACGTGGAGCATGCCGTCTCAGTCTCCTTCTTACGCCGTAAACAAAATCGGGCCTCCCGGGCCGGGACGGAAGATCTACTCCGGAACTTTGCGTTCGTGTTCCCGGGAGCTCGAGCCTGTGGATTCCGGGGGGTTTCCCCAGATGGTTGGCGCGCTGAAAGCAGTCGTAGTCCGGCTGGTTGACAGGCACCTCTCATATGATACCCCTCCTAGTAGTGGTTCCCTCATCGGGGCAAGCGCGACTTAGGCCTGTAGGAGATTGCAGAGGAAGAGTCGCATAAGAGAGCCATTGCTTGCAATACCTCCATGAGCACCGGGGAGAGGCTGCACAATACCCCCAGACTATTGCGTCGCACCGTCTCCTCCAGGAGCCACTCCCTCGACTCGCGGTTCTATACCGAGGTCTTGGGCTGTGCATTGAACTCGGAGATTGGGCCTCCGCTTTGCTCGGAATGTGTTAATTTAGGGGAACCCGCCTCCAGGAGAGCTTGGAGGTCCAGTGATGCACATCCATCGTGGGTGGTGGCTATTAACGCCGGGTTGTTCTGCTCCAGCCCGAAAAATCGAGGGTCATACTGCCTCGGCAAACAGCCCCTCGGTCTTGTAAAACTATCTTCTTTGTATAGCTTCGTTTGAGAAGGGGCCTTGAATTCTCTGTATATATCTTCGTGCTTCTCTTGATTGGTACTTTCTTTGTCATTCACACTGGGAACTTTGAGTTAAGGTGGAGGGTTTTTGTAATCGAGCTTGAGGTTAGAGTTTTACTACGCATACTCTATCTGTATCAGTACTGTCATGTGTATCATTCTTTGAATAGTTGAACGTGAGGCGGCAATGCAGCTGGGAGGTCAAGATCACTGTCGGCCCGACACCCTCTCAAACCAGATCATCTGTCCATTCAGTGCAGGCTCCAGGTCCAAGCCCAGCCTCCCCACCACCCCCGTCACGCCCACGTGGAACTGCGCCGCCATGTACTCAGGATCAACCCCTTCTGCTTCGGGCTTATACCCCTTCACAACAAAGAACACCCCGCTCACATGCTCAAAGCGCATCCATCCCTTGGCCACCCGATCCATCAGATTCACATGCAGCTTCTCATCCTTCAGGAACAGTGTGATGGGGCCATGGCCTGGATGCGAGTAAGTGCCTGTATAGTCATCCAGCGACAACGGGAGGGGCAATTGATGGGTAAATCCTGGAAACAGTCGACGCTTGACCTCCTCGAGGCTCTGCAGCTGTGTTCTCAGCCTCTCCTGCACAATGGCATCAATCTTGGCAATATAGGCCTCTCTGTCCTCGCCCGACCTGCCCAACAACTGATCAAGGAGATAGAGGTAGAGCTCCAGCTCCGCGTATCTCGCCTTCTGCGTGTTGCCCATCATGGCAAAGCCGAATCTCTTGCTCGGGACAAAGCCCACCATGATGCCGAACCCTTCCCAGCTCCCCGAGTGCCAGAATATCTGCTCGCCATGGTAGTTATCCACGAACCACCCGAGCGCATAGAGGTGAACTTGTCCCGGCGGGATGATCAAGTCCTCCCAGTCTTGGATGATGGTCCGCGGAGACAAAAGCTCCTTATACCCCTGTAGTGAAATCGGCGCTCCTCGATATATCATCGTGCGTATCCATTTCGCATAGTCGAGGACATTACTGACGATCGCGCCCGTGCCGGTGGTCGGCGCGTAATCCATGTAAGGGCGCTCGACGTGGCGATTCGTGGTAGGATCCCAGGTGTAGCCCTTCACCAGACGCCGTGCGGTCGACGGACACGCGAGAACCTCTTTGTTCGAAAAATACGTATCGGTCATCCCAAGAGGCTCCCAGATCCGCTCTTTCATCATGCTCCCCAGACCTGTCCCGGACAATTCCTCGAGCACATGCGAGGCAACCATGAACATATGGTTGCAGTAGTTGAACGTTGTCCGGGGAGCAAATGCAAGGGGCAGGTGGCGGAGCTTGCGCACCTCTTCGCGCAGGGTCTCGTTTGGAAAGGCGAGGGACATGGGGCCGAAATGCTCCGGTAGCCCGGAGCGGTGGGAGAGCATATCTTCGACGGTGGTGTTGGCGGTGGCGTACGGGTCTGCCAAAACAAAATCATCCCTGATCAGCGACGAGACGGGAGTGTCCCAGCGGATTGGAGCTGGTGTGGCTTTGCTGTGGTCAATGGCCATCGACATGAGGGCCGCAGTGAAGGCTTTCGTGGTGCTGCACGTGTCGAAGAGAGACGCGACGGTCATCTTCTTATCGGGAAACTCCGCAATCCCGTATGCCTGCACTCCAGGGTTAGCTCATACTATGTAACGATGGCAATGAAATTTGGCAGTTACTTTAGCATAAGTGCTGGAGCCATGGACCACTGATACTGTGAGTCCAGGAACCTTCCATTTGGCTAGTTTCTCCTCGACCAGCGCGTCGAACTCCGGAGTCAAGGGAGAATTGTTGGGCCGTAGAACCATTGTGGCAAACAGTACGGACGCCGACGGGAACTTTGCTAGTTGTCAATTGAACAGAGCCGGTGATAGCACGTCACCACGATCAATGGCTTGGAAGGATGGTGTCAGAATGGTCGATAGAGAGGGAGAGCGGGGAAATGTGGTGGTCTTGCAAGCGGCTCATTTATCTCCCAGCTGCAGCCTACAGCCGCCCGGTGGGATACCATTTTGGGTAAGTGCACCTCGAGGCCGGGTGCGTCCTAGTGAGAATATTACAGATACCTCCAGGCTACGGCATGATGCTGACACACAAATTTCTACTACTGAATGAAATCAGGTGCGTTGGATCAAGTCATAATATGGGCAACATTTCACCAATCAATCGTGTCAGACTAGGCAGCCACGGGGCGTGCATCTGCCTACATTCATCAAGGGTCACTCAATATAACATAGAGAGTGCGAAAATGAAGGAAACCTGGACCTAATTAAATGTTTTTTATTCTCGAAATGTTCCTATTTGCGCAAAGCTTGCTCAATCCAATCGGTGTCCATGTCGATATCAATTTGATGAAGGACCTCCTCCCAAAGGCCGGGATCATCATTTACATCGAAGTCAAAGGATATGTCCTGCACCGAAGAGATATCCTGGTTCTGAAGTCTCGGACCTGTCCGTGCAGCCTGTTCAACCATGCTAGAGGACGGTGTATGCTTCTGTGTGCTAGCGGGGGTGGCCGGTATATCTATAGCATTGTTGTCCACATCCCTTGAGCGATTGGGTCCAATGGCGGACTGCAGTTCAAGAAGCAATGAGTGACGAGCCTCGAGGATGATATTTCCTCGATCCGCCATCCCACGGAGGAGATTCAGCGCGGTCGCCATGGCTCGCGCGTTGGAATCGTTGTGCGGGAATGCCGCATTGACCATGACCAGCAAAAGAGCGGCTGAAAAGATATACTCTCCATCCAGATATCCGTAGGTCGCTACACGAGTGTTAGAGTGCCAACCACATCAAAATCGAGGGACTCGAATGCACATACCAACCAGGTTCTGCTTAGAAGCAGCATCCATGATCATAATGGTAGCACGAGCAGCTGAAATACAGCTCTCTATCACCTGCACGGCATTCTGGGAAAGTCCTTTCTTCCAGTCATCCGTTACTGACCCCGCTGTCTCTGCATCCAGACGTCGCTGGATTACATAAAAGACCAATGGTCTTGCTGTCATGTTGACACATGAGTAGAAATGTAAAAACAATGACACTGATTCGCGATTGATGTGCGTTCCGAGGGTTGAAAAATCAATACGCAAGCGGTCAGGTACCCGCCGTAGCCAGTCGAATAGTTCGTCCATGATACTTTGTACTGAGAGGAGTAGGTTTGACCCAGAGCGAGGTTTCTTCCGATATATTTCTTGAAGCTATGAGTTAGTGATTGCTTCTTGTAGGTTAAAAAGGCCACTTCTACCTTCTCCAATGCGACCAAGTATTCTTGATAATTGAGTGTAGTGAATTAGAACAACAGAAGGCCAGGGGACAACGTCTCCGGGGTTCTATGTGCAGTCAGTTCATGCTCACATACACCTTGACGAATCAAGTACTCACAACCGGTCGCGGCCAAGTTGTCCCTATGTCTTCATCTTGGATAGTTATAGGATTTCCGGACTTCACGGATAGGAGCCTAGCTTCTGTCAGATAACGTCATTTCCCCTGAGCTGGGGCAGGATTACCTATCCAAACTGTACACAGACCACCAGGATCGACGTCGACGATTCCGGTCTTCTTCGCTCATTGCCGGATCCGACGCCTCTTGATGTAGTCCCAATGAGATGGCCATCCGCAGAGCGGTGCCGATCTGTTCATCCCACTTGTAAGCATCTGTCATCATGTGGGTGACGAAAACCACATACATAGAGGAATGCAGCATCCCGCCGATTCAAGTTCTGCATGTAATATGCTACGTAGCATAGTACTTCGACAAAGAAGATGGAGCCCTCTTCGTGAATGTCTGGTAGGAAGCGAAGTGCATGCTTGAAGTATTTGAAGCCGGGAGGACCATCATCTCCTGACCACTGATTCACCGAATACATTAGCCCGTACGAGATGATAAGCAGAACCTGGCAATAGACCAGACATGACTCCCGGTTAAACAGATCTGGAGGTTGGTGATAGACTATGTAAAGTCGCTCTTCGTAGTCATGTGGCTGTATAAGGGAAAAGATTGTTCCGATGTAACTGTACTGCACCCAATAAAGACGCTTGGCGTATTCGAACGGCGGCAATTGAGGTAAAGCCGGCGATATGGAGCGACGTAGGGAGGTTGGATCATCATAAAGTGGGCGCACATCCAACGCTAAATTCTTTGAGGTTGGGTTGAGACGCTTGGCCAAATGAGTGGCGGATGATGCTCCAATAAATTCTTGATCGGATCATGGATCCTTTAGTGTCTTTCCTGCGAAAGTAGGAGGGGTACTTACGATGTTCGCCGGACCGATTAAGGAAGAGATTATCGGCTCCATTATACCACCAGTCGTCTCGTTCTTCGAGCGATGTCTCCACTGGGGTTAGGGAAGTGCTCTGGGAAGCTGATGTGGAGCTGGGAGCAGGTGGTGGAGGGCGATTTCCATCTGGACAAGTGTGAGCTGGAAATTATGACAGCCTGTATAGGACGAAGCAGACCCTGACGAGCGGCTTGTGCATCGGATAGCAAGCGACGGAAGTAGCTACTCGATTAGATAATGGATGTGTGGGTGTCGTCGTCAACTCACCTCTCGGTTATAGACACACGTTTCTCGGCTTCGGAATACACACAATCATAACCTACGTCTTCGCACGCAGCACACGGAAATGGGGGATTGCCAGCGCAGCGGGTCTTCCTGGAGCGACATCGATTGCATCTGCACGAAGACGTTAGTCCCACCCACGTGGCAGAAGGTAAGATGGGTCCGTTCATACGCTACCATCGACCGCCTTGCGTTTGCACGCTCTTCGGCAGACCGGTGCTGCAACCCACGGTGGACCTTCCCAGGAGCCATTTTCAAGCACACGTTGCTAGTGACAAGGCAGAATATGCATCATGAAATGATGAACAGTCTGGAGATGTTGTAATGAGTCTCGGATTGTGGTGGTCGGGTCCAGTTCAATACAAATGCGGAGGGGGGCGGCAACTGATAAGGGAGATGGCGCACGTTGGACTTTTGAGTCACGGTCACGTTGATAAGCGTCCAGAGCAAAGTAGATAACGGACAAGAACTCTGAACACGAGGACTGGGATCTGAGGCCGACTCCACTTGGTGTTCCACACAAAACAGGACGAGAACCACGAGGCAAGGCTAGAAGGTTGGCATCCAAACAGTGCGGGGAAAATCGAGGAAACAGCCAAGGCGGTAACCAGAATGGTAGTAGTCACTCACCACTGAGCATGTGATCGTCAGCTCTAGGCTTACAATCCAGCCACCCGAAAGCCACGCGATCGACTTCCACATTTATCAATCAATTTTGAACTTAAGGTCTCATCGGCCCGTTGAGGGTTCCCTTGTTGCAGATCCGTCAGCCTGTCTCTGAACCTCACAAAATCACACCCTCCAGAATCAAACTTCTCGGCCCGATCGCCCCATGTCCATGCGCCCGGGGGAATCGTGTTTCCCATCACGTAATCTCGAGTCGACTGGCCTTGGGACTCCTCATCTGCTCCGATCAAGGTTCTCAGCTGAATGTCAGGCTGAATCCACCCGAAGCAGCCCGTGCTTGGGGACCTTTCAGACGTGTCGCACGCTGATGTTGCGACAATGACGTTGAGGGGATGTTTTCTCCGTTTTATTTTCTGGACCCGGTTTCGGGATAACGCGGCTGGGGACAAATTATACCCCCCAGATCGTCACACAGCCGGGTACCTTATATGAGAGCACCACTCCTTTCGACCTTGATTTCAATGCGGAGATGCTTGGAGGAGTAAGATGTGCGATCCTGAGCGACTGCAACAATGATACAGGCCGTGATTGCACTTCTCTTAGCATTGCTGGCTTCGGCCTACACTTTCCGCAAATTCGCGCACTTGGACTGTGTTCTTGGCCCCTTAATATCGCCCATTTCGTGGTGGTGGCACATCTACCTGCGTAACTCGCCTCATGACGGTCGCAGGCTCTCAGAGCTTCATGCGAGATATGGAAGAATCGTCCGTCTAGGATCAAATCGGATCAGTGTCTCGGATCCGGCAATCATTGCTCAGCTATACCAGTTTCAAATCGATCGTATCAGGGTACGTCACCATGCTCTGATCCCAAAGCAGAAGTCTTTCTGACAAAAGCAATTTCCAAACCTGCAGGGATCCCAGTCTCAGGATGTTGATGTTTGGGCACATGGTGAACGCGATGACCAAACTCCAACCAGCCAGTGGGCGAGATTCCTGGCATACGAGGGTATCAACGATAGCTCAACAAAGGAGCTCCTCGACGCACTCAAAAGACATCAAAGTATCGAGCTGGTAGCCTGTCTCAAGATATTTGCCGCGACGCTCATTGATAAATGTATCTGCAACCCAGCGTCAAACGCAGCTCAGACACAGACCCAAGCAATAAACGCCCGCTCGCTTTCCGACAAACCATCGATAGTAGAATACCTACTTTTCCAGAGCCCTGTATCGTCACTGAAAAGGTACCGAGGTCGGCAGCTTACACAGTGTTCAATGATGCCCGTCCATGCCCTCACGACACCTGCTGGCCTCCACAAACCAAACCTAGACAGCCCCAACATCCTTAACGACAACACCCTGGCGAGCGACGAGCTTACAACCGAAACTGAATCCCTCATCACAGCCTTTGCCTCCGTCTTCTTATATCTGCTCCAATACCCCGAAAAGCTGACTACCCTGCAACACGAGATCGATTCAGCCTACAATACTGGGTCACTTTCCTCCACTCCACGCTGGAGGGAACTATCACGCCTTCCCTATCTCTGCGCCGTGATGAAAGAGTCGATGCGCCTAACCTGCACTGCGAACAGTGAGAAGGAGTTCCTAGCCTCAGCGGTCTCGGGCAATCTGCGATCGGAATTCATCTTCCCAAGTGGTACGATCATCACCTGCAACGCCTACGTCGCGCACTTCAATCACACAATCTACGGAGACGACGCACACGCCTTCCGCCCGGAGCGATGGCTCATTGCCAGCGTGCCACAGCGGAAGCTCATGGATCGAGCCATCCTACTCTTTCATCCGTGTCTACACACCAATCCAAAGCTCCGCGCCGCCTGGCTGGAACTGAAGAAGGTGGTTGTGCAGATTTTGCTCAACTTCAACGTGAGTTTCTCGTCGTCCAATTCCAAATTGATGCTTTGAACTCATCTGTCTCCAAAATGAATTAGATCCAACCCTTCCTAGTCGATCATCATGCAGGACAAACGTCGAACCTCTCGCCGGGTTCTACAATAGTCACTACGACTCCCAGGATGCCGGAGGTCTGACAGCACATAAACCCGACCACACAAGCTCTTCAGCCATGGCTTTCATTCGATCAACTAGCAATTCTTTCATAAGCACCTCGCTTCCATAGTGCCTCACCACGGCTATTACTTCTCCTTCGATGTTCATTCCCAACAAGATACCCCTTTTGTCAAATCTCAATGATTTTAACATGATACAATCAATCGCTTCGCCTATCTAATTTACCATAGCTTTTCATCTGGGTTAAGCCTCGCCCCACACGGCCACAAAAAGTGGGCCCGATCCCACCCGAGCCTCGGCTCAGCCAACCATGCTCTATCCGAGGCCATTTGTAGGGATTCCCAATTCCAATTTTTGGGGAGAAATCAACATCGGACAGACACATAAAGAGGTTGATAATCATGCAAACAAGTAGCGATGAAGCACCTTGTACCTAAGGCTAGCCGCTGAGAGCCGCCGCAGACCCGCGAAGGAATTGAGGCTGGCGGCATGTTACTGCCTTCAAATTCTTTGGCAAGCGCAAGTGAGCACGCTGACAGCAATCTGGACGACTTGCACGCGGCTCCTGACTGACGGGTCTTTGTGCTTCGCTCACGAAGCGAGCTGTTTGAAGACCGTGGAGCTGCTCAGGTGGTGAAGGCAAATCGCGTTCCGCAGTACCTGCCTCCAGTCTTGGAGAACCAGCATGCCGGACCCCACTCCAAAAAACGTCCTCTGCTTGCTGCATTCCCTGATTTCAATGTGTAATCAACCCATAGAGTGCGCTCCTGGTCCCCGAGTCCGCTCGGACCCAACACGATGCCGGTCTAGTCGATCGGATTGTGGAGCAAGCAACTATTCTTGGCGATCGGTTCGATATGGGGTCGATGGCTTCCGCTATTGAAATGAAGGATTGAGCGGTTGAGAGCACAAAGCTACAGTGACAATGCCGGTTTGTGTACGACGAAGAGGGTTGGATGCGTTTCTCGGTTCGCGGTCGGAGAGAGGCCTCGAACGGGTTCTCGTATATCAGTCTGTCGATCAATTGGAAAGAGTGTTCGCACGAGATGCAATGATAGACATACTAGTCCTATCGATATGAGCCATGAAGAACACAAATGTCTAATTGTACCTTTGTCCGGGGTTAGTTACCCTCGCTCTGTTGTGAGGACAGGAGCCTCGACCAACCTCCTTGCAGGGTCTGTTTTAAGCATTCGAGTGCGCAAGGTCTGGCATGTTAGATGGAACGGTAGACGTGGAAGAATGGTTGTCAAGACATGGCTTCCTTGACTAAACTCGTCAGCTGCAGAGGCGCCCATAGGAGCGATCTCTGACGTATTAGCCCCCATGGTGCCTGATCAGATGGTTTGAGGCCGAAGAGAAACGACACTTGCTGTTGCTTTAGATGTGTAAGAAGCTCAAATGAAAAGCTAACGAGACATAATTGAGTTAGGGAAGAGCTGTTCGAGGCGCGGGGGAAGTCACTCTACCCAGGAGGAGACACCGAGTTTGCGGCAGGAACAGGGGGGAGCCTACTCCTCGCTATCGGTCTTCGATAGGGAGAAGGACATTTTGAGCGGTCTTCTATAGGAAGAATAAGAACATCAAACCATCTGAAGATATAGTCCACATAGATAGAAGGGGATCGAGCATATCTAAACAGATGAGGAATGGTGAAGAAGAAAAAGAAGCCTCGAAAACGAGCTCCCGCCGTCGGCTGTCACCAGGAAGCACCAGACTTCAAAGCGACGAGTTCAGCATCACAGCACTCGAAACAGAGTCAAATAACATCTGAGGAGATATCATAATCAACTAAAGAGAGTCAAGCACTAAATAAAAAGATCAAAAAGCTCACCTATCGGCGGGGGCGTTAGGCGCCGCACCGCAGACAGGCTACGAAACCTCCCCTTCCAGTTATCCTAAGGAGGTTTGCACTACGAAAGGGCCGATCCCCGGGGGGATCGAACCCAGACCACTGTGCCGTTTCCTGTGTACCCGCAAGTGTTCCCGATTGCGCCACAGGGTCTGGGTTATTGACAGTTGTACTCGTTTTTGTTATAAGTACCGCGTTCCTGAATCCGATTAGGAAGGCGGTTGTGAGGCCCACTGTGGCAGAAAAAGACGGGGCTGCGGGGCACCACTTTGTCGAGGCCTGAGGCAGGATGGCCCGAACGGTCAGGATCCTGTCACCACGTCAAGTTATAGAAGGTAAAGACAGCTCAGCCAGGATCTATCGGCACAGTATCTGCCCTTTGACTGATGCTCTAATCCACAGTCAATTATTTACTCCCTAAGCTGTAGAATGTTGCCGCTTACACATAGACAATGTGGGGCTCATCTTAGCTTGGCATTCATGCTTAAATCGAAGTGGGTCTCCCAGCGGGCCGAAAAATAAACTATGGTCCCTGTATGTGCTCGGCAGTTACAATCACCGCAAGGTGCTTTCTCACAATACTTCATATTTAAGAGCGTGTGCCAAACTCGAAGTTAAGCATAACCACTATATCTTTGATTATTTATTGCCCTATCCCTTTCATCTCTGACGGCTCGAGACAATCACAAGATGATGAGATTATTCAGACTTAGTTCGGAGTGGAGTGACTAGTGTGTCTTAGTGCTTTTGCCAAGCAGAGGTTTATCACTAAAGGGTATGATGTACATGTCTGAACGAGAAACATGCATCGAGTGGCAGATTGACTTACTTGGCGGTTGCTACAAGTTTCAACTATAACAGGACGGGAAGTTCACCCGACCAAATGCGTTGGCCAGTCATCTGGCCTGCTTCAGCACTCATCAGGCACGTCTCAGGATCAATCTCTCCAGTTCAGGAATGTCGGAGGCAACCGCGGCACATCCATACTGTCATAGGAGGAATACAATGCCTCGATGGCTAAGGCTACATGTTCAGCCTGCATCTGTTTTCCGAGCTCTGATATGAGTAGCTCGGTTATACTGCTTACCACACAAGGGGCACAGTCTGACATCCCGGTGGCGTCATTATAAGAGATACAGCTGCTTACTGGAAGAAGATTGCCGGAACGTCTCTGCACATATCATATGCCATTTCCCGTCGAACGCCCTAGTCAGACGCCAACTTCATCTACAAACTGAGTGTACGCAAAAGTACTCACTTGCCAGGTGCCAGGTGCTTAGACTCCTTCCTGGAACGGCCTAGCACAGAGGGGTCTCGTTCAGGCTGACCGGAGATCTGAAGCTTTGATAGTTCCACTCGGGCCTAGTCTAGACTAAGTAGTAGATCGACCCGATCACACTAAAGAGTAGGATGTCTGTCTCCACATCTATACTACAAGGCCCCCATGTCTCAGGAATTCCAAATATGCAATACTACCTCGCGAATGCACAAGTATATCGCTCCACCATGGATGCTAGGCTCTGCGATTCTGAGCTGGTCTAGAGGGGTAGTCGAGTATGGCAGCTATTGTCCCGAGCTCTATCCGAAATTTTTTGAACTTCATCCTCATGTTTCGCAGCATAGATACATACCATATCGAGTCTACTCAGTATATCACCAATTTGTGCCTTTAGATAAATGGCATCAAGTGACTCAGCGTCGGAAACGAAAGCCCCTCTAGACCATCATCCCAGCATGGCGCCTGAAGACCATCTCACCACCCATCAGCAACTCCACCAAGACCAAGAAACGCCCAGCACCGAAGGATTCCAGCTATCACCTCCAGCTCCACTCAGCCCTTCACCAGAATACTACATTCCAACTATCCCAGTCTTGTAACCTCAATCCGACCCATATCTCTCAAGAATCAAACCTATATAAAGCGCCCTTCAATTCTCTCATCCCCTCATCAGCAACACCGACCCACCAGCTCACAACCCAACAAACCCCAGATTTTCCACTCCTCAAGCCCACAACCCACAACTCATCAAAATGCAACTCCTCACCTACCCCCCTCTCGTCCTCAGCCTGAGCACCCCCGCCCTCTCAGCTTCTTGGGGAATCAAGGCCTGGCACAGCGACGACTGCAGTGGCTCCCTGCTGACGCACATCGAGAACTCTCCCAAGACGGGGTGCTTCAACTTCGACAAGAAAGAGGGGTACGGGATCCGCTCAATCAACGGAAACTTCAAAAGCAAGGACTACCACATCACGATCTACCCCAAGGAGAACTGCAAGGGGACGGCGGCGTGGCCCGGCAAGAGCATCAGTCCCCACAAGTGCGAGGTGTTCAAGGAGTGGACCTCGAAGGTGGTCATGTACTCGTACAAGGTCACTGCTGCTTAGGCTTTTGTCAGGGGGATTGGAGGGGGTGAGTTGCTTTTGTCTGGCTTGTGCTAGTTCGCGGGTTCTTAGGGAGATGACTGACATTGCGGTGCAGGTACCAGGATGTCGCTGCGCTGCGCCTTTGGCTTCATCATACATATGGATCTTCATGCTGCAGGATTTTCGAGCGAATTATATGTACTTACTCTCACCCTTTCCATAATCGCAGAGAGCAACTTTGCATGCCATTAGCGCTTTTCTTCCTGTATGAGTGCATGCATAAGACTTTTCGCGAGCAATTGCACTGTGATCCCAAAGATTGAGACGACTAGCATAGACCTACCTCTTTCCATCCAACTGAAGCCTGTTCACCTTGCAATCCCCTCATGCTTGTCAACTGAGTTACCGAATAAATTCCCCGCACGGGTAGGAGGAAGACCCCTCCCCCGCACGCAAGGCGGTCAGCCCCCATGCTTACACATCATAACTTACGGTGCATGACTTAATCGCAACGTTCTAGAACCCCCAATCCATCGATCGACCAATCTTCTAGTATCGAACTAAGTGAATCACACACCAACCGTATCGAATAACTAATCAAGCCCAGGCCATCTACAAGCACTCGTAGGTAACTCCTCCACTCACCACCAAGAATCTGAATTCCCCACATCGCCATTCCCAACAAAGAACCCACACAGCGCAAACACAGTACATAAGGTAATCATCGATGATGGCATCCTTCCCCATTACGTCACCACCACCACCACCACCACGCCCCAAAAAACCCAGACCATCCAGATTTATAACCCCTGCCCCCCATTAGTCAATACCACCTAGCCACCAACCGGTCACCCAGGAATCCCTCCCAATTTCCTTGAAATAAAATGCCTCGCATCCCCTCCCCATCCTCCAACCTGACAAAACACCTCATTAATCCATCAGCAAAACCACTCACACTCAGCACCTCCCGAATCACCCGACTCCCTCTCCTCACAGCAACAACATCCCCCCATCACCGAAACCACAGCACCACCACGAACATCACCAAATACACCGCCGGCAACATGACGAGCCAGCCCCCCAAGAACGAGATGGTCTATTTCCCCGGCGTCATGTCGCCGAGCCGGAAGTTCGGGGTGTTCCGCAAGGTGCTCCACACGGGCCTGTACTCGCAGTTTGTGGCCATGGAGGTGCCGGTCAATGGGGAGATTGGGGACGAGGTGTGTATTTCCAGAAGGTTGCGTGAGGCGAGCGAGGCGAGCTGACACTGGAATCTCCTGGGGTAGGTGCATACGGTTGATCAGACGTTGATTTTCACACACGGGACGGGCAAGGCGATTGTCGCGGGCAAGGAGCAGGAGGTCAAGCAGGGGGATGTGGTGATTGTGCCGGCGGGGACGCAGCACCAGTTTCTGAATGCGGGCGATACTCCCCTTGAGTTGGTGACGATCTATGCCCCCGCGGAGCATGATCCTCGGACGGTGCACCAGACCAAGGAGGAAGGGGACGCCCAAGAGGAGGCGGGTGAGGATGAAGCACCTGAGTGGAGTCAGCGGAGCAAGAGCGAGAACGAAAGGATTGGCCTAGTCAAGGTGCCACAATAGCTGCAATTAGAGAAAATCATGTTCATTCTAGTATTCCATTAAGCACAGATAAGTTCTTGAAACAACAACACTGTTGTCAATTGTGACTTCTGATGATCCAACCGTATTATCCATAACCCTCTCCTTGGCTCTCGGCGCAAGATGATCCAAGTGAGCAGACCGTCCTAATGTCCCCGGCAGACTGTTTGTCATGTTGCTCACATGAAGCTTGTTGTTGAGGGACGGTCGTCAATGGCACGTTGGGGTCGCCGCGAGCAGGTGTTTGAGATTGGCTTGGCATACTGACACCATTAGGTTGCTCCGGGAGTCGAAATACAAGCCACACAAGCCTGTCGCCACCATTCGCTTCGTTGACTGGTAGTCCAGTAAGGAAACAAGGCATGCAGGTACACATAACAGCAAATCCGAGCTGCATGACGGACCATTGAGTAACATGGCCGTAATCGCCTGTTAAGTTTAGCACAATATCAATGGTTTTGATCGTGTTATCTTCAGCATACCAAGAAAGTCACCCGTCTCGCATCCATATGCAACACGAACTATACCGCTCATGATGACACTATCTGCATTAGCAGAAATACCGCTGGTGGGGAAGAAGTCGCGTGGCACTTACATCAATCCGAAGATGAGCACTAGTGTTAACTGTGCCCTCATCCCGCCAAGCCGCAGTAAAATATACTTAGGAACCAACAAAAATAGCATCGCAGCGTCGAGCACTAGATCGAAGGCTCCAAAAGTCCAGAATTGCAGTTGTGATGAGGAGCAGCCGCCAAGGATAGACCTGTCCCAAAAGTACTGTGGTGGGATACAGATCAGAACCTGAGGGATTGTCTTGAAGAACCAGAGGGCCGCAGACAGAAATATGAATGTGTCAACGCGAAAGCGGAGATTTGGGATTGGAAACATTCGTCGGCAAGACAACAGCAATGAAAGTCGGGCCAACAGCAAAGTCAAGCCATGTAATAGCGGGTCAGCATATCTGGCCTGGAGGTACTGTCTGGTCTTCAATTCAGCCTCTTTTGGATCTGTGTAGCTCTGGCCCGCACCGTAGGTATACACACAGACAAGGGCTCCGGCACAGTAAGCAATGAATACAGCTAGACTGACGATGCATAGCTTGTCATCGGCGCCAATTGACAATCCTTGAACTTTGCGTGCACGTAGACGTAGAAACATAACAATTGCGGCCATCGAAATCGAGATAGCAACCGTGTATACTGTTGTGAGACCAGTCATATGTTGTTGTGGTGATATAATCTCAGAGGACGCCATGCTGAGAGTTTGTTGACATCTGAATCGGCTGTAGACGATGAAGATGAGTCGAAAATCGGGCACAAGATGAACAGTAAGCCGTGAGTTGCAGACTAACCTTTGAAGACGTTCGAAGTCAGTCCTGACTGATCGGAACATGAGGAATACACGGGAAAGTTAAAGCAAATACTTACCTGGTTTTTAAATGTGTTTATGCGTGATGAAAGATGTATGGTGGAAGAGTAAAGGTTATAGAGATCGAGTGAGTGGGCTCAGACTGATCACCTGTTTTAAGAAGGTAGTTGCTTCCTAGGTAGTCCTAGATAGTAATATTGTTGGGAAGGGGCAAAATTCACTCCTATCCCATAGTTCAATTTAAAGAGAATCACAGCTGTGATTGCAAACACTGACCTGAGTGAATAGAGAAATGGTGTGAAAAGGCAACTGCTGTCTTGTTCGGAATATTGTTTACGCGTCTGGGTTATGGTGTGGTTGTAACGTGCAGTAGCTCAAGCTTCACTGCCTCCTGATATTGGTCGGACTGCGATAAACTGGGCAATAGAATAGAGTATAGATGGAGGGGAAAGAGTCTAAAGAACAAGAAACATGCAAGCAAGATGTGAGTCGTCGACCGTGATTCAAGACAGAGAGCTGTTTGAAGTATGATTGTATCTCAGTATAGCTTTTATATGAAGGAGTAAGTTCTGTGATCATCTTACCATTGATTTGCTGCTTCTAATGAACTTGTGCAAGTCCCTCTTAACCACAAGTACACATAGTGCTTACATAGTATTGTGTGCCGATTTATGTTCATATGGACAAGGCTTTTTTGGGTCCAGGTTACAAATGGAGGGGCAATCGAAGCAGCAAGAGGAAGTGAGTAAATGGTGATGCCTCAGGTTCAGATTACTCTCGCGCATATTTGACTTCAATTCTCGCTAGAAACTTTCATGACATTAGTACTAAAGTAGTCTATCACACTATCAAGATGACAAATTTTCCTTTCTATATCGCTTCCAGCTGACAAGCATAAAGAAAACCGAGGTTACCACCCCGAGACCAGCAAGTCCGATACCTAGATATAGCGCACCGCGATATCCCCGAAGCGCAGCTTTGCCCCCGTTGTTGACATTCGATTCCACGGTACCAGCAAAGCCCAGCCCAAGCGAGATCGAATAGTTCACTGTCGTGGTGACCAAGGAGGCTGCGAGCCCTTGGTGGTGGTGATGCATCGAATTGCTGAGAATCAAGGTGCCGGATGGGAATGACATGTCCCTATAATAGATTAGCGACATGCTACCACTGGCGAAGAAACTAGGTGTATACTCACATTCCCCATGAGGTGATCAAGCTAGCAACGAACGCTTGGGCCCAATAGGTCTGGTTCAAAGGTATTGTGGCAACAAGGCCCTGACCGACGGTGAAAAAGCACATGGCGCAGAACATGATCACACTCGGTGGCAATCGGCCGAGAAGGAAGCCGGTGACGAGGGCGGCGACTGCCCCGGACGGTGCAGCAGCAGACCACTTCGCCGTTGCTAGTAGAGGCGAGTCTCCTTTGATCACCTCCATGAACTGATAGAAATAATAGATGACTATGCCAAAGCTAGACCAGCCGGCAGCAATGCATCCGAGCACCCATGCCAAATCCCCTGTCAGAACCGACCGGGGGATCAGTGGACATGAGGCCGAGCCTTCGACCCAGACGAAGACACCGAAAAGGATAAAGCCGACGATGAGAAGAACATAGGTATACACCGTCGGCCAACCGACCAGAGCTGCTTGGTTCCAGGCGAAGTTGATCAGTACTAGTGCTGAAATACCGGTTGTCGCTCCGAGGACGTCTAAGCGAGCCCACGTCGATAGGTCATCTTTGAACTGCTGCCGGTGAGTTTGTGGTATAACCAGCAGGCCTAGCACCGACAACACGAAGCAAACGATCCCCATAACCCAGTACGCCCAAGGCCACCACACGAGCTGCGCGAATATTGATGAGAATACACCACCGACGATGAACCCGCCAGGAGCAGTGGCACCGAAACAGCTGAAAATCATTTCTTTGCGCAGGCCCGGGGGGTATGCGCGGCCGAGGATCGCAATCGCATTCGGGAGCAGCAAAGCTGGGCCGATGCCTTGAAGTGCCCGGCAGCAATCGAAGAAGACTTTGTTGGACCATACACTAAACCCAGCCAGAAGTGACCACAGTCCGAACCACGCGAAGCCGATGATGAACATGAGACGATGACCATACACATCTCCAAGCCGACCCGCAACCAGAATAAAAGTGCCGACGGTCAGACTATAGGCTGCGGCAAACCAGCTCAGCTCTCCTGCGCTGGTGGTTCCGAAGCTGTCCCCGATGATATGTGCCGGCGCGATAGACATACATAGCCCAGCTTGCGTCATGAATTGAGCCATACATACTACCGCGATGAACGCAATCTCCTTCCAAAGCACTGAAGGTGGCTTGAGTGTCGACTGGGCAGTTTCGAGCCGAGTCAATGCCTCAGGGTCATGCTCGTCGGCCTCATTGTCAATTGGTTTATCGTGCAGTTCGTTGCGAGAAAGGGTAGACTCGGAATCGGCAGGGGTGGATTCGTCTCGGAACTGACAATCGGAGTATTCTGTGTCGGTGGTCATTTCTTTCAAAGCGTCTTCAAGCCGCAAGAGAATACAGCCTACTCAACGAGACACCGAATATGAAGGACAGCCAACAGCTCCGGGCCCGAGCTCGGGAGATTCCCCTATCTTAAGTATCGCGAAATGTCGTAGCCCAAGTTGTTGATGATATCTATCTTGACCCACTCAGTCGCCACAGCATCATATACTGCGATACAATTCGTTGTTCAAGCCTGAAGAACTGTCCCAAAAGAGCTAGTCGGATCTTGCGGACCCGTACTTGAGGCTTGTCCCGTCGGAAAGCACTCCGGGCCCGACGGAATGCAGTGCGCCACCGTCAGCCCGAGTTGATAACATCATCTCCATGTACGAAGATCTAGGGACTTCAGCAGACTCCCTACGCGCATTTCGCGTTGCCGATTGCTCGGGACGGATATTCCTTGCTTGTTACTTTTCTTGTGAGAAGCCATGGGTGTTCATCTCTGCTAGCCAATGCAGGGTCTTTGCTCGTCACAACGGCTTCCCAGTCCGGATTGATCTTGATGAGATCAGATGCGTCAATCATCATGACTTCATAAAGACCAATCCCTGATCTTCAACGTGGCGCCAAGCCTTTTCAGGGACAAAACATCTACTATATACTTGCATTCGACATACAAACATATTTCTTCTGGAAGAAGATCGAACATCTATGAACTTTCCCTCGGCGGATGATCGCCTATAGGTTACAAACATGTCGACACAATAATCTCCTACGACTCAAGAACTGTATCTTAGTCTTCCAGCCACAGGCATTGCTAAGGCATTACTGGTCTCATTTGTCGCATTGACGAACCACTCTCGGAATCGTACTTCTGCTACCGGAAAAATTCCAAACGTGCTAAGTCATCTAACAATTTAGAGCACGGTAGATCAGCATCTATCAGTATTGGATACAGGTCATTGTTTACCTCAGCCTTCAACGATGACCCAATCTCTATTCTCGCCTTTGTTCTTCAGCTTTAGAGCCATTTGCTGACCCGCCGTACTGTTTGCCTTCAGTAGACTCTATCACAACAGCTTGTTAGAAGCACTGGCCTTATATTGGTAGCACAATGTTGCCACTGTTAGCAACCACTGAGTTCTATTATCTAAATTGATCTTCATGTTATCACCAAGCGATTCCTGGCAAGCACTAATCATAATGTGGCCAAGAAATAATGTGCAGAGTTGGAGCTTGCAATCACGAAGACAATGGCAGCACTTACTGTAACTCTCCGGTATGACAACGCAACTACAACGACCATGTCTTTGATGGTAAATTTCTTATGAACAACCAGGCCGACAGAGCATTGGCTCAAAGTCAATTGAGAAACGTCTTTATTGCTTCAATATGGCGATGACGTATAAATACCATTCATTGTCCCATAGTCTATTATAGTATGCTAGAATCCCAACTGAGCCAGAAGTTTAGCTATACGAGCCCCTATCGCCCTATCGCCAACATGCCTCAAACAAGTCAGATCCAACCTTCGAAGCCGCGTGAGGGCTTGAAGGAGCGGCAGCAGTGCCAAGTCGCCCAGCTCTTCATCAAGAACAAAATCCCCTACGTCTACTTCCTGGCGCCCAGCGTCACGTCAAGCAGCCCGGACTACAATTCAAGCAGCTGGGTGATCCCGGACGAATACTTCGGACGAGCCGTCTGGCTACTCAAGAAGAAGGCCGACCCGCCAAAATGCCTGCTCAAGAGGGACTGTGCCACGCAGAGCAAGCAGTTCCTGCGCCCCCTGGCCGACTACCACTTCCATTCGGCCAAGTATCCGACGGTGGAGGAGTTCCGCCGCGGCTGCCCCATCTCCACCTCGATCGACCTGTACAAGCAATCGACTCTGCTGTGGATGTTCCCCAGCCCGCCGATCGGGTTTGTGACCCCGAGGGACCCGCACTACGAGGCGCGGGGGCTGCCCAAGCCCGGCTTGCGCAGCTACCTGCCCCTGGCCGACAAACTGCCCGTCACGGTGCTGACCTTCCCCAAGTACATCGAGGCCTTCATCATGCTGGCCTGCCGCGACTCCGCGGGCCACTGGTCGCTCAAGTTCTGGATCGACTACCTCCTGTTCATCCGACGGTACGAGGAAGGGGCGCGCCAGCGGGACCCGGCGCTCGCCGCCGACAATGACAACGCGTTCTCGCTCTGGCGGATGGAGACGATCGACGAGCCATACCGGGAGTACTATAAGCGACTGGTTTACTACGATCACGACCGCATCACGGACAACGACTGCGGCACCCAGAACCTGCGGTTCATGCACTCGACCTTGACGGACCTGATGCATCTGCCCAAGGGGGACGGGAAGCTGCTGTGGTGCTGCTGGGGGAAGCCGGTCCAGGTCCACCAGCGGCAGCCCCGGCCGCCGTGGAAGACGGTCCGGAGTCAGGGCTTCACCCGCCCGGAGCTGGATCTGCAGAGGCTCGGCACTGAGCATCGTTGTGTGCATAAGTTGGTGCTTGCGCCGCCTACGCCTTTTGAGTCTTCTAGGCCTCCAGGAGCTCCTTGGCGCCTTGAGCCTCCTGAGCCTCCGGCGCTTTCTGCGCCGCGTGCAAGTAGTTCTGTTTATTCGGATTAGTGTTCGATATACCCCCTGTTCTAGATTCTTGGCGCGAGGCTATTGGCTCCGGCGCAGATAGTTAATTCATTCTGTGTCATAGAGTTGCTGATCTTCTTTACTTTTCACTAGTGTATGAATCTCGTTTATTGTTGGCTGTACATGTTGTACGTACATAAACGAATTTCTCAACTTGGGTGTTGATCTGTGCTGAAGCTGTATGAAGTACCGACTTGAAGCGGTAGACATGGCGCGGATGCTGTATCGTGATGCGGTAGAACTTGGGGAATATATTGCGTTCCTTTTCTGAGATTGTGCGATTCTTCAAGGACAAAAACGAACATTGTACAATTTATGTGATGTAATTGATAGTCGGTGGACGATCCTCGGCAGAGAGTACCTATTGAAAGCCAAGAACAACCTAAAAGATCCTTCGAAGCTCTGCTACTGCTTGAGGAGAAAGGACGAGAATGGCATTTTATTCCGTGTTCTGGTGGCAGTACCCACGCGGGAAGGTAGGCGGTAAACCGGCGATCATGTGATACGCCAGAGTCTCTTTTCTGCTGCCCAAACAGGCTCATCAATCAATCCCTGCGAGAGGAAAGAAGAAGTTAAAAAAAAGGCAAACTTCTCTTCCAGGTGGTGTGACTACATACAAACTTGACCACCCTCCGCAAAGTCCCGCTCTCATTCTCGTGTTCTATGGTGTACTTTGTAGTCAGGATACTGCCGAATATCGGCATCGGAAGGCAGTGGATCCGGTGGCTTGCTCCACATGATCTCAGCACCTTAGCTAATCACAATCACATGCCCCGGTGACGAAGCAGCAAAGAAATTACGAGAGTCACTGCAGGTGAGCGAAGAGAAAAAAAAAAGAAACGTGAATTCATCTTCTCACCGGGAAGACTCTTCATCCGACCGATCGCAATCAGGAAGAATGTGACCGGGAACTTCCCCCTTTGTCTCAACTGATCTCTCCCCGTCATCATGTTGTGTTCCTTTCCTAGTTCTTTGTTAGCGACCTTAACATCTCGGATCGCCCTCTAACGCGCTGTGATCGTGGCTGTGGAGGTGTTGCTGTCTACCCCGCCGGAGCGACGAGACAACCTGGGTCAAGGCGACAACCACGCCCCCTTTCCAGCTGTGACCTGCGAGTCACCGACTTACCAAATTCGAATTCGCTCAATTTTACAGTGATCACCTTTTTCACCTTTAAACCCTCCCTTCCTTGTCTTGTCCAACTTTCAGTTCGACAACCACTTGTTGTTTTCCTTCTCCCGACGGCTGCCTTATACTGCCGCCATGGGGAAACCCCCCGCCGCCATCATCATTGCTAGGTAAGGCTTCACGTTTTTTATGCTTGCAAGTATTAGATCGCATTCTTACGCTCACTGCCTCGATAGACATGGCGCTCGCCTGGACGCTGCCGACAAGAATTGGCATTTGACATCTCCCACTCCTTACGACCCTCCCCTCTCCTACGGCGGCTGGCTACAGTCCCGCGCTCTCGGTACTAGAATTGTCGATCTTCTACAATCCCTAGACGATAAGATAGACGTCTCGACACAGAGCGATGCTGCACGGAAACAATTCCTCGATCGCGTCAAGACTCCACCCCGCAAGCGCCGAGTCATCATCCATACCTCTCCATTCCTTCGTTGCCTTCAGACAGCCATCGCAGTCAGCTCAGGAATTTGCCAGAACTCTCCTGAACCGGACGACTACCACCGGCCGTATGGCTCGCTTGCAGGACAGCTTCACAATGCGGCCCATGGATCCCTAAAGAACTTGACTTTGGACACTCCTCCGAGCTCGAGCCCCAGGTCTAGCCTGGACAACACGCGATGCCTTTTGCGTGTTGACGCTTTTCTCGGAGAATGGCTCAGTCCTGACTATTTCGAACAAATCGTGCCCCCTCCCTCCTCCGACCGAATGATCGCCGCCGCCAAGATTGAGCTGTTAAGGCGTGAGCAGCATTTTGTCCCGGCGGCAGACATAACGTCCCGACCATCGGTTGGCTTCTTCCCGGGTGGTTGGGGAAGCGTTTCAACTCCAGTGTCTCCTGCCCCCGACCTCAACGCACCCAATGAGCCTGAATCTACATCCATAACAAATTCGGCGCCAGGGCACAGAACTCGTGCGGGTAGCTGTGACGCTTTGGGCGCTGGTGACGCCTGTCGCAGCAAGAGACTACTGAACAAAATCAACACCAATCTATCGCCCATTCCAGACAGCGCATATGTGCCTCCGACTCCAAGCTATGCTATTTCTCCTTCCAATCCAATACCTGCTGGATATGTGACTCATGCCCGTGATGCCTGCGTCAATGTCGACTACCAATGGGACAGCATGCGTGGTGACCAAAATTGGGGGAATGGAGGCGAATACGGGGAGGAATGGAGCTCAATGCATGCAAGATTCCGCAATGGGATGGAACGCATGGTTAGCTGGTACGACGAACATGATTTCACAGGGTCTACCCGCCAAAGTCAGCGCAATTCGCAGATGTTGAACGGAACCGGCGACAACAATCAAAGCGACGATACTGACGACGAAACCGAGACCATTCTGGTTGTAATTACGCATGGAGCTGGCTGCAATGCACTCATTGGGGCAATATCCGGGGAGCCAGCACTTGTCGATATTGGCACGGCCTCTCTCACCCTGGCAGTGCGCTACCCTGACCTGCACGAGTCAACTGGGACCGCATCAACAGTTTCGGTTGGGTCCCTGGGCTCCGAGCAGTCTTTCGACGAGCCGATCAATTTGCAAAGTTATCGGTTGAAAAAGGTAGCCTCTACCGAGCATTTGCGGAATGGAGTTAGTAACCCCGCTGTTTCGTCGCCCGTCAATCTCGCATCACCAGGCATCCCAACCTATCGCCAGCGTGCTGCCCCGCGAAAGTCGATGTCGCAGGGAATGTTCATCATCGGCCCCTCCTCTACATCTGGCATGGGGTCCCAGTCGTGGAAGGCAGCACGGCCCTCGACAGCTGTTACCCCCAGTGCTTCAACGGGGCTATGGGGGTCCGTCTCTGCCTCAGCTGAGCCAGCAGATGACATTGTGCCCAACTTTGGCGATTGGACCACGCCAGCTTCTACACCGTCTACGAATGAAATCCATCACGATGTGGATAAGCTGGCCGCCACTGGGCAAACCTGGACCAGTCAACTGCCGCAACGAACCATGTCGCAGCGTGGTCTGTGGGGCAGCGAACCCCTGCAAAAGGATCGAGAAGCGGGCACCAAACGGCGTTGGACCGTGACGGAACGACGAAGGCTGTGATTTAGCATGTGATACTGCACATTAGCTTCTTGGCGTTGGATGGATTGTCCCGTGGACGTCACTCACGAATTTACGAACTACTGAGGAGGAGATCTATGAGGTTTACTAGGCCAAGTCATCTTGCTCAGAATCTCGGCTAACATGGAATGTATGTACTAACTAATGGTTTTGAAAAACAACACAATATACCCAATCAATCTAACCACACATATTCTCCACTTCAACCATGAATCCTGCCGCAATCTTCGAATCGTAGCATAGTCTGTGTTCACAACCTCTTCTCAGCTCTGAGACCCGGTTGCACCGCCTAGGCTCCAGCCATCCATCCCTGCTCTCAACCAGCGCAATCGACAGGAGGATTGACACGTAGTACACCCACCATCAAGCAAAAGACAACGATGATCGCGGGGTTCCCATCCAAGCCAAGAACAAATTAGATTCCCTCCTTCTGCACCTCACCCAGCCTTAACTGCATCCAGGCTAGCGAAGAAGATTGGTAAGACGCCGGAGAGTTTTCCATCCTTCCATCCTTTCCCGCCCCGCACATCGCTCGGAGACATGAGTAATCATCTTATCTGGTGCTGCGGAAAAATCTCGGCCAACCCGCGATCAATTTCTCTTGGTACTAGTCTAGAATTTTGTGGTCTACTCATCAATGAACAGGACCCCCGCTGAGAAGATTTCCCGTGCGCGGCTTCTGGTGGCACAGCCGATTTCCGGAGGATTGATTGATTGATGTGATGAAAAAGATTTTTTTGGGGGGCTGCGGGTGGAGTTTGACAGGGCTGGTTTGGGCTTAGCTTCCGCTGCGGGTTCCTTTCCATGTTTCTTCACAAGTATGAATGGCTTCACCAACAAAGAAGGACAAGGCCTTTGTTTGATTGCTCTTTCATTGCATTGTGTTGAATGAAGCTTGGTGATGATTGCTTCAACAAGCGCAGGACAAAGGGCGACGGAATGTGCTGCGTTCATAACCTTTTACTATGAGATCAGGTTTCGCAGATGGAAAGAATATAAGAAGACATCATGACACCAATCTACTTGGTCATCCTGCTCGTCACTATAGAGAAACTGACCTTGCTCTGCTAATTAGTGTATTTCTTATGCCCAAGATGTCGGGTTCGTTATGTGGTCTCAGTACTCACTCAGGTTTTGCAGAGGGTGTCTCGCAAGGGACGAGTGGTCCAGGACAAAGACTTTCTCTCCAGACTGACCTCTGGGAAGTGGTAACAAACTTCCTGGAGAAGAACGACCTGATCGTCTTCTCTGAGTCTCATCGCGGTGTCTACAGCGCTGTGAGCCACGAGCGCTGTCCTGCTTGTCAGGATCAGCTCCTGACTCCGCAGGAGGTATATGACAATTACGCAGCGGCTGCCGCTGATGAGAACGCCAGGCTCATGGTCTTCAATCTGCACCCCGTGGAGAATGCTGCCTGGGCAATTGAGCGCGACGCGGTGAGTGAGAATCAAGTAGACGACTATGCTGCCAAGCTGGCCAATGCGGTGACTGTAAGTGGATTGTCAATCCTGTCACTTGCCGTTCTTCGGGGAAGAAAGGACGTGGTGAATGTTCTTCTGAAGCATTGCGCGGACCCTACTTACGGAGGCGAAAATGCTGACTTGAAGCCCTTGGACTATATCAGATCCCCCTTCCATCGAACTGACTCAGCAGGAGGAGACCCAGCGAGGATCAAGGCCGCCGTGGCAATGGTGGAAACACTGATCATGCGCGGGGCGACCTTCACCCAGAAGGGGCCCTGGGATATCATTCTGTGGACTCGACGCGTCGACCTCATTTGCGAGGCGGTCCGGAATGGTGTGGATCTCCTCAGTCTGCGCTGGGAGAGCCAGGGTGTAAGTCTGAGCCCGCTGAGCGCTATCCTCCATCACCCGGCCCTGCCCGAGGACAAGGTCCGCGACGAGGTCCTGCGGGAGATCCTGGAGGCCGCGCCCAGATTGATGGACATCAGCGACGGCGGGGGACGCACCGTCATCCATCAAGCCGTGCAAGCCCACCGGTGGAATCTAGCGCAAGCTCTGCTCCGGTTCCCATCCACGACATGGCCGATCGCCAACGACGGGCAAAGCGCGCTGACCATCGCCATTGCCCACGGTAAGACAAAACTGATCGCGGGTCTGTTGGACCGCCCCGAGTACGAACTAGACTTCATGCACGACGTCGACTCCATGCTCCTGTGGCGTGATGTCAACAGCCCCACACAGGAGTCCTTCCCGCTGATGGTGGCCGTCGCAAAGGCGGCCGAGTGCCCCAGAGCCCTGTATACGCTGGCCACCCACCCGCGCATGTGTATCCCCACAAACATGCCCGGTCGCCTCAACGTCCGACAACTGGCGCTGGAGCTGGGGATGGAGGTCGGCCTCGGTCCGCGCCATGTCGCGCTGATCAAAGCCATCCCCGAGCGGTGCGATTATGACGAGGGAGAAACTTGCACTAGGACTAGGGTTGAGTAAACTCATCTACTACAATTCGTCTAACCTAAGTTCGGAAAACAGAGTATAAAACTCGCTTAATCGACATACCCCCAATTTCCAAATCAACAAATCTGTAATCATGCCAGCCATCTCCCCCATCACTCCCCCACCCGCGCCAGATAGAAGTGCAAAACCCCCGAATCCCGATAATAAGGCTTATACTCATTGGTCGCCGCCACGGTACACTCATTCACATATCGAAACCGATCTACCTTGTCCTCGCCGTCGGGGATGACCGCGCAGGCGCCGATACCGTGGAACTTGATTTGCCGGACCTTTTTCTTTGCGGGGCATCAGATTTGGCCTCGGTTTCATTGAGTAGGGATGTCTCACCGTTTCTGTCTCCTCTAAAGAAAACAGTGTCCGGATAAGCGGCAGCCCGTCCGCCGCGATGGCCTGGGCCGGATGTCCCGTGTCGAGTAGGTTGATGCTCCACTCTCCATCCAAGAACTCTGGAGATACCGGGTTGAGTCGGTCGTAGATGGTTTCGAGCTCGGCGCGGTCGAGCTGGCCTGGTGTTTGGGTGAGGGCGAGGTATTCTTCTGTTGGGTTTTGGGTGCTATGGTTGTTAGTTCGGATTGGAGGGGGTGGGTTTAGGATGGCGTACGTTTTCATGGTGATGGTTCGTTGTGGGATGACTTTCGAAAGTATACGGGTAGAGGTACAGGGTCAAGATGGTGTAAACCTTCTGGCCTTGTGGTAGTGTGTGCTTCCCTTTCGCGACTTCATATACCCGGATCCAACGCGGAGGTGTGATACTTGATTGGTTTCTGGCGTCTTCCTTGTATGGTGTATGCTGTATGCTGTCATTCGATGCATAGAGAGAGGAATATGGGAGGGATCCGCGGTATGTGTGCCAGCTCGATCGGGGTGTCTGCAGAACTCGCAATGTACTCAATGTGCTGCGTGGGCAGCGGTGATTGATTTCCTCCTAGGTACTTTTCTGCGAAGTTTCCGAGCGAGCGATTGTCCGTTGCTTGGGTCTACGGTTATCTCTCTTGATCTTTTGCATGTTAAGTGGCTCCAGTACATCCTATCAGGAGAGTTAATGGCTTGTTTCGCTATACTGCAAAAAGCAGGTCTGCGCGAGAGCGATCCTTTAGGTCCGAAATGTCATCCTCCAGATCCGTGATCATGCATCACAGCATTCTTGTTCTTTGACGTCACTGCTTTGATGCAGACTGCTTGATTCTATTGCATTTCTGAACTCTTGCCCAAGTTGAGCGAAACAGAGTTCAACAGCATCTGGATATTTGGGTTGCCATTGCCACCTTGGGAGGGGAGACATAGAGTCGGGCTTCCTGCCATCGTATAAGACATTTTCGGATAGACTTACTCCTTTCAAGCTCGGTGTCTTGCTATCCTGACCCTGCGGCTACAGGCTCACGGAAGATCGCTTGCTGCTTGATCGTCCCTTGCATCTCGAAATGTCGAACCCGCCCAGTGAGGTTGGCAATTTCGGCAGCGGCGAATTTGTGGCGAGAACACCGTGTCTGGGATTGCTGCTAGGGGTTCCAGAAGGGCCACTCGCTTGCAATGATTCAATGATTAGGTCTGGTTAGGGACGGGGGGCTTTTGATCCTGGAGTTGAGGATAGGTGTTTTGCCCCCGCTCATTAAGTACACATGTCGGTATATCCTCTTGTGTTGTGATGCGTCTGCGTCCCGACGACTGAGTTCTTGTCGATTCATCGATTCAAGTCATTTTGAGATGAGGGGGCGAACAGGCGAGAGTGCAAAAGGCTAGTTTACCTGTCGAAGGATGCATCTGAAACATTACAGATCCCTGTTTGCTTGAAACATTGCCGGATGGGTTGTTGTTGCCTTGTTTGTGTCTTAGTTATCGGGTAGTTATCAGGCAGCTCAGCTTATCGGTCTTGGGATGCTGGGAACGTGCGGTAAGTTACCTGTCAATTATTGTAATCGGCTATCGCTCTGGCTGTCAACTGTCAAGATAATCTAATACAGCTTCAATTGAGGAAGCTCTGACCATACCTAAGCTCGTGCAAGGGCCAGAAGTGGACTCAATCTGATTGACTGTGAGTGGGGCTGCCTGAGGTGTCGACCAGGTACGTAAGTGCGGAGACAGGCTGCAGTTCAGGGCAGTTTCCCTGTCCTCAATTCCTCCAGCCACTGGATTTTACTATTTTTGTCCGCCGCGGGCAAGCAAGAAGCAAGCTAAGAGGATGAATTTAAATACGCCGCCCACCAAGGCGGGCCTCGATCTCTTGTCACTACTTACTTGTAACTTATGCTCCAGCCTTCCATTCTCAATACAATTGATTCTCCCTCCTTCATCCCTCCCTCCCTCCATCCATCACTATTACTGGCATTGTTTGTTACTGCTCCTCTATTCCTCTTCCTACATCTCCTGCAGTGAGTGCGGCGACCTTCAAGCATGTCTGCTGCTCCGCGCCGCAATGGCCAGCCACCACCGCCATGCGAACCGTGCCGCAAGTCCAAAATGCGCTGCGACAATGTAATCCCCGCCTGCCAGAATTGCATCCGTCGAGGCAAGGCCGAGAACTGTGTGTATCCCGCCCCTCCCGCCACGCGCACCTGGTACTCGGACAATGCTCCGTCGCCGACCGCGTCTCCGCGCTCGCAGGGCCGCCCGGACTCCTTCACCCAGGGTGGCCGGTCAACCCCCAACGGGGACGAGAAACTAGCCGCCATGGGTCTTCCCACCACCGCCACTACCGCCAACAACAACAACAACAGCTCGGCCATGTTCAGTGAGATGGAGGACCAGTTTCGGGGGTCCATGTACCTCGATGCTTCCTCCGCGGGCCGGGCCGAGCCTGCCACCACGCCGGATCCGAGGCAGGTCCAGATGGGCGCTCGATTGCTCACCTTGCTGTTCGAGAACCTGCCCCTGTATGAGCGTTTGGCGGAGACCTCGCTGGATGTGTGGCCCGAGGGGTGCATTCTGGGCCACCGGCTCATCACGGGGATGTTCGAGGCCCTCGAGGATATCCTGGAGGCCTTGACTTCCGACCCCAGCTACGTCAAGGATCGTCATTCGACGATGCTGCGGTGGGCGCAGAAGATCTTCGACGACAGCGCCAAGCCCCTGACGGTGCATGCGGCCACGACCCCGGAGGACTATATCCGGCGGATCTCCTCCCGGTGGGAGGGTATTGGGCTGGTGTACTCGATCGTCGGGCAGGGCGCCATGCTGGAGCGCGATTGGCGGTCCATCCGCGAGCGCGAACGCAATTTGCCCCGTGATCAGAAGTTGCTGGCGGCCCAGGCAGTCTCGGCGAGTGATGCCTGTCTGCAGTTCTGTGATACCTTTGGCGCGGTGGATGATTCGCTGGGCTGGTTGTTGTTCCAGCATCTTCATCTCTTGACCTTGGTTTACGGTGAAAATGGTATGTTTGATGAGTTTCTCTTGGTGCGGGGAATCGGGACGTAGGCTAACAACTGACAGATCCTCGAGCGTGGAGGAAGCTGGCCGAGCTTGCGACAGTGGCTTTCACTCTCGGTTCCAATCAATCAGAGAAGGACACGAGGACCCCCTTCTTCGTGGTCGAGCTTCGCAAACGTCTGGTCGCGGGCGCATACAGCATCGACAAACAGCTGGCCACCTCCTTGGGCAGACCCCCCCAAATCAGCTGGCGCTACTATGACGTCCAGTTCCCGCTCGACCTGAGCTATGATGAGATTCTGGCCGAGCCGAAGATCCGCGAGGCGGCCATCAGCAAGCTGGACAAGACGGGATGGAATACCCAGGGAGTCGTGGGGAAGTCCGCGTGGCTTCGGATTGCGCTGCTCATTGGCTCGACGAGGGAGCAGATTCTGGAATTGTCGCTCAGTCGCCGTATTGACGATTTGTCTCGCAAGGTTCAGTAAGTGCATTGTCACGCTCTCTACTGAAGACATAACGCTTACGTCGCATGCTTAGGGAGGTGTCTCAGCAATCTCACAAAACTTGGAACGAGCTGCCCGGCTTCCTTCGCTGGCGGCCTGGCTCTCCCGACCCGAACGGTTCGAGCAGTATTCTTTTGCCTCTGTACTTGAACTTCCTCTACAATGACTTCCTCCTTTACCGGGTTTTGGTGAAGCGGACCCAAAGCGGTGGGGAGGGCTTGATCAGTGTGTCACAAAACATACTGAGCACCATTCTCGAGCTCATTGGGAAGGAAATTGGGTCTAGGGCTGGCACCTATAATGTCGGATGGAATGTGCGTATTGCCAATTTCTTTAGTGCTACGAATCTGTACTGACAGCTTACAGGCATCGTCCTTTGGTCTTCCTGCAGCCGGGGTCTTAGCTATCGAGCTCCTCCGTCAATCCGAAGCCCAATCTCAGGTCCAAGCCACCCCGTTTCGCCGATCGGAGGTTATCCAGAAACTCACTGTCTTCGCCTCTCATCTCCAATACGTCGTCCGCCCGCATGATGGCATGTACGATGTCTGCCAGCGTGCACGAAAGGTCATCTCCAACATTCTAGATCGGGTCCTGACGGTCAACGCATCCCCGATGCCTGCCACCATGCCCGCCGATGTCCTGGCAACTAACTGGCTCAACGGCGAGAATGTGACCCTTGACGACGGCACGGACTTGTACCGGTGGATAGAGAATCTCTACCCAGACACGGCTGCATCCACGGCTTCCTGGGCTTGAGCCCGACACAGCCTCAAGATATGGAAATGATTGATGAAATAAGCCGATGACTGTGGGCAGATCCAGATTCGGATGTGTCTGTCTCCTCCCACCCTACCATGTTATGACCATATACCCCTTCTATGTGACCCGGGACAAGCAAAAGTGTGCAGATTGCCTTGTGATCAGTATGGAAGACGAGGTGCACTTCGCTTGCTCCATAATGCTGTATTTCATTTTGCCACCTGTTCTTTCCTTTCAGTTCCGTGGCATTCTTTTTGCTTCTTGCAAGGTTCTTCTGCGGCGAACAGGTTGCTAGAATTGTACTGTACTTGGGCAACAATGATTATTTATGCCATGTAGCGTGTCATTGCAATCGGCGGAATACACGTCAGCGCATGCAGTCTATTGCATCCAGCTGAAGCGGGGTGGTTCCCATTTAGAGTTCTTATTGAGCTGCAACGCGACGTAGGATCTGACAGGGCTCATTCTAGCCGATGACTCTGCTGTTGTTGAGAACAGATACTCCGGAACTCCGTCAGAACTCGTTGTAGAAGGGAGCTCACTCATTATTCAGACCAGACGCCCTTGCGTATCGGCTATCTTTAGAAGCACTAGTGTGGATGATCGATAGGCGATAAGTTATCGGGCTATTGACGGGCTGATAAGCAAAGGCGGGCGGGCGGGCATGTGATCACTTCAGGGATGGGAGGGAATGTGGGGCGGTGTTTACCGACCGAACCAGGACATCATCACATGGAGTGGGTGGTAGCAGAATGTGGCGGATACTACGACTCTGTTTGGACGCTGTAGACGCTGTCAACTCTGCGCCAGATCTTGTAAATGCGATGACTCAATTGCAAGGTTATGAGGACAATCGGATCCTCGGATCCAGGGATTCAGCATTCAGCGAGCCCTGAGAATGACTCCGCTGTGTTTCTGTCTTTCCGCCACCGCGGCGTCGATCCCGTGTGCCCAATCGTGGTGGAGTGATTGGCCGGCGACCTCCGCATTTTCCGGGTGCCTGCATGGCTGCCTTGATGCCTGGCGCGGTGCCAGACCCAGCGTAACTGCGTCACTGGGTCCCTTTCCCCCCCCATTCCTTGTCCTTGTACCGAGTACTTGTACACAGTCTCCCCTTTATCTTCTACTCTTTCTCTCTTTCTCTCTCTCTCTCTCTTACTCTTCGTTCAGTGTTTGGACTTGTGAAATCTCCTCTCTTGTCTGTCTCTACCTCTGTTTGTACATACACATACACACAAATCAAGGCATGTCAGCTGTCGCAAATGACGGGTTCTCCGTCATCCATACTAGTGGCCGAACAGGCCCGCCGGATCTCCGAATGATTCACTACAACGATGTCTACCACGTAGAGTAAGTTCGCATTGCACTTTGTGGTGGACATCCCTACCACAGAAAATATCTCGCTAACGCTCAGCCGATTCCCATAGACCAGGTTCCGCCGAGCCCGTAGGCGGCGTCCCGCGCTTCCAGTCTGTCGCTAACTACTATCGCTCCGATCCCGCCTTTGCCGGCCAGCCCGGCGTGCTTACCTTCTTCTCCGGCGATGCCTACAACCCGAGTCTGGAGAGTTCGGTCACGAAGGGCAAGCATATGGTGCCATTTCTGAATAAGATTGGGACGGATGTTGCTTGTGTTGGGGTATGTTCACTTTCCTGGTTGTTGTTTTCAAGGTGGGCTGGGCAAGCTTGGATAGTGGTGGAATACGAGAGCCCAGTCAGGCCATTCGGTGCGAAATACGAGATAAGCTGACCAACTCACCTGTCGGGTTTAGAACCACGATCTCGATTTCGGAGTCACGCAATTCCGCCATCTACGCACACAATGCCAGTTTCCCTGGTTGTTGGCCAATGTTATCGATCCGGCGCTGGGGGAGGATGTCCCTATCGCTGACTGTGAGAAGACCGTGATGCTGACCGCATCGAATGGGATTAAGGTCGGGGTGATTGGGCTTGGGGAGAGGGAATGGTACGTTTGCATCCGCGCTGACACATGTGCATACACCGCTCCTTGAGAGGTCATATTTGCTGACCTTGTTGCTGCATGTTCGCTGAGTTAGGTTGGGAACGATTAATGCCCTACCACCGGATCTGATTTACAAGTCGGCGTCGAAGACGGCGCTGGAGCTTGCGCCCCGGCTGCGCGAGCAAGGTGCGGATATCGTCGTCGCTGTCACCCATCAACGCGAACCGAACGATTATAAGTTGGCTGAGAATCTGACACCGGGGCTGGTGGATATTATCTTGGGCGGTCACGACCACTTCTATGCACATGCTGTGGTCAACGGGGTGCATATTCTCCGGTCGGGTACCGATTTCAAGCAGTTAAGCTATTTGGAAGCTTGGCGGAAGGCAAACGGCGCGGGATGGGATTTTGATATCGTGCGCAGAGACTTGGTTCGATCAATCCCTGAGGATCCGTCCGCTCGGGCCATGGTCGGCCGGTTGACGTCGAGCTTGAAGGCCAAGTTGGAGAAGCCTATCGGATACACTACGCGGCCGCTGGACGGTCGATTTTCCACCGTGCGTCAACGAGAGTCGAATCTGGGTAATTTCGCCTGCGATCTCATGCGGTTCTACTATGGCGCCGACTGCGCGATGATGGCTGGTGGGACTATTCGGGGCGATCAGATCTACCAGCCCGGGGTGTTGAAGGTGAAGGATATTCTTAACTGTTTTCCGTTCGAAGACCCTGTCGTTCTCCTCCGCATCAAAGGCCAAGCGCTCTTCGATGCCTTGGAGAATGGGGTCAGTCAGCTTCCCGCGTTGGAGGGGCGGTTCCCGCAGGTGTCGAACATCTCATTCAGCTACAACCCATCTTCGCCGCCCGGCTCGCGGATTAATTGGGCCAAGATCGGTGGGCAGCCCATTGACTTTGGCCAAAGCTACCTGCTTGCCACCCGTGGCTATATGGGTCGTGGCAAAGACGGATTTGCGTCACTGCTCGTGCAGTCAGAGGGTGGCGAAGTGGAAGAGGTTGTTGACGAGGAAAGTGGCATCCTCATCAGCACCCTGCTCCGTCAGTACTTCCTTAGTCTGAAAGTCCTAGGGAAGTGGCAACGATGGAGCCAGAGCTTGACGCGCCACTGGGGCACAGTGCACAAGAGCCTGCACAGAGACGAATGGCTGAAAGCTCCCTCGACCCAGGTATCACCCTCATCGGAGAAAGTGCCGTACCACGTCCAGCGACCTACCTTGAACCGCACGAAGCAGAAATACTACTACGGACGCTTTCCCCCCAGCGACTCCTCTGAGTCAGAGAGATCTGACCAGGCGTCGCTGGATTCGGACTCCGACACCGACCCTGAGGTGTTGACGTCGCCACAGCCGATCACCAATTATGTCACTCACCCGGCGAAGTCGGCTACGGAGGAGGAACATCGTCTGCGGCTTGCCCGCAAGGTGACTCGGCTCTGGATGCGCAAGGCCGGGCTGCAGCCGTCTCCGATCAACGATTCAGAAGAGCTGGGAGGGTTCACCCCGAGCTGGACGCCGGGTATTTCTCCGCGATTAGAGGGGAGGATTATCATTGAAGGAGTTTGAATTTTTGACGGGTGTGGAATTTGCTTGGTTTGAGAATTATTTGTCTGGGTATAGCAAGCATTAGGGAGCATTTCGGGGTTTACATGAGTCATGATATACAGCGTTGGCATTTTGTTTTCGTGTGTGTCATATATTAATTGAACTCATGAATATTAGTCTATCATTCAGCTATCATTTCTTTCTATACACATAATGTAGGGTGAGAGTCTAATTATTATGCAATTTTGCAGCCGGCATCGAGTCATGGAATTGCGGTGGCGAATGTTGTGCGGGTTTTCGGGTCTAGTTCCGGCGATCTAGATCCTGTCATGCACAACCATATGATCCATATGATTAGGTTCGTCCCTCCTGACGATCCCCTCTATGTGAGCAACTAATGGCTAGGAAGGATAGACATTGCTCAGTCCAAGGGTGAATGAGGCACATTGTACACAGTGAAGAAAACTAGTATTATGACTTGTCGCAAAGATGGACAGACCCTTCCATGGAATCCATTCAATATTGTATTTCCTGCGCATTGAATATGCCTCAACAGCTCTCACAGAAGATGAATACCCCAGTCTGTGAATAGTCAATACAATTGAATCATTCACGTCGACGGCTTGATGGGTATTAACTACCATCTGGCCAGCCAGCTTGGTCTATCATAAAGTCTCCCTCCTTCTCGGTTTCTTTTCCACTTCTATCTTCTCAGCTGTCTTCCCCTCCTGTCTTCAACTGCTTCTGACTTCATGTCCTACCTCCTTCTACATCCTGGTTCTACATCAAGTCTTCTGTATCCAGTACTCTACTCTTCAATATCCTATACCTACATCCACAGACCATTCTCATCATCTGGATAATTTAACTTGCCCTACACAACCCTGCCTCAACCAATGACGCTCAACCATCCGGCCTGTCTTGCCACTCCCATGATCTAGACCCGTCTCCTACATTCAAAGCTCACTCTCAGATACTGCGTTGGAAGCCAGGCACAATGCAAGAATAGTGCATCTGCATCCTTTCGATTATTCCCTTCCATCTTGAAGAGACCTGTGGGACTGTATTGTCATGTCCCTTTCTTCAGTCCATCTGCCCCCGAAAAGTACCATAGGTGATTCTACATACCCCGCTGCATGTCACCAGACAATCGAGGCTTTCCACCATCGATCCAGACTTGCCCTATCCGAAAAGACGAGCCCTTCGTCCTGCGGAGCCATTCTACCCCCTCCCACTGTGGGACTTGCATCCCGTCTGGTTCTGGTTGGGCCACGAGCGCTCAAGCTGGCAGTCTGCGATAAGCTCAACCAGGAATAGCTGCGTCTTGGCTATTGAGCGGAATGCCAGAATCAGGTGCGTGTCCTATTCTCGGAAGCTTGGGTGGCGTGCTGATGCAGCGGTAGATGTATTCGACTCTTACTATGCCCATTACAAGTATGTATATCGAATGGGATCGACCAATAATGGATAGGATGCTTGGAAGACCGAGACTGGACGTGGAGGTACGGATTTCGGGTACTGTTATACGCCCCGACCAGTGACGGAGATGCATGGATCGCAGGATTCCCGGTCCCCATCCCCAAGGTGAGTCTTCCTACGCTGGCAAGGGAGCAAGGGCTGATTTCTAGGCAGCTTCGCAGGAATCTCCAAGCAGAGCAGTAGAGATCGGGTACTTACCAGGTGTTTTGGGAGCCGTACGCGTTCAGCTGCTGCTCGAGATTCCTCCTTGACGGAGAAATGCGATTCTTGACAGCATTCACAACCTTCCGGCGCTGGCTGTGTATGGGGGTTACTTATCCCAGCGTCTGATTCTGCTCGCCTTGTGGTACCTGGGTATGCTGAGCTTGCTGCTGTGATTGTATCTTTGCCTCCATGATCGGGAATCTTGGTGATGGCTGGGATTTTTCGCATCGATTGCCAAACACACTTGGCTCTTCTGGCTGTAGGCTAGGGCATTGCTTTTCTGAGCCCCCAGCGTGAGGTGGGATTGTTATTCAGCACATATCGGAAGCACATATCCTTCAGAAGGAACTTTGCCGAGCTATTATCGATACACCAGCGTATTGATCATGTTGGTTGGTTTCTTGCTTTTTGATCTCGGTGACGGGGACGATGTATGGAAGCACCTTGTTGTGATTGAGGCCCCAAGACTGCCGAGAAGTTAAGCGAGGCAATCCCTCGGCCTTTTGGGTGCATGCGGGAGTAGGCATCACTTCGGGGAAAGATCCCGATCCCGGGTCAGCTCCAATTGCTGCCAGAGTCACCGGCAAGCTGCTGGTAAACCCGCTCGAAAGCTTTGGTCACATGTCAGACGGCGATCGCCTCCACCGTTATGGTCGGGAAAAGCAGTCATCTGCTTCTGGTACGTTTAAATCTTGAATATGCATGAAAGAGTGACTAACCTGGGTTATAGGTATCTGAGTTCCAAATACATGTCGCACCACGTCATTTGATACAATCATCCCGAAGCAAACCATCAAATTGGAGTACGGTGCCTCAATAATTGGGCATTGTTAGACCTTCTATCCTGGGTCTTGATACGCAGCTTGGGCAATGCTCTACTAGGGCAACAAAACGAAAATTCTACCTACCACTGACTGCTGTGTTGGGACGGTGGTGTGTCTAGAGATACTTTAGAGCAGTCCGTCAGGGTATTCCCGTGCACCTGGGCCTTTGGAGGATTTGCCTTTGATGGCATCTCCTGTCCGGATGCAAGTTCCTTATAGACATGCTCTGATGGAGTGTGCAACGCAGCAATAGCTGGACAGTATTGATCGGGCTTCGATTCATCTTACCTTGCAGTATGGCTGTCCGACCGCATGGGAATCTGTCCGTGCGCGGTACCTTCTGGATATTCTCTCGGTTTTGCAGATGACTTTCAGATTGGCAATCGGTGCATAAGCTTTCACGTGCGGATTTCTACAACGCTATTCGAGGGTATCGCCATCAACGCATCTCCGTCGGTGGAGGATTGACCTGCTGATATTCAAGAACGGTTCTGCAACTCTAGCAAACCTCGCTTTGGAGACGCCCAGTACGAAGGTATCTCTCTTGACACAGCCGTGAGGTTCTTTGGAGACTGGGATTGCTCTGAGAAGTCCACAATATGAGGTATGTAGAGGGGACTCCGACAACGACAGCATTTTCGAATATCTTGAACCTTGGGAAGATGTGGAGACTCGCTGGATCAAAAAGAAGAATGACAATGCTTAACCATCCTGAAGCAAAGGACATGGCCCTTACCGAGCAACAACTTGAGGCCTTGTTTTGGCAACCTCCTCGTGTCCGCAAACATCATGAATAGTATTTTACTCTCGCTGTATGGCATGATTACGGCGCTGATTTGACGCTCGGGTGATAGAATATCATATAACATTCTCAGGCACTCTCATGACTGCTAAGCAACCATTTGTGATTCGAGCACCATGGATGCGGATTTTCTGGGTTCTGAGCGAAGCTTTTCTTTCTACCACCCTCGGCGCCATGGCAGATCGAAAATCAGACCTTCGATCAGAGTTTTTGAAATGACTTCCTCCGACGTGAGGCCTACATCATGAGATAGTTTGGTCTCCACAAAGCTGGATTGGCCGGATTCATACGGAGGTGTCCAATTGGAGATACGAAAATTCCCAGACCATGACAGAAAGTGAAAGGCGTTGGACCGTGGTGGATACCGTTTGGTCTTGGAAATTGGGCTAATCGTGTGCTGAAAAAGCCGCCTGGGAAGCTAGTTCTCTCTCATCTTGTCAGAGCAGACCCCTTCCGAAGAAGAGAAACTTCTTCTTGCCGTCTGTTATGATCCGTCGAGGTTCGAGCCAGAACCCATACAAGGAACCCGAGGAGGTGAAACTTTGCCATCCGCTGGGTTACATCTTACCAGTAAAGTAGGCAGCTATGTTTGTTCCTGCTATACCCTCAGCTAACCCATAGCTTGCTCCAACATGTCATATTAAAAGCCTACACGGTGCTTCTTCTCGCAAACTACCTGAATGTCTGGACATGCTGAGGACACCCATTCTCGATTCAATAGGGACCTCGATGGTTCGTACTGCACCGCACCCGAGACCGCTCGAAATAAGTCTGTCAGGAAGGCGTTGTCCAGGAAAGTATGCCGTCATCCTAGCGAGGCTCAAATCTCAAAGCCTCGAGCTGTGCATGTCTCTGACTACATGCATGAATCGCTTTGCTCCAAAATGTGCCACTTCAATCAAGATGTCAGACGCGGGTATGGACCCGTACAGAGGACCCATTTAAGGGCCGGGAGTCATCCTCGAGCCTCGGAACGTGGATTGGAGATCATTCAAAAGAGATCTAGCTGTCCTGAGCATCAGGGCAGGGGAGCATCGCCTTGAGCGGTGATCCATTTCCCGCACTTCAAATTGCCCGCCAGGCTTAGACGACTGAGCATGTACTCATGACCAATCGCATTGGAGGAACATGTCGCACGAATTGCGACGTTTCGATGACACTTTATAAATCTCGACAGGCACTACGGTTTAGACCTACGGAGTATGAACTCGGGGTGCAATACTGGGGATGAGATCCTAGACTTGAGGGCTTATCTTCTCTCTCTTCTATCGCTATGCACATCTTCTAGCTGTAACGGTCGTCATGGTACCCGGGGCCACAGATATTCTGTCTCTCGGATGTTCTAGGGCCTCAAGGCACAAGCATTTGCTGTCTATGACGTTCCTGGCATTCTGGTCGGGTGACATCAGATTTTACAATTCTGGACCTGGGATGATGCTGGAGTATGCTAGCATGCCACGAACTCCGAGAAGTCTTCAATTGAAGTGCGGTGCGTCTCTATGCTATGCTCAACCTCCGCAGGTTATGGTTTCCGAGCCCCCACTCAACCAACCTGAAGTTTCTTTCTGGATCTTGAGTACCAACCCATTTCTAATACAGATTGGGTCCTGATGTCACCGCCAATATCACGAGAAAATGGCTCGCTGCAACCTGAAGTCGTCTGGTGACAAGCCGAGCATGAGTCGAAGAGCTCAGAATAGATAGGGTGTTATCTTGCGCACATTGGACAGCTGGGACTTGTTCGCGAGCTGAATCGAAGCGACCGATCCTTAATGAGCAGGGTCCTGGATGCCTAGCTGTTGTGTATTGCCAGCAAAGATGCGTGTCTTTCTCTCGCAGAAAGCGCCGTCGGAGGTGCGGCCAATCCAATCATTATATTTGAGGAAGCATTTGACTGGCTTGGAATGCCCGCAAATGGCACGCAATAGCGCTACAAAGGCGCAATCCCTCTAGCTTATCTCGTACGTGATGGATGGGTATTCTGTCGACTGGTACGATGATAGCTGATGAATAGTCAATTGTGGCCCGCGGACCTGCCCGACAAACTCTGTCAAGCCCCAAGAAAAGAAAAGCGGAAGAGTCGGGGACAATTGATTACTTCCTAAGCCAGATACGGTAACTGATACTGGGCAAAGGAGAAGCAAGGAGCAAGCCTCCTTAGCCGATGCCAGTGAAAAAAGAGTATCTCAATGGCAATAGCTCAGGGCGAGATTATCAAAGAGCAAGGGGAGAATATAAAGCTCCTGAAAGACGAAGTGGAGGGGATGATAACGAGGACCCTGTTGGAGATGAAGCGAAGGCCTACACCACTTTCGAATTTGCTTGCTTATCACAATGTGAGTATACAATGGATGTGGTGCCGTCTCTCGCAGAGCTCACTCATCAGAGATTCAAAGCCCGGCAGACGGGGCTGCTCCATGCCGCTATTGAGTGAAATTGGGGTAAATTCCGCTCAGCGACCAAATTTTCAGCTCGTTGCTCGGTTCCCGAAATCAGCGGACGAGAAGATAACCCTCGAAGATGCGAATTGGATGGTGATTTTACTCAAGAACACTGTGATTATGATGGCGGAAGGTTATGAAATACCTGAGTTCCACCCAAGGGCTTTCCATGGCTCTAGTAATGAGAAGTTCGTTGCTGATTTAGGAGATTTTACCACTTCAGCGACTGTGAGCCTCTTAACAGGGCGTTACCTATTTTGTGGACAACAGCATATGCAGCACCGCCACCACCACTGCCAACACCACAATCGACGGCTTGAATCTAGCCGCCGGAAAGTGAATATACGCAGTTGCTCGATGTTCTACAAAACCATGTCTAATCGAGACCATAAATCTATCGGATGTGTATGGTACCGCCTCATGAAGCCAGCAAACACTTGACGGGGAAGAACAACCAGACATTATCTGCAAGCTGACGGCAAACCAGAAAGACGAATCATGTGGTTCTTACGGCGCTGCGATGTTTCCTAGCTGAGAAGTATGGACCTGGGCATATACTTGACATATGCCACATTCGTCTCAATCCTGTCTTCCTGCATCTTTCTCGTGTATGAAGCATACGAGCTTGTTGCGTACCTGCCTGCGACAAGGCCTACATATGATACCCTTGCTATCTGGAATTCATTGAGCCAAAATCCATTGACCATTAGCTCACCTTTGCAGTTCGGTCATGAGAAGATCAAGCAGAGACGCAAAGGTCATGGTGCTTACCAGATCACTTCACTGCGCTTGCTTGAACTCCATACACAGATTCGTTCAGAGTATGGCCACCACTTTCTGGCCATTGCAGTTGCTGGGCATTGTTTCTCTTCCTCTCAGTTGAAGCGGGCTCGCCTAGACGACGACGACGCCGAGTGCACTGCTTGTGCACGGGAGACCGAGACGCAGCGTCTCCTCCTACCCCTGAGCAGACACTACTCCTCGGGCACCCAAGACTTTGAGCACTTCAGTTCCCGCATCTTCGAAATGGCAAAGAAAAACTTGAAGAATGATCCGCCCTCGTTCCTTTCTTCAATCCAAGTCTTACCACCCGACATCCGGGGGGTTGAACAAACGCTATATTCCTGGAATGTCATAGGAGGCGCCCTGCAAACGATACATCTTATTCTACACTGAGATCGACTATCTAAGCAAGTTTATTTCTGAACTGGCAATATCGTGTGAAAAGGTTTGTCATCCCAAAACACCGCTTCTCGGTGCTCATCGAGAAACTTCGGTTGCTACTGCCCGTCCGCGACTCCTGGTCCATCTCTGAAATGCGATTCGCTCGAGCAGACGTCCAAAGATTTCAAAATCAGTACAGGCCCTTAGGATCATCAATAGAGATACCGACCGACGTACCCGGCGCTTCTTGGGAATGGGAAAAGTGGATCGAATGCGTGGTACTGCCCGATAGGAACTGTTGCCTGGGATCGGGTAAGCCTCGCAGCTACCTTGGAAGTAACCAGCTTTACTCCCGAGCGATTTAATAAAAGCACTTTTAATCGGACTGCTACGAACCGAGTTCCTCGTTCGCTATCTTTGCTTCTCTTGTCAAGGTCGATCGATTCTAACATCTTCATCCACTCATGCAGCACTCAAAGGTCTCATCGATCACTCGGTTCAATGAAAGCCGGTCTACGTGCTCTATTGCAGATACAGTGATAGCTACACCAGGTTGCCCTTTATGAAGCCATTATTGACTCGAGCATCGGGGACGGTGTAATCGACCCTGGCGATTCTGGAGCACTGTTGTGGAGGGCCTGGCCTCCCATTGGTCAGACATCTCACTGCCTCCGGCCCCCAGTGAGATACTGTTCCTCAGATAGCTGGAGCCCAAATTCATTCGTCTTTCACGCTCTCATCAACTTGTGTGTGAATGCCGGAGCGAAGGGTAGAAATGTCCTTCGGAGGGAACGATTTGGGCACTGAGGCGTACTTCGCGCACATCTTAGACCTTCTCGAATAGGTGTGAAACAGATGTCGCAGACGACGAGTCCAGTGACCTTCAGGACGTTAAAATTTCGCTTGTCCAAGGCATTGGTTCTAGACGAATACAACCTGAGCACCAGATCCAGCACAAAACTAGTCCGACAACTGTCGCATATCTGTGCTGACTCAATGCCTTGGATGATGCGCAATCTTGAGCATATGGAATTCACCCATCTATATCCCGCGAGAGAGGACTGGATATATTCATGGTTGGCTCAGCAAGCCTGCTTCTTCAGGACCTGAAAAGGGCGGACAAATAACCTCAAATCCATCGCATGGATTACCCATTGATCTCCCGCCATGTGTACCTCATGGCCGGATTGAACCCACATTTCTATAATCTACGCGGCCTGTCTTTAGAGCGAGCATCTTTGGCCGTGAAAAAGAAAAAAAGTTGAACAGCGCCAGAGCAGCTTGGCGTGACAGACTGCCGGAAGCGGAGATCCCATGGCCCAGACAAGTTTGAATAGTCTAGCCTCAGCAGCCCGTGTCCATTAGGATTCGAAAGCGTTTCTGGGGCTGGAAAGATGTCGACACGGTGGTTGTGAGCATCGAAGTCCTCAAGGACGAGGCTATTATCGCTTCTTGAACTATTTCAGGCAAACTAAATGCATCAGGGTATCTCTCGCGCCTCACAGTCGGTGTGTATGAGAGAGGCCTGAAGTCAGTACGGGACTATGTTATGGAGTGACTAAAACCTAGAGTTTCCTCCATTCTCCAACTACCCCCTACTAATAACAGCCGTGGTAGCCGTCACCTTCGTTCTTGGGCCGAGGAAGTTATCCATCTATCATTGCGCATCATTCCTAGGGCAAGCAACATGCAGACGTCAAAGCCTTCTAGATGCTTGGGATCTCTTTTCTGACGCCACTTGACCTAGAATCAGCAATTACACAACTGACTTAATAGAAGGTCAATGCAACAAGGGACACCCACTGTCTGTGGTTGGACGGAATTAGATCGACCTTCATACCATTGCCTTGAGATTTCCAGCATCAATTTCGGCAACATGACAGCAAGCACCTCAATCAATGCCCTCTTAATGGTCGTGGAGTTCACACGTTGAGGAAATAGTCCTTCTACCGAGAACACCGTGACATGTACTAACCAATGGGTCTCCCCCGCGTCATAATAAGCTTGGAGATGGTAGACAGCATCATTAGCACCACCACCACCATGTATGCCACCGCCCCAGCTGCGACAGTAGCAGCATAGTCCAGCCTATATTCCAGCGACATGCAGTGGTTATCACATCATAGAGCGTCTTATGTTGGCACGGTCATCTCTCGCGTCTTTGCAAGCGAATCGAGTGAAGGCCGACGATCGACTACTGCGACTGTGGCTCGGCCGTAGCCGACCTGGCATGTGACCGCTGAGGCCGCAATTAGTATTCGACTTTGCTGGGTACAGAGCTTTATTGACACTGAGGCGGCAGGAGGCAATGAGAGGATGGTGCCTGCCTTACTTGGTAAGCGGTGGAATAGGCCGGGTGGCATCATATTCCTCCCTTCCCTCCTTCTTCCCCTCTCTTCCCTTTCACACATAAATAGCCTCTTATTTGGGCCCAATATCAAGCAGTCTTTCATTCTTCCGGTTACCCTATACGGGGTGTAGTTATCGAATCCATATCATTCTTCCCTACTCGGCGTAGAAGCCTCATGTGGGTGGGACGAGCCGGGCTCCCTAAGTGTGCCAATCGACGCTCATTCCTTTGCGTCATTTCTTTCAAAGTGCTCCCTATCATTCCGAATTAGTTATCGTCCCACGGTTCCTTCTTACCGTCGTTGTCGTTGTCATTTGCTTTCAGACACGCCTTGCTCTCTTATCATGTGCTCCTTCATCAGCTGAACTATGGATCCTATGCGTGGGGCCGTCGTCTTCAGCGGGAACATAGGCGAAGATGTTGACCTCTATTGCAAACAGTCGAGTTAGTTGTGGCGTGTGAAGACCCTTGATCACGAGGAACAGGACAAGGTCTTGGCTGTGGCTATTCTCTCAGGGCTGAGAGATGGGGCAGCAAAGTTCGTCAACACTTAATGATGTCGAGGTGGTGCGGAAAATCTTCGGGGAGCCCCTATGAGCCTACAAACTAAAGAGAATGGAACCCCGTGCACATTGAGGAATACGTCCTTGATTTCCTGAGGCATCTGCATGAAAACTACCGGTGGCTTTCAGACATTCCATGGATGATATGAAAGTGCGACCAACCCAGCGAGGAAATCAAGTCTATCTTATCAGTGTCCAAAAAAGAGAAAAAGGATGATCGATGCTGACTATAGATGAACCGCTGAGGATAGAAGGCGCGGGAGAAAAGACTGAGCCACACTTGATTGCACACGACTCACACGACGCAAAATGAGGGTACAGCAGGCAGCAAATGCTGGGCCATAATCTTCGGATCTTGGGCTCCAGAAAACCTAGCTGCTCAGCGGAATTTGCTGCCCTTAGTTCCGAGAAACGCCTGCGATATAGACCCAGGAAGCACAAGAGCACAAACCCAGGCATGGTGATAGTGGGCAGTGGTCAAATGCCATTATTTGTCACGAAACTCGATTTGTTTTTTCTTCCAATCAAGCGCAGGTATCTACACGATTAGCTGTCACCAGATCACTTGCGACCTGGTCCCTGTGCTTTTCAAAACGTGTTTCGTTGCCTTTCTAGCTGGTCTCATTTCTCTGCTTGATGATAGGATTGATGAACTCTCCTCTGAACATACGGATACCTACCACTGCGCGATGACCCAAGTCAATCCAGCACTCGTTGTCGATGAGTTCGCAGGGACTGTCAGCTCCCCGCGGGGACTGTCAAGAATGAAAGTTTGCACAGAGGAAACTCCCCATCTGATCGATCAATGGGTGTAAGGTATTCAGTCAATTGGACCAAGTCTGAATGTTCCTCTATTGTACTCCGTGACGCGCAGATTTGGGCGGGTCAGATTGCCACTCTGGGAGTCAGCCAGGAAGATACTGCTCGATGGCACATGGCTCGGCTCGGGCTGTATAAGCTTACCAAGAAATAACAATATGTGTCAACGAAAATCGGAATCCAATCGCAAATGTATGGTAGCGTCCCAGAAATATACTGAACTGACATTGCTGCTGCTACTATCACTAACAGCCTGATAATTTTACCGTGGGCTCTTACAAGCCCGGCTCCAGCAAACGAGGCAGCTGCAAACAAAATCCCTACAATCCACGGTTTATATTCTTACTTGAAATTTCCAGACTGCCTCTTCTATGATTTTCTCTTCTTTTCTGATGGTACTTAGCTGCATACATATCGTTCCTGGTGTTCGGTCATGTATTAAGTACCTGGCGGTGCTTGGGGGTAATGAGTTCCTACTCGGCTTCCCTATGCGATTATTTTTTACAGCGGCTGTTTGATACTACAGCATTGCTTATTCTTGTCCTGAAGCTTGCACACTCAACGCTTTCATTCTTCAAGTCTCTGCTCATGTCAATCATATTGCTAATCTGCAGCCCCAAGACCTGCACAGGGGATCTACCACATTCTGGGGATTACAATTGCAAAACTCTATCCGTTGGACGCGGGTCAACAATCTAAGCAATTATCACAGCAACCTACAGTCATTCTACTCCAGCCAAAGCGCCGTGGCTATTGTACATTGCACTTATCTTAAATCCATTGTTGTGCATCCATTGTCTCTTGATTGCTGTAGCAGAAACCGAAAGGAGTTCCGGTGGATGGACAGCATACCCGTTGTTTGGTACAGTGAAAAGAAGCTGCGACCTGACGACCTGGAGATGAATCGTTACCATTGATGTGAGACTCGGGACTTTTTGTTTTCCTACAGTCTTGAAGGAGCCTTGCGCAAAGGAGGGAAGTTTCGGACAGCGACTGCACACTATAGACTCCGTTTCTTGAAAAAGGACGCCAGGGCTAAGATAGTAGCTTCGAAGGCGCTCTAGCTGATCCACACACGGTGGATGAGTCGTTGTTCACCCAAGAACAGATTTTTACTCAGAATGCCAGAGACAGAGATCAGCGCTCGAATTTACGAGTCGAGCTGAGAACTCTCCAGAAAGAGAACACCTTCCGGGCTCTGAATAAACCGGTGCCTGACCTCCATAAAGCACACTTCATACAATTGTCCATAGGGAACAAAATTGTTATCAATCTCATGGTACATGGCGATATGGCTCCATCAGTACTCCGGAGTAGAGACTAGGTAGCAATACTCATGCTCATCATTCAGATGGTGTCAATTGAGTGGTGTAGAAGCCAAGGATTAGCAGTGGGTGAGTGGATGATATCATTGTCGATCAGGCAACCATGAATGAATTGCATCTTATCTCCGCTGCCTCCGCTGCCTCCGCACTCTCCGCATATAACCTGCTATCCTCCATTTTCTTTTTTGACTATCTTCAACAACCTCAATGGAAGCTCACAAGACGGCCGTAGACGCGCTGGCCGCTCAAGTCAAGCAGTTCCACGCCCGTCAGCAGCCCTTCCGCATCTATCATGGCTCAACCAACTCCACGCGCCAGTCGCAGCACCACGCGCACAACACCATCAGCACCGCCGACCTCAACCATGTGCTGCACGTCAACGAAGTCACCCAGACCGTGACCGTCGAGCCCAACGTGCCCATGGACGCCCTGGTGGCCGCGACCCTCGAGCACGGCCTCGTCCCGCTGGTGGTGATGGAGTTCCCCGGCATCACCGCGGGCGGCGGCTTCTCCGGCACATCCGGCGAGAGCAGCTCCTTCCGCCACGGCTTCTTCGACGCCACCGTCCTGCAGATCGAGATCGTGATCCCGAACGGCGAGATCCGGTCGGCGTCACCCACCGGCCCGGCCGCCGATCTCTTCTGGGGCGCCGCCTCCGCCTTCGGCACGCTGGGCGTCGTCACGATGCTGGAGATCCAGTGCCGGCGCGCGCTGCCCTTCGTCGAGCTCACCTACCTCTCCACCACCAGCATGTCCGAGGCCATGGACACCATCCGCGCCAGCACCGCCGACCCGACGATCGAGTACCTCGACGGGATCGTCTACGCCAAAGACCACATCGTCATCTGCGCCGGCAAGCTGACCGACACCTTACCCACGGCCACAGCTCCAGCTCCCATCCAGCAATTCACCCGTCCCCACGACCCATGGTTCTACCTCCACGCGCACGCTCGCGCGCCTCGTCGCTCCTCCGCCTCACCATCACCCAACCCGCCTCCCCCTCCAAAAGACCACATCCCCCTCCAAGACTACCTCTTCCGCTACGACCGCGGCGCCTTCTGGACCGGCCGCTACGCCTACTCCTACTTCCTGACCCCCTTCACCCCCCTGACCCGCTACCTCCTCGACAGCTTCATGCACACCCGCGTCATGTACCACGCCCTGCACCAGAGCGGCCTCGCCGCGCAGTACCTGATCCAGGACGTCGCCGTCCCGTACGCCGCCACCACCACCTTCCTGGACTGGTTAGACGCACCCGCCAACTTCGGCCACTACCCCATCTGGCTGTGTCCGCTGCGCGTGCGCGACGAAGGCGGCGGCCTCATGACCACCTCCGGGCGACGCCGGCCCCGCCCCAACACCCAAGCCACCCCTACCCCTACCACTATTCCTCCAACTACTCCGCAGGATGAAACACACACCCAAACTACCGCGCAAACTCCGCTGGACCAGGACAGGGACAAGGACGAGGCAACCGCCACCGCCGACGAAGACGCCAAATACCTCCTCAACTTCGGCCTGTGGGCCCCCTCGCCGCACCGCGGGGACGCCTTCATCGACCACAACCGCCGGCTCGAGCGGAAGGTCCACGCCCTCGGCGGCAAGAAGTGGCTGTATGCGCACGCGTACTACACCGAGGCGGAGTTCTGGGAGATCTATGATTGGGAACGGTACCGCGGGTTGCGCGAGAGGTATCAGGCGGCGTATTTGCCGGATTTGTGGGAGAAGGTGCGGGTGAGGTTGGGGCAGACGCAAGATGGGGAGGGGGCTGGGTGGGTGAAGTGGGGGAGGGGGCTGGTGGGGAGGGTTTGGCCGGTGAGGGGGTTGTATGGGGTTTGGAGGGCTTGGTGGGGCGGGGAGTATTATTTGAAGGGGTAGGGATTTTTGTCACGGCTTCTTTTGGATAGGGCCGGGGGCAGGAGGGACTGGACATTGTGCGAACGGGTATGTATATATCAAGGAATTCATTTGTAACAAGTAACGTAAAGTATCATCAGGTCATTAGATGTTCAATATGTTATCTTCCAATCACTTCAATGTCCAACTTTATCAGAATGTCTTTCTACGTCCAACAACCACGTTTAGTGCTGTCGCTTGAGCTCCTTTCGGAACGCCTCCTCCTGCTTCACCACCTCCAACGGAAGCATGTATCCGATGCCAAACAGGACGAACGGCGCCCACTTCCACCGGAACGGGTTCACCACGATGCAGAACACGAACCAGTAGATCAGCTCGGTGTAGGTGAAGAAGTCGAACGCCCCGACGGGCGACATCTTCTTCATCAGCCGGGTGAAGTCGATCCAGGTCTTCATGCGGCCCTCGCTCGGCCGCGACAGCGGGTCCGTCAGGAACATGAGCAGGAACCGCGTGTAGATGCCGATGTGCATGTTGCCGACGGTGCCGATCGCGTTGACGTAGGTGCTGTTGTTGGCGCAGATGCTGGGGTACTTGGGCGGGAAGGTCTGGAGGTACCAGCTGGGCGGCGAGTAGGGCTCCTCGAAGGCGTCGTCCGGCAGGAACGAGAGCGAGGGCCGCTTGAAGCCCGTCGCCATGATCACCACGTCGCCCGGCACGAGGGCCTCGTGGCCCGGCCCGCCCTTGGGCACGCCGCGGCTGCGGAAGTTGAACCGGATCCCGTCCGCCTCGGCCGAGACGATGTCGCCGCGCAGCCAGCGCGCCTTGCCCTGGCGGATCTGCTCGAAGAGCTCCGAGTTGGCCATCGGGGTGCCGGTGAACAGTCCGCCCGAGGGGGCGATGTCGGACAGGTCGCGATAGAAGAACTTGCGGAGCAGCGATTCGGGGATCCACGAGAGGGAAGTCTCCTGGCCGAGGATGTTCATCGCCAGCAGCGACTGCACGAACACGTTGCGCGGGATGATCCATTTGTCGGAGCGGGAGAGGACGTCAATCTCGGCGGCGTGGTTCTTGACGGCGAACTCCAGCGCTTCGATGGCACTGGCGCCGCCGCCGATGATGAGCACCTTCTTGCCTTCCACGGACTTGCCGTCCAGCTCGGAGGAGTGGTAGATCTGGCCCTTGAACTTCTCCTGGTCCGGGAGCGGGGGCATCTTCGGGTCCCCGCACACGCCGACGGAGGCAATGATCCCGTCGAAGCGACCATACTTGGACTCGTCGTTGTTGATGATCCACCTGCCGTTCTTGGTCTGCTTGACCGAGGTGATCGGGGTGTTGAAGGTTGTGTGCTTCTGCAGGTCGTAGCGCTTCCATAGGCTTGCGATCTGTTCTTTGATCTCGGCTTGTGTGGGGTAGGCGGCGTCGTACTTCACTGACGGGTGGAACCGATACATCAGGCTGTGGATTTGCAGAGAGGATGTCGAGTTGACACGCTGGGGGGTCGGGTTAGCACGTTCCATTGCGCGGGAGTGCGAGGGATCTTACACTCCAGATACCTCCAAGACCCTTGTCCTTGGATCTGGCTTCGAAGATCTCGACATCGAACCCATGACCGACGCAGTGTGCTGCCGCTGAAACTCCGGTCAGACCAGCGCCAATCACGGCAATTCTCTTCTTCGGGAGGCCATCTGTGTCAGCCGTCGGCTTGGGAGGATTCGGGGCAAAGATCCAAGTGATCAAGTGCTGAAAAAGCATGTAGAAGACAGTCCATGTCTGTAGGAATGGGTGCTTTAGGAAGGCCGATATGGAAAGTCCTGATCGATCTTTTTCCGCCATGGTAGGCAGTTGTTCGTAGGCAATGGGAGAGAGGGAGGTTGGATGCCTCGTAAGACTCAAATAGATTTCTTGACTGTAATTGATCTGGGACGAGAGAGAACGACTGGGGAAGCAGGAACCTTTTCAATGGGACTCGGACTCGGAAGGGAAAACGATGATGATGATGATGATGGGGGCTTGAATGAGCCATGTTCAAAGCATGACGTAGTTGTGGATCGGCCATTGTGCGAAGCATGTGAATGCGGGAACCTTGAACCACCCACACACTGCCCACTGAGTTCTTCTCCGGATGAAAGAGCCATGCACTATCAGGTAATGACTGCGATTGCATAATTCCCGCAGGCCCATCAGAGAGAGCTGACCTTGTTCCTCTTCGGTTATCTGTCCCTTCATTCATGTTTGCGTGTGAGATCCCGGGGTCCTCCGGCTGGTGGGACTAACCACTCCGAATCAGATCGTCGGACGCCAGGACCAGGAGTCCTTTGAGCGTCTCGTGGAATTGACTGTGTGAAATTTGACTCTTTTCGCTTGGTATGTTGTGACACCATACGGCTTCCACGTGGTTGTGTAACCCCGATCTGAACGGTCCGTCCGGAGATCACCTTAATTTCCTCCCAATGATGATCATCTCAATGGTGCAGGTCTCAACCAAAGTGACTTGAGAACGACTATACTCACAGAACGCTACGAATGCAGGTGTCTGCAACAAAAGCTCCGACTGCAAGGATACTGACGGGTTATGGCGTACATAAATTGCTGATTGTATGTTTCTATCTAGGGCCGAGATTATCTCAGCAGACCCAGCCCCTTCGGATATAGAATAATCGCTTTGGAAATAGCTTGGAGTTGTGTATTTATCTAATCTATATAACCATTTATTATTTACAATTGAAGATATATACAGATCCATTGATATATAGACTGAGCAGAATGTTCTTTCCCACACCTCAAGGATGAGATAGTGCTGAAATTGATGAAGATCCAGCGCACACCACCATTGTTGGATAAATTTGCATTGCACACTGCGATTCTTTTCGGCTTCAAAATGGAGTGTTTTTGATGGTTCTGTACATTACCCCAATCAAGACAGTACACTCTGTATTTCGAATGGAATCATCGGCTCCATCATAACGTCTGATTTGCTCGCACTGCTGTTAGAGTCTCACCCGAGATCAAAGGTCCACACCAGCCATACGCGTCGCACCGACATTGTTCATATCGAGGGCAACTAGATATCAGCTTAGCCAGACATATTCCTCTGTTTCACCAGGAATTGATCCTAATATGCGTGCATCACTCACTATATAGCCTCCATCCCGAAGATGATGTGCCAAATCTTTTCGAAGACCCATCCAACTCCAAAACTGTCTGTCAGCTTTGTTTCATCCGCCCAGCGTAACATGCGCTCGTAGTCGGATCGGGGCCGTTGAAGAATTCGCGCCCGACTAACAGCAAATTGAGCACAACAGACATTTCCAATCTGCTCTGGAACTTGGTCGGCAGGAACATCAAGCAGTACTTGGTACACCTCGGCAAAATAGGCGCGGATATCATGGTTTTTTCTATCGAGGTTTGACGGGCTCCACGGCTGAACACTTGTTGGACAGCCGGGATCATGCTCACATCGGAGGTTGAGATAACCTCGCGCATCGACAGCCTCTAAGCGGAGATTGCGCAGAATTGGCCCGGTATGGGGGCCAAATAGGTCATTATGCCACTGGTCATGATCGGAATGTACGAAGAAGGTGTAACTTGGCAGTCTGTCGTAATAGTCGATGACAAAGGAGAGGTAGGCGGTGGCCTCGCGGCCACGAATCGTACGCGGAGTCAAAAGATGAGGCGCCGGCTTGGCATCGGTGGTGTAGACAAATGGAATTGTCCCGCTGCCGCGAACATCGTCAGCCAACACAAGAACAAGTGGCAGTTGGGACCTTAAAAGTGCCATACTGATCCCTACTGTATTCCAGCACCCAGTTTAGATCTTCGTGCTTCCTCGCTGCTAATACCAAGCCGATCTCATTCGTTGCATTGTTGTAAGTGTCTGTGTATCTGGCTATTTGCTCATGCACGGGGTTGATACCATCTGTCATGGATTGGTAGTCAGCACAATATCACGGGCAGGAAAAGCCGACTGGAACGTGGAGAATTACCACGACCAAGGTACCACGAGAGACTGGAGACCACTAGCAGAGCCAAAATTCCAAAGGCGGCAGTGCGGCGTTTGGGCCAGCGGAACTGCCGTCTCTGCAACATCAAAGATGGAGGTCTTTGCAACTTGTCAAACAGCATACCAAAAATGAAAGCACAGGTGGGGAATTGTGGGCCGATAAGGGAAAGGGGGAGTAGGCCGACGACAGAATCAAAGGTGTTGTTTCTCACCATCAAGGAAAATCGGTTGTTGTTAATCCCAGCGGGCACTCTTGGGCTCGAGAGTTGAAAAATAGATGTGGGGGAGGGCGAATAGACTTTACCAATTTCGAAAAACGCTTGCGCGAGATTATCCAGCGCCTGTCAGACATTGGAGTTCATAGTCGAAGTAGCAGCGGAGATTACCCGATATCCAATGACCCTATGTAGTATCATGGATATAGCCCCAATCCTGCTTAGCATCAGCCGCACCTCGAGGACGATGTTAATCTCCTAATCCATCACTGCCCTTGAACTGTGTAATGTAATTGGTAAGCGGGAGGATAGCGCATGCAAAGGAACACCTATATCATATTTTTCGCATTCTACAACTCTAATAAAACCGACTTTACTATAGGTTTAATAGCTGCGGCTATAATAATAGTAAATTGTGAATGTCCCAAGTATTGGATGATCGTTCGTGGAATGTCTTGTCCCAAGGCTCTCGGTAGCAGTACTCAAGTGTCCGCGATAAAGTAACAAGCAGCTATCCGCAAGTCTTTGCTGTAGTGTGAGATGGGTAGAGTATATAAGGGAAGTTGACCCCGACTGAAGATGGCCGCCAAGCTGGGCCCGCGGCTTCAGCACAGATTTCCCGATTGAGGCTAGTGTGAAGCTGCGGCGGTGGGAGCTTATCCATCCCATCCAACATTCTGCCGCCGTCCAGACCTCCGTTGTTGCTCCAATTCATCCAAGCTGCGTCCCCGGCCTCTACCTTCCAGACCCTAGTTCAGGGTCTCGTTCATTCTCTTCGCCGTCGCATCATGTGTGACATTCGTTGAGTTGCCTTCCAAAACACCTCCCGCACGACATTCATGACCATCGCGTCGATAGCGAATCCGTGATCTTCGGCCTGCCTCGCTTCCCATTCCTTCCACGACGGACAAAATGGCCACACCAACCCTGGATCGCTTCTTAGCGAGCGTCGCAGATATCGTCAAATCCCGCGATGGAGCCAAGCTACAGGACTTTCTACAGATTGAACCTCCCCTCCCCGATGTCTATCGGCAGATGACCAACGAGCTACGGCAACACCATCCTTCTGGTCCGCGGGAAACAGATCTATTGCGACGATGTGAAGGATTGGTTCCAAAGTCCAAGGGTAGCTCCTGGACCGCTTTTGCGACTTTCATGAAGCTTTACTGCACTTTTCTACGTGATGTGAATGTCGATAACTTGCTCGAGACATACGATCTTCTCAAGGGACTCGTCAAGTATGCATTGCATTTTTCTCCGGATCACATTCGCAGACACTGACCTTACTGCATACAGCCAATGTGTTCTTGCATTGGGTGATAGTCAAATGGGTGTTATTGTCTTACCGACCGTTCTGTACCTCTCAAAAGTCCTCGCGAAGCTGGCCATGGGCCTCGACCGTCGTCCCGAACTGATTGCACACCTACTCCGACTCGACGGCCGTTCAAACCAGGATGAGACTGTGGAGAAGGTGACACTGGTGGAGAAATCGGCAAACGTGGTTCGGGAGGCCTTCATCAAGTGCCTCACAGACCGAAGTGGTACGCCAGGGATCCATGGAAAGCCCGAAGGCAAGCGCATTGGTATCTACTTGATGGCCAACCTCTGCCTGAAGCTACTCTTCCAGGTAACATCAGGCCGTGAAATTGGCATTTCGTGCTCTAACCATGACTATACAATAGTGCGGCAAACTTCGAAATGCGGAGCAAATGTTCGCGAGTATCAGCGCACAATCCCCGCCCCTCAAGTACTTCCCGGCCTCCCAGAGGGTGACATACCTATACTACCTCGGGCGCTACCTATTCGCCAACAACCTCTTCTATCCTGCACAGATTGCCCTACAGGCCTCGTACGACCAATGCCACCATCAAGCGCTAAACCAGAAGCGAGCCATCCTCACGTACCTGATCCCATGCAATATCATCTTGGGCCGATTCCCCACCCTCCAACTGCTGCAACGTCCGGAAGCCGAGGGACTGGCAGAAAAATTCATTCCGATCTGCCGCTTGATCGCTCGTGGCGACTATATCGCCTTCCGGGAACACCTGGCTGTTGGTTCCCCCGAGACAGAATGGTTTGCGCGTAAGGGGATTCTTCTTCCGTTGCGTAACAGATGTGAGATCCTTGTGTGGAGGTCTCTTTCTCGTAAGGTTTTCATTCATGGTGGTTTTCACGGTGACCCTCAAGGCCAGAGTCGTGGACCGCCCCCATTCTTATACCTTAGCAAACTTGAGGTTGCTATTCAGTGGATCCAATCTCAGCATACGGTCCCAGCGCAACAGGCTTATGGTTTCTTCGCCTCTCGACCCGAGCTCGATGCACAGGCTGGAAACAACCGTGTTGGTTCCCAGGTAGTATACAAACCACTAGACTGGGACTTTGAAGGTGTGAACGAACTTGATGCGCAAGAAGCCATACCTGGACCCAGCCTGATAGCCAAATATGCTGATTACCTGGCACCTGATGGATACTTCGATGCTCAAGGGCAATGGCAAGCCAATCCAGCCGGGAACCTGGTTGATGGCCAGCCATCGGCAGATTACAAGCAATTTGAGCTTGACCCCTACGCCAGCCGCCCTGACCTTGAGCCCGAAGAGGGGAAACCTACTTTGATGATGCGGGAGATTGAGTCAATTCTAGCTTCCCTCCTAACCCAAGGCCTGATGCGCGGTTACCTGACCCACAAGAATCCCCGTTTAGCCATCCCGGGCGCACGCCTTCGTGGAGCCGTGCCTACCGGGTTTCCCAACGTGTGGCAGACAATTTACGCCCGAGAAAGTGAAGATGACAACGTTCCAGGCTGGGTTCAGCCTCCAGCCGCGGCAGCGATTCCTACGGCTGGCGGAGGAAGAGTGGTCAATCTCTCGGGAGCACGACCTGTTGGCGTTCAATGAAGTACGATTTCGGCACACTTTCCTTCACCACATCGACAAGCTAGATCCCTGTATATAATCATCCCGTTTTGTTCTCGCATTATACCAACTAGACGACTATGAAACATCTTGAATCCGACAGGCAGAGTAATATGAGATTCAGTTAATATAGTTACACTGATATTGAAGCCGAGTCTCGGAGATCCGAACTCCCGAGCACCGACCATTACATATCGAGCAATTACGGCCGCCAAATCTCGATCTCCGAGGACACGTGCGCTCGGAGCATGCGCTGTGATTGAGAAGGAGAAGGATCAGACGTTGACGCTCGGGATCGGGCCCGAGATCTCGGCCATATCGCAACAGCCGAGCCTGTGATCTGCAACTAAAGCCGACCCGACTGTAGGCGGGTTCCTGCTTCTGCAGACCTTCTGGATCGAGTCCAGACGGTGGGCGATTCTGCAAGCAGCATGCGTAAGCACACATGAAGGATAAGATTAATTCTTGTCTGCGGCCTGCGGATCCTCCCGGTGGTTCCGACCCACATTATGCAGTTATCTTCATGAGAAATCTTTAGTACAGCCGTACGAAGGCATTCCCAATGGTTACACTAACTACTCGAAGCGATGACGACGACGGACGATCCTCACTGCCGAGTTGCGAGACAAATCCGCGGGACAAGCTTGCTTGCGACCCAAGCTTGATGGTATATAAGGAGGGTTGTATCCAGACATCCTCTCGTTCAACAGCCAATCTCGTCCTCATTCATCCTCTTCCCAGTGTTGAAACGTGGGCGAACAACCTTTCCTCATGCACGTCATCTCCACCCTGGCCGGCCTGACAGCCGTTGCACCACTGGCAGCGTTCGCTAGTCCTTTGGCACGATCTTCCACCTCGCAATTGCCAATCATCAATACCACCCTGGGTGATGTGCAGGGTCAACACTCACCTTTTCGTGGCGGTGATGTGGCTGTTGTCTATAAAGGAATTCCTTTTGCTGCTCCCCCTACAGGAGACAATCGCTGGAAGGCTCCTCAACCTGCCACATCGTGGAGTGGTGTTCTCAATGCGACTGAGTTTGGTCCTCAGTGTGCCCAGACTATCAGCAGTGCGGGTATCTTCAGCAGTGGCAAGACTACTACGAGCGAGGACTGTTTATACCTGAACATCTGGACGCCCAACTACAACGACACTTCGGACATTACATCTAAGAATCTACCCGTGTACTTCTGGATCTATGGTGGTCGGTTCGAAGGAGGCTCGGGAGATGTGCTGACCTACGATGGCACCGGTCTCGCAGCCAAAGACATCATTGTCGTGACCATCAACTACCGTCTGGGTGCATTCGGTTACCTTGCCCACCCCGAGCTTTCCGCTGAGTCCGGCCACAACAGCTCCGGCAATTACGGCATCCTTGATCAGCAGGCTGCGCTGCGTTGGGTCCACGAGAACATCGCCAACTTCGGTGGAAATGCCAGTCAGATCACTGTGGGCGGACAGTCGGCCGGCTCTGCCAGCGCCCTCGACTCCATGTGGAGTCCTCTGAACAAGGGCCTGGTGGCGGGTGTCATCGCCGAAAGTGGTGCGCGTGGCCCTCACGACCCTATGACGGGTAGTGCAGCAACCAGCTACCGTACCAAAGCTGCTGCTGAAGCCCAGGGCGTTGAGCTCCTGAAGGAGTTGAATGTTACCAGCCTTGCTGCGGCCCGTAAGGTTTCTACAGAAACGTTGATTGGATACGACTCGCTCAGCGACACCATCTTCGAAGGCACCCAGTTCCAGAACCTGTCCAGCTTCTTCATGGAACCGCCCATGTGGCGCCCAAACATCGATGGCTACGTCCTCCCTTACGGCTACGGCGAGTCGCTGTCTCTTGACGCGCACCTAGACGTGCCCATCCTCACTGGAAACAACAAGGATGAATCGGGCGCCAGCCCTGACCCAGGCTTGACCGTCGCCAGCTACAAGGAGCTCTACACCGAGTTGTTCGGGAACAACGCCAGCCAATTTTTTGACCTCTACCCCGGTCAGAGCCTCGCCCAGGCGAACAACAACTCGAACGAGTTCTACCGCGACCTGAGCCGTGTCGGCACCTGGCAGTGGTCAGTGGACTGGGCCGCCGGTGGTGCCAGAAGCCCCGTCTACACCTACTACTTCACCCGCAGCCCTGCTGAGAACCGCGACGAGGGTGCGTACCACGGCTCGGAGCTCTGGTACAGCTTCAACAACATCCCCTACTCGGACTACTCCAACGTGACCTGGTACCCTTACGATTACATTGTCGAGGAGCGCATGTCCAACTACTGGGCGAACTTCATTCGGACCGGCAATCCCAACGGGGATGGACTGCCCGAGTTCGCCCCCAGCACTAAGGACAAGCAACAGACGATGTGGCTGGGCAACTCCTGGGGATCGGGCCCTCTTTCTGCTGACGACTCGCGGATTGAGTTTATGGAGGCTTGGTTGGCGACAATGCCTGAGTGGTAGTATGGGATGGTTCATCGCTATCTGATGGGTTTCTGGTGGTGCAGTGACACTGTGCGATGCTTTATGCTAGGTATTGTTTATACCTTGGTGGTCTGGGTCCTTGAAGGACACGGGACTTTCGCTTCTTGACATTCTTTTTCCTGTATATTACTACGGCAGCTACTATACTTGGGCCTGTGTGGTTTTATCTTGTATTTCACCCCGTTGTATCAAATAGAGATCACAATATATTTACTTGAGGGTAACAGCTAACCAACCAACCAATCGCAAGAACCCAAATCAATACACACCAGCTTGTTTCCTACACTCCCCAACAAGATCCACGCTATCTGCATCCATCACCGCCTTGATACCTTGAACAAATCTGTTCGAGAACATGGCCCAATAAAGAAAGCTTTTTTAGGCCATATTCTCTGATATACTATGCTACGGAGCCGTTTAAGAGCTAGTATATGAATTCGTAGAGAACTTCGAGTAGAGATATGCGTATACTGTTTTCGAGTTCCCGGTCAAACCCAATGAAGAGGTCCTGTATAAGCAACTGCATGACTGAAGGGTGTGCAATATGGAACGATTCTCATTCCCAATGCCTTGGGGGTTCTCACTCTCTTAGTGGGTCTAACCGGAAGGCCCTGGGCAGCAGTCTCGCGACGACAACAGCCTTCTTATACAGAGTCGTATGGCAAACTTTTGGTAGCACTTTACAAAGGTAAGCCTCGGTAGGGGTCATCTGAATCAACAGATAAAGAGATTTTAGTGTAAAGGGCGCGTAGATTTGGCCTCTGTCAGGCTTGCGTTAATAAGAAAAATGACAGATACACATATCTTGTGAGTAATAGAACGTATAGATGTTCAAGTCTTGTTGATAGAGAAATGCGTAGATCTTTTGGAGACACATCGGCTTGGCAATATCAGATACCTCGGCGGTAGTGGTTATCAACGAAAGGACTGGTTAATTATAAAAAGCATTAAATCTGACTCCTTGTAATGGAGGAATATACAAAAGGGATTGTCCCAGAGCCCTAAGAGGCTACAAGCTCCGGGCTCATAACCTATAAGCAATTCAATGACTCAGGGGTGGGCAATATGGAACGGTTTCTTCATTCCTTCCTTGGTGGTTCTTGATAGTCGAATGATCTGAGATATCAGCATGTAAAGCAGCATGCTAAAGGCGTTGGTCCAAGTGGCCGGATTGCTCGGAAATGCTGACATCCTGCCTGAGTAAATATTGGCAAGAGGCGGGGTTTTCCTTAGGAGATGTAGGGAGTCGGAGTCTAGGGAAAGTTGGCGTTCGCCTAAGGTGTGGTCACTCTAACGTACTAACTCCCTTCTGAGCCAGACAAGTCTGAAGCAGGAAGTGGAAGCTTCCTGTTCTGCTTCGAGGAATTGTAGGGAACGATGTATGAGACACTATTCCTCCTAGGTTGAGCTCTGCGGGATGTCTGGTCGTAGCCTCGAGGCGGAAGATGGACGCATATTGAAGATACCTTCTCGAATTTAAGAACGCAAATATGATGTGACAGATACTGTAGCGGGACTGTTTCAACAAGGTTGACGCGATACGCACTTTAGGGAGAGCGTCGGGGTGAAATCGCAGAAATTATGACCTGTGCACTCGGACAGTGGCGCAGCAGACAGAAGACGTACGTTTCAGTATCCATAGTTTGAGTGATCATATCTCAGATGACCCACTTTCCAATGCTCTTCGTGAGATGGTTGGTGTCGTGAGTGGGTTATGGGGTGTCGAGGCGGATAAATACTAGGGAGATGTCAGGGTTGATAGCTATCTCCGGCTACAATTATCCGGGGACATGAAGGATATTCTGACAGAAAGAGGGATATATCAGTGCATCAAGCAATCTTATTCTTTGAGACCAGTAACTCATCCCCTGTCGGTTGTTGAAGCGGCGGATAAGAGAAACCGATGGCGTTGATGATGATGCTTTTGGCTTGCGCAATCAAAAGTGGAGCTGCAAAGCTTGGCCCAGCCGCTCAAGCTCATCATCCCCTTCAGGAACCTGCTTGCGGATAACACATTAACCTTCATGTCTGGAACAACACTTGGTCTCTTTTTCTTCCATACAGACAAGCGAACTCTCCCACTTTAGCTTGGCAGTGCGTTGATTGCGTCATGCTTTAATTATAGAGACACCCCACCTCCCTTCAGTAACAAAGGAGATGTGATGGAGTGATAAGATGGAAATATATACATCCATTCAACTTCAAGTGCTAGCCACGCTGATGTCTGCTTGCTCCTCAGTTCAATCTGCGATTATCCTCATGATATGCTGCGTCCACATTCTCGCCGCTCTTGGACTGGGCTCATGACTGGTTTCTTTGTGTTGAGCACATTGCTTGCAGCCATCATCTTTCTAGGCATCCCTAGTCTACAGCGCTTACGCCTACGTATCGGCGTCTCATTGTTCGACTCAGGGGTACTAGGCTTGTACCCCGTTCACAAATATGTTTCGACTGATCTCGTGTCCCCGAAGCTGGAACAGGTAGCGTGGGACCCGCGATGCAGCAACGATCTGATCTTCCTCTCGGCTCGCGGCGACGCGGTCGAGCAGCCAGGACCCATGATCTTCAATGCCCAAGGGGAACTGGTGTGGAAGTTGCCACCCACCTCCGAGCGGCTGGACAATTTTCAAGTGCAAGAGTACCGCGGAGAGACCTTCTTGACCTACTGGCATGGGGTCGGAGAGAATGGCCATGGGCGCGGCTCCTGGATCATGGTATATTGACCCTTCGCATGCTGCGTTAATGGACACATATCTGACAGATCCGCTGGTTAGATGGATTCGACCTATACTCCCCGTATCGAAGTCCGAGCCGTGGGCATGGCGGAGGGAGACATGCACGAATTCCGCATCACACCCAACAACACCGCCCTCGTCATTGTCTACACCACCCAACCGGCAGACTTGAGCGATCTGGACGGGCCACAGCAAGGGTATATACACGACTGTCTCTTTCAGGAGATCGACATCGCCACCGGAGAGTTAATCTTCGAATGGCGCATGTCAGAGCATGTGCCCCTAACCAGCTCCTACGAGGCATTACTGGGCAATGGGTGGAGCCCCGCGCATCCCTACGACGTCTTCCACATGAACAGCGTCGACAAGGACGAGGCCGGCAACTACCTGGTTTCTGCCCGACACACGCACTCGATCACCAGCGTCGACGGCCGCACAGGTGCGGTGCTCTGGACGCTTGGCGGAGCGCTGAACGAGTTTGCGGATGCCTCCAACGGCTCCGCCACCGACTTCGCCTGGCAGCACCATGCGCGGTGGCAGGATAGCCAGACGATCACCCTGCTCGATAACGGCGCCAAGTGGTTCTTCGACGAGCCCACCGCCAGCCGTGGGCTAGTCTTGGAGCTGGACGTGCCCAACCGCATCGCGACTGTCAAGGCGACCTACCAGACCCCCACAGAACAGGCCACCGGCGCGCTCTCGCAAGGAAGCATGCAGTTGCTACCGGACACAGGCAACGTCTTCATCGGCTGGGGCCACTGCGCCGCGTTCACGGAGTTCGCGCCCGACGGAGAAGTGCTGTGCGACACCCATTTCGGGGCGGGTAACTGGTTCCAGCTGGGCCGGGTGATGTCCTATCGGACCACCAGGGGCCGCTGGGTTGGCCGACCCAGAACCCGACCTGACGCGGTCGTCCGCGGGTCTTCAGTATACGTGAGCTGGAATGGAGCTACAGAGGTGGCAAGGTGGCAGGCCCAACGCTGGGACGGTCGCAACATGGGCCCGCAGATGGCCTTCACTCCCGAGCAGACTGTCCCTCGCGACGGGTTCGAGACCGAGATCCCTCTCTCTGGCGAAGCAGGGACGGCGGTCTATTTCCGAGTGGCCGCCCTAGACGCGCAGGGTCAGGTCCTCGGAGTCTCCCAGGTGATGGGGCAGCAATACCAAGGTTGGGGCGAGCGGTTCGCGAGCCGATATCTCGACCCCATGTCGAGTGAAGTGGAGACGACGCTGGTCCTGGTCGGCGGTTGTCTGAGCTGGTGTGTCTTTCTGCTCTGGAGATGGATTGTGAATCGCAGGTGGCAGCGCCGGGGATATAAGCCTCTGTCGCTGGAGATGTCAGATCGATATAGCACAGACGATTCCCAAGCAGTCTTAGGATGAGTCGCATGGTCTGGATGTAGATCTCGCAGTCAATATTCTTCTGTGTTTTTTTCTTTTTTTTTCACGCGTATATCACTATAGCAGCTACTGTACTTTGAACCTGTATGATCTTGTATTGAAACCATTGCATTAAATAGAGACCACAAACGCATCTATTCGAACCAAACACCACCCACTCAGTAACCCCAAACACCCAACTCACCATCCACCAACCTATATCTCACATCCTCAGCCACTAACCCCACTCCATCACGCCCTCCGACTCTCCAACTCACTCCCCCTTCTGCCCCCCCTTTCCCTCCCCCTTCTTCTCCCCCTCGTTATCCTCTTCACACCCATTAACCATCAAAAACCTCCTCTTCTCCCACCCCACCACATCCCCCCCCAAATTCCCCTTCCGCAGCACCCGTCCCGGCACCACACCCTTCTCCTCCAACCACATCAGCGGCCAAAACACCACACACCCCACAATACAAAACAGCGTCGCCCACGTCTGCGCCGCCAGCACCAACAACTGCCCAAAGCCCCAGGGCATGACGAACTTGACGAACTCCGACGGCTGGTAGAAGTCCTCCTGCTTCTTGATGTAGTAGCGTTTCCCGGACCCCTGGACGGGGGTGCGCCCGTCCTCCGGGTCGGTGGTCAGGTCGAGGACCGTGGTCAGGGTCACCGGCGCCACGTGGAAGGGCACCAGCCAGATGGAGAAGATTTGGGAGATGGTGAGGTACAGTTTCAGACTGGGTTTGTCGAATGCTTTTTTGCGGGTTGTGGTTAGCGGTTGGTTGGTTGTAGGGCCCGGGGGTTCGCTACGTCACGTACCAACCGATTGCACCTCGAGTTCGATCCGCGGGGACATGATCTTGTACCATTGGTAGATCTTCTCGATGAACCAGCGGCTGCCCGGGTAGCTCCAGACGCGGCAGAAGGGGTGGACGAAGGCGGCGGACGGGGTGAAGAATCTCTGGATCGTGCGCTCTTGGTCTTGCGGGGTGGATTGGGTCAGGTGGTGGATTATGGTGGTGATTTCGGAGGCTGTTCGCGATGTTAGTGGGGGTTTGGAGTTGTGGTGGTGGTGGAGACTTACCTGGGTCTTCCATGTTGAGTGATTGATTGGTGCTTGATGTTAGGGATAGGGTGAATTGGTGAAACACTACTAGATAGTAAGTTGAATTGAGGTTGGGATGATGCTGGTTCAATGGGAATGGATTTAAAATATAGGCAGGGTTGATACAATGAAGTGATTGAGGGATGATGTCACCGGTTGCGTTGCATGTGAAAATCCCGGATTCTCGGAACGAGTAAACTCTTCACTCCACCCTTAGTAACGAACAATCTGGACAATATCTGGACAAAGAATCACGACTTTTCATGGTATCGAATGTTATCTGAAAATACTCCACACAAAAAAAAAAACACAAACAAAGCATAGAAATCACCGCTTCCAGCTGTCAACCTTCTTGCGCCGCTTCTCGAAGATCTGACCTACTCCCACTCCATCGTCCCGCTGGCCATCCTCGGTGACCTTGCGTTTCCGACTCTTGTCCAATGCACCTCCGCTGCCCTTGGCCCGGCGAGTGAGTTTCGTGATCCGGTCGGCGCCCGCGGTAAGGTCCCTCCAATCTTCACCACCGTACTGGTTCTGCGGTCCCTCGGCCCGGAGTCGCTTGGCACGGTCCTTCTTGCTTTCCTTCATCAGGCGCACAAAGTTGGTCTCTTCGTATGCCGTCCGCTCGGCCTCCCGCTCGCGCTCCTTCTTCGACTTCGTGTGTCGACCACCCTGCACAATCGTGCTACCAATGCTCGGCTCCGCCATAGGAGCGGACGACATCTCCGCGCTAACGAACTCGTCAATGACATTTGACCGCTGCGCGGGCCGCTCGCGACGCTCTTTCCGCTCGGTTGTGGGTAGAGCCGTAGGCATGATCCGGGGCGGTCTGTAGATACCATCGCCGGCGGGTTCTTGGCCGAACTTGTCGGGTCTGGCTTGGGGTTCCGCCTTCTTCGAGAACGCCGAGACATTGGGCCGGTAGGCCATCTCGTCGATGTCCTCTCCATCTCCCTCCTCCTCGTCCTCCTCATCGCTGTCTCCCTCGCTGTCGCTGCTGCCCTCGGATCCGGAATCCTCAGCGTCGGAGCCCTTGGCCTTCTTGCTCTTGCCCGTAGAAACACCATCCCGCTCTGCGCGCTCGGCATCCTCCGCGGCCTTGATGACTTTGTCCACCTGGTACTTCAGTCTACCCTCCAGCGGGCGGACACCGCGGTCCAGGTAGACGCGTAGCTCCACGAGTTTCTTGACGATGTCCTCCGGGAGGGACTCGTCGACATCCTCGTCTACTTCATCTTTCTTCAGGCCTCGCAGTTGGAAGATGATCAAGAAGACGAGGTTCTGGAGGTATGACAGGAGGAGGTCGGATTTGGTGTCGAGAAGCGAAATGCCGTCTTGCGGCGGCTCGATCGACACATCGGAGGGGGTTTCCCGTTCGGCCTTGGGCAGGGACGAGCCGGTGTTGTTCAAACATGTAGTGAGAGTTTCCAGGAGAGCGGAGACATTCTGCAGGCCCGAAGGCGCGGTTTGCGACACTGCCGCCGCCATTGCGATTTGATGGGTGTGTGTGCTTTCGTTCTGATGTGTTTGGCCGCGGAAGATTTCGATGGGAAATTTTTAGAGATGGCTTATCGGCACGTGCCGATTAAGTCCTTAGTGTCCTTAGTCAATGGAAACGGGATGTCACGTGGGCCAAGAGCGACGAGCTGGCCTCAACAACGGGAGCAACTGTGAAGTGACGACGCTCCCGCCGTTCTGGGAACAGCTCGGTTTGGTCTCTCCCAATTCTTCTTTTCTCCCATTCCCTTCCCTCATAAAGGTGCCGCATTCCTCCGCCCTTCGAGTTGGTTTCTGCTACAGTCCCCCCTCGAGCGGCCAACTCGTGCGATCTTCGAGAATCGCTTGTGGCGTGGAAGCTACCATCTGTGAGTTTCATTCCCAAACAAAAGCTACGCATACTATCGGTGGCTAGGCCCGGCCCCGAGCATCCTATCTCTTGGCCTCCTCTCAGATGCCACGGACACGAGCTAATATACCGCCCGCCTCTTTCTAGAATCGCCCACGATGTGGTTCAGCAATCGAGCGCTGCCTTTGACCACCCTTCTTCTTTCTGCCCCTTCGTTGTCCGCCGCTTTCTACCTCCCCGGTGTTGCCCCGACCTCGTACGATGAGGGTCAGTCGGTGCCGCTCTACGTGAACCACCTCACCCCCGGTCTCGCGCAGCAGGACGAGCAGCTGCACTCCGTCTTCTCCTACGACTACTATCACCCGGCCTTCAGGTTCTGCGCTCCCGAGGGCGGGCCCAAGGATGTCCGGGAATCATTAGGGTCCATTCTGTTCGGCGACCGGATCCAAACGTCACCGCTGGAGCTGCACATGGGCAAGAACGAGACCTGCAAGGCCATCTGTGGCACGGCCACCTTCGACGCCCGCAGTGCGAAGTTCGTCAACCGGAGGATCGAGCAGGGATACAACATCAACTGGCTGGTTGACGGTCTGCCCGGCGCCCAGATCAACATGGAGGCTGTGACCCAGGACAAGTTCTACAGCCCGGGATTCGCGCTCGGCTCAATCAACGATGACGGCCTTCCGGTGCTGAACAACCATTTCGAGATCCTGATCGACTATCATCGGGTCGGGTACGGGGCCCAAGATAAGTACCGCGTCGTCGGTGTGCTTGTGCAACCCGAGTCGCGGGCCAACGCTCGGATCTTGGAAGACGGGACCGCGGAGTGCGAAACGGATGGGACTGGCGTTGTTCTGAACGAGGAAGGTGAGACGACTGTGGCTTGGACCTACAGTGTCTACTGGCGTGAGTCGTCCACCCCGTGGGCGACCCGTTGGGATAAGTACCTGCACGTCTACGATCCCAAGATCCATTGGTTTTCTCTGATCAACTCGGCCGTGTTCGTGGTGTTCCTCGTGGGTATGGTCAGCATGATCCTTATCCGGGCTCTGAAGAAGGATATCGCTCGCTATAACAGACTCGACATGATCAACCTGGATGATTTCGATAGCACTTCGGCGGCCGTGGAGGATGGCATCCAGGAGGATTCGGGCTGGAAGTTGGTTCATGGCGATGTGTTCCGGTGCCCTAAGGCTCCCCTGCTGCTCAGCGTGCTTGTGGGCAATGGCGCTCAGCTCTTCATGATGACCGGTGTCACCGTTGGTAAGCTGCCTTACAATCAATTTGCATGTCATGGCATTGACTTTTATGGACAGTGTTTGCCCTCTTCGGTCTCCTCTCCCCTGCGAATCGTGGCTTCCTTGCGACGGCCATTCTCATTATTTACACGCTCTTTGGCTTCATCGGAGGCTATGTCTCGGCTCGTGTCTACAAGTCATTGGGTGGGGATGCCTGGAAGCGCAATATCATCATGACCCCTGTGCTGGTCCCGGCCCTTATCTTCGGCACTTTCTTCCTGCTGAACCTCTTTGTCTGGGCCAAGGGATCCAGCGGAGCTGTACCCTTCACCACCATGCTCGCTCTGGTCATGATTTGGTTCGTCATCAGCGTGCCGCTCAGTGTGGCAGGAAGCTGGCTCGGATTCAAACAACAGGTAGATCACTCCCGAGCGTGCCGACGGCGAGTCTTGCTAACGAGTTGACAGGCCATTGAGGGTCCGACCAAGACCAACCAAATCCCGCGCCAAGTGCCGCCCATGGCTGGCACGCTCCGCCCGATTCCGTCGCTCCTGTTGACCGGCATTCTGCCCTTCGGAGCCATCTTTGTGGAGCTCTATTTCATCATGACTTCGCTCTGGACCAACAAGATCTACTACATGTTTGGGTTCCTGTTCCTTTGCTATGGCTTGATGGTCATTACCTCGGCTGCCACGACGGTTTTGTTGGTTTATTTCCTGCTGTGTGCGGAGAACTACCGGTGGCACTGGAGGGCGTTTGCCGGCGCGGGAATGACCGGAGTGTACGTGTTCCTGAACGCCTTGCTGTTCTGGATCACGCGGGTCAGTTTTGGTGGCCTCACGGGTGCTGTTCTGTACATTGGTTATTCCGCCTTGATCGGCTTCGTGGTCTTTATTCTGACCGGTATGTTGTCGTCCCTCTTGAGATTGGCGATGCCTTCAGAGTATTCAACTGACCATTAATGAACAGGCTCGATTGGCTTCTTTGCTAGCTGGGCGTTTGTGCAGCGCATCTACGGCTCGATCAAGGTCGACTAGAGAATCTGCAGTCACAATTTTTGATCGCGTCGTCAACTCGGCCCGCTCCCTGTGGAGCCACCGAGGCGTTTTGCGTCGCCCAGGCCAACCAGACAAACCCCCTTCCACTGCCTCATCCGGGGTATGACTGCTATTATTAACTCCCCCCGGCGTTAGACTTTCGCAGACTCTGGGACAATGGTTCGCACTCGTGAAGCATGACCATTTCCTGGGAATCATGTCGTTTTTGTACCACGTAGGCCCAGTCGGTCGCTGGTCGCTGCTCTTGTCATTTTTATGAGATAGTTGTCACGATCCCTTGTCTAGGATATCCCATGTAAAGCGACAGTTTATTGTTCTATTGCTTTGTGCATGATTCGTGCTTTCCTCTGTCATACTGCGCTGGTATTTGTTGTTTTGTTCCTTATTTTTTTTTTTGGAGGGGTGGCTGTACATAAATCGGGGGAACGAGTGACGGACGGATTGACTGTTGATTTCTGAAAAGGGCAATTGATGGGGGGATGGGGGAGACCCATTGGGCGGTGTCCGTATGTGACTATGTGTACAATATGATGGAAGAGTGTGGAGTGGAGACAGTAGGAGAGAGGGTGACGAAGAGATGTGCATGTTGTGAGGATCTAGCCCAACCCAAGTCAACCCAAGTCGTGTTTCATCCGCAAGGGCAATTGCCAAGGCCGCACATAAACATGTTCTGGACCGGCGGCTCGGGGCTATGAAGGAAGGAAGCATCACCGATTCGATCCCTCGGGCGTCGCCACTACTTTTCCTCTGGCCCAGTTCTCATTTCTCATTTCTCATTTCTCATTTCTCAACTAAATCGGATTCCTCTTCTTGTTCGTGTTCTGTTCTTTCTAATTCATCCTGCTATTTTGCGACGTCACCCTCATCTTCACGTCTACACTACACACTAGGATTACACTACACCACCATACTATCTCCCACTAACAGCCTCGGTCCCTTTATTCCCTCTTATCGGTCCCACCACCGCCGCTTGTTTTACCCCGCGCTATCCGAAACTCCGTGTCTTCTCTCGTCCTTCTCTGCGCCGTCCATCCCGCACACGCATCCCTGACGCACCCCTCTCTTACCCTTCTATATCACCCAAATCGGCACTGTGGTGTACGCATAGTTGACAATGGGCAAGTCGTAAGTGATGCGCTTCCCCAGTTGTCCCGCGTCGCCGTTCAAGAGGCGGACGGAGAGATGGAGACGCAAGCCAGGGCGCGATACAATGTTTTGGGGCGTTGTGTCGCAGATGAATCTCTTGGGACTTTTCTCTTCATGAGATAAACCCAGTCTAGATCTGTCTTCTAGCCCTCTGCGCACCCCATGCTCTGCAAAACCTCTTGCATGAACCCCCTCTCTCCCGGTCGAACCCTTATCCGCCGCGCGGCGACGGCTTCCTCCCTCGTTCCAAACATGTACTCATGTTGTCACATTACCCGCAAACCACAAAACTAACGTCATGTTTTGTTCTACGGTAGACAGTCGAAGCTCTCCCCCGCTCAGCTGGACGAACTCCAAAAGGCGACACATTTCGATAAGAAGGAACTGCAGCAATGGTACAAGGGTGAGTGCCTTTTTTCGTCGGATCTATATACACATGCAGCATATGCCTTGAGAGCGAGCACCACAGCCCACCAGCAGCTCAAGACGCAAAGCCAAGAACCGCTTGCGAAAAGATGTACAATAGAAAGTACAGGAGCTAACCTCCCCGATCACGGAACAGGCTTCCTCAAAGACTGCCCGTCGGGCACCCTCACCAAGGAAGAGTTCCAGAAGATCTATCGCCAGTTCTTCCCCTTCGGCGACCCGTCCTCGTTCGCGAACTACGTGTTCCGGGTGTTCGACTCGGACAACAGCGGGATGATCGACTTCAAGGAGTTCATCTGTGCCTTGTCGGTGACCTCCCGGGGCAAGATGGAGGATAAGCTGGACTGGGCATTCCAGCTGTACGATATCGACGGCGACGGGAAGATCACGTACGATGAGATGCTGGCGATCGTGGAGGCGATCTACAAGATGGTGCGTCGTGCCCCCACTTTGTCCTATGGGCTGTTCCCTGAATTCCATCCCCACCGCCCCCCGAAAACTGGCTAATTCTTCCCGTGCAGGTCGGCTCGATGGTAAAACTCCCTGAAGACGAAGACACCCCCGAGAAACGGGTGCGCAAGATCTTCCGCATGATGGACAAGGACGAGAACGGGAGCCTGGACATGGAGGAGTTCAAGGAGGGGAGCAAACGGGATGAGACGATCGTGAGCGCCCTCTCGCTGTACGATGGGTTGGTATAGAGCGCCTCTCAGCCGCCCACTGCTTGCATGTTGTTGTTCTTTTTAACTGGAATTCTCTCCGCTCGGTGAAACTTGGCGCTTACTAGTTCTCGACTTGTTCTTGTTCTTGTTCTTCTTTTCCATTGTGCCTTTTTCCCGCTGTGCTTTTTTACAGTGTGCTATATGGTGCTCTCTATGTCACGTGATACATGTTTTCATCTCGTTGTTTCGCTAAGGATTCCCTACGAATTAATGTTTGTGCTTGCGTTTTGATGTGTGCGGGACATTTATGGGATCTTTTCTTTTCTTTTCCTTCTTCTTTTATGGTTTGTGAGTGTATGTGTTTATCTACATCCAAGACAGTCCGTCCAATTAGGGTGCGGGGTGAGGGGTCATAGTCAGCGTTATTGCAGTGCGCGCGCTCTCTCTCTCTCTCTTCTAAACCTGGTGGTATTGTCTTCTGTATTATGTTCTCGCCTTGTGGATTATACAAACGCTTGACTTTTCTTTCCTGGCGGCAGGGTTTTGTGCTTAGTCTTCTTCATCCTTCCCATATACTTTCTCGATGTACATGTCTGCTGTTGCTGCTGCTGCTGCTCCTGTATACTCACTAGATCCCCGAGGCGGGTTCAAGGGTAGGGACCGAGATTTGTAAATACACTCCAAGATGTCATTGCTCGCTTACGTTATCTTGCAGACATGGCTACATTTCGGTACTATCCTCACCCGCGGCCTACAATGAGGTGAGCATAATTTCGGCAATGCCGATATCAGGAAACCATAGGATCTGGTTCAAATGTAAGGCATCTCGATCTCGACCCGCAATTCTCATTGCTTGGTTCTGTTTCTATCATGGATCGTCACGTACAAGAGGGTGGTGGGAGTCCGGGGGTTGTCATCTAGACACAACGACTGTCCATCTATAATTTGTAGGGGGAATTCTTATGCGACAGAGAGCGGTGGTAGGGGGTATAGATAGATAGGCAAGTAGGAGGTAAGTAGGCGGTGGAGGGGGCGGTGGGGGTATGAGATTTCCATCTAAACAGAGAATCAAAAGTATATCCCCTCAACTTTCGAGACCAAGTAAAAGCAAGGCAGGGCAAGGCAAGAAGCACAAGAATCGCAAATGATATCATATGTAATCATGCCTCATGCCTTGCAGTCAGACAGAAAAAAAAAAGAGAGAGAGAGAATGGTTGGGATATCTTCTTTCCTCCCTAATCAATACGAGAGGGCGAAAAAAAAACACGACGTGGGCTTCATTCCTTTCGGCTTCACACATGATGCAACAGAAAAAGTATTTTCGGAGAATGAGAAAGATAATACACAATGAAAAAGAAAAATCGTGAGATATCATCGTCTATCGAAGAACCAGCTCGTGCGCTTGGCGCCAGTCTCCTGCGACTGGACGCCGGCTACGGGAGCACTGCTCTCATTTCCTCCGCCGCCGCCTCGGAGAGGCTTGGCGATTCGGGAGCCGCTGAAGTTGAAGCCGCCGCTGGCGTCCATGCTGGGGAGTCCGCGGGTCGAGCCCTGCTTCGCGGCCTCGAGGCGCTCCTTAACGGCGGTGAGTTGGGCTTCGAAGCTGTTGTTGGTGAGATGCGTGGTTAGCTTGAGGTCTTGTCTTATGAGGGGATGGGGTTAGCCGGAGAGGGATCCCTACCGGTGGTTCGCTTGGGTGAGTTTCTCCTGGCTCTCCTGGAGCAGGCTCTCCAAGCTGGCAATCCGCTCATTCCGGGCGATCAACTTTCGCTCCGCGATGGCGACCTCCTTCTTCAGGCTGCTGTTCTGCTCGACCAGCTGGCGCTGCACGTGGGTGAGCTGCTCAAGGTTGCGCTCCAGAAACGCCATCTTCTTCTGCTGCGCCCGGTTGTTCGAGGAGCGGAGGACGTTGTTGTATTGCTCGCGAGCATCATCCAGCGATATCTCGAGCTCGACCACCCGCTCGCAGCGGTTCTGCAGATCCCGCATCAGGGACTTCTTCATGGCGTCGAAATCGGCGATCTGCTGCTGCAGGTTCTTGCCCGCCGTGCCGTTGGTGGACACCCGGGTCTGCGAGTCGGCAAGGGACTGGCGCAGCTTGCCCAGTTCTTCGTCCTTGCGTGCAATCTCGCTGCGCAGGTCCGTGACGGCCTGCATCTCCGCCTCCTTGCGCGTAACGTACACCTTCTCCAACCGCTCCCGGATTTCCTCCACGTCGCCCTCGCCCAGGTTTCGTTCCAGAAGGGTCTCGTATTCTCGCTCGATAGTCGCCAGCTTCTGTTCAACTTCCGCCCTGCGGCTGTCCTGCAGCTCGCTTAGCTCGCCCCGGTCATTCATAGTAAGCTCAGCCTGGCGTATGAATCCCTGGGTTTCCTGCAGACTAGTGCGCAGCTCCAGTAGGTCGTCGGGCGCGATCGTCTCCCCGGCTTCGCTGATCTTGTGCAGTTCGTCCACGCGTGACAGCAGTTCCTTAAGCTTGCGTTCGTTGTCGGAGAACACATCTCCGCCCAGGTCGAAGCCCGCCATCATCTTCGCCATCTTTTCGGCCTTCTTCTTTTCCTTCTCGTCCAGCGCAGCGCTGGTCTCCTTGGCCTTCATCCGTACGTCGAGCAACTGCTGCTTCACGTCGTCCAATTCAGTGGTCAACTCCGAATTGGCTTCGCGAAGACTGTCCATGGTGATGGAAGCTTCCTTGCTCTCATATGACACCTTCTCCAATTGCATACGAAGCTCGTTCACCTCGGTGGTGAGCTTGTCGTTGTCCTTGCCCGAACGTGCGGTGTTCTCCTTCATGCTCTTCAACTCCTCCCGAGCCTCGCGCAGGCCCCGCTCAATGCTAGCAATGTGAGACTCTTTCTCCGCAATCTGGTCCTGCAGCTCGTTCTCCCGTCTCAGGAACTCTTCCCGCTCATCCTTCTCGAGAACCAGGCTTGGTGTGCTGGAACGGTCACCTAATCTGGAGTCGGGACGAGGAGTCTCCGAGCGGGGAATGTCCTGGAAGCGAGAGGGAGTGCCAGGTCGAGGGGCACGAGCCTCGGCCTTAGCCGCACTGACGACTTCCGAGCCTCTTGAAGGAGTCCAACGATCCTTGGGAACTGCTTCACCACTGCGCCACACATGAACTTCCGTCTCCAGCGCCGAGATATAGGTCTCGAAGTTGGTCACTTGACTCTGGGCCTTGCGGAGGAGCTGCTTCAATTCCGCCGGGCTGAGCTCTGCGTTCACCTTCGCCTTGTTCTTGATAGCCTTGGCGCGCACACCGAATCGCAGGGTCGAGATGGTTTCCGCATCGTTGTAGCTACTGGGCGAGCAGTTGATGATCAAGGTTGTCCGCGAGTTACCTCCCAAACTTTCTTGCAGAATTCGAGTGAGCTTGGAATCACGGTAGGGAATGTGCGTCGATTTGCCGTCCGTCAGCGCGTTGATGACCATGCCCAGAGCACTCAAACTCTTGTTGATCTTCTTCGCTTCCTCTAGAGTCTGACCACTCGCACCGGTCTTACCGACCTTCTCACTACCCGCCAGATCGACTAAGAAGAGCTGACCGCTCTTGGCCGATCCGGTCTCCAGATTCTTCTGTGTAACGGTAATGACGAAGATAGAATGCGACCGAGAGGATTCCTGGTTCATGTTGGTCGCCGCAACCGCTCTGGCCGCACCACCCCGGCGCATCACCTCGTACACCTCCTGGACGCTGGACACATAGACCTCCAGCAGGCCCTTGACGTAGACGCCACGAGACTTCTCCTCGTGCACCGGCAGGTTGTCGTTCTGCGGTACGAGCAAGTCGCGAATCCGCTCCATGTAGATCTCCATGTAACTGACCCGCACCGTGTACTCGATGTTACTGGGACTGGTGAGGATGCTGGCGAAGATCTGCTCGACGATGCGCGGAATGATACCCTTGCCGATGTCGTCGTCGATGTCGGAACCCATCATCGTATACGACTTTCCCGCACCCGTCTGGCCGTACGCGAAAACCGTGCCGTTATAGCCGTTCAGGATGTCATCCACAGTCGGTCGGATCGAGAAGTTGAAGACATCCTGCTGCTTCGAGTCCATGGGGAACACTTGATCGAAAGTGAAGGCTCCAGAGCCTTCTTTGGACTGTGGACATGCGTGAAAAGCCGGGATTTAGCAAAAACTGGGAACATAATCCCTCCCTCCCCGGCACTCTTGCTCTTCGGAAGATGAGGGTGAGAAGAGAAAGGTCGCGGGACACCTCAAAACGTTCACCTGAACAGGAGCACTCACGTTGACGACACATGATTGTTCATTCTCGAATTCCACGATCGGTTCACCCCCGGACGCCAATTCGACTTTGTTCTGCGGTCGGAATCTCGCAACCACTGTGTCGCGGAGCGAGTTAGCTTAGTGGACACCATGACTTCACCTTCAAGCCCGAAGAACAAGAGGGGAGATAAACACAATAAACTGAGGGGGATGGAGAATGCGCACCCTTAATGGTGTTGGGGCCGTTGGGGCCAGATGACCTGTCAAGTCGAAAAATCCATCAGTTCTCGTTGCCGCGTGCGCGTTGTGAGAGTTGCCCACGAGGTAAGTGTGGGTTGAAGCGGTGAACAGGGGGGTGGGAGGGGAGTAGCAAGAGCCAAAACAAACATACGCCATGATCACTCTGACCCGGACTCAAGGTGAGGCCGATGAAGAGGAAAAGGGTGTGAATGACAAAGAGAAAGAGAAATAAAAAGGAAACAAGGAACCCCAGAGGGGGAGGGGGGTGTTGCGAAAATGGGAGAGGGGTGTTCGTTCAGATCACAAGAAGGTAATAATGAGAGAACAGGCTTGGGAGATGGAGAGCGGAGAGTAAGTACGAGTAAGTCAGTAAGTTAGTAGACGGACAGAACGGACAGACGGGACGGGACAGACTAGACTAACTAACTAACTAAACTACGGTTTGGGTCAGGGGTCCACGTGCAATTACGAGTAGGCCGGGCGGTCAGAAAGAACCACGACTTTAGCATCTCCCAATTTCGTGTTTCAGAAAAGAAGGCATTACAGTACAACGCAGTCAACCAGCTATGCTCGTGACGTGGGGTCATGGTCATCTCTGCCTAAGAAGTCTGAAGAAGTTTTGCATTCTTATCGGGCATTGAGGGAGGGGAGTTGGAATGAACTAGGCGCATCAAACCTGTCTGTTGCAATAACTAAAGTTACCGAGCTCGACTTTCTCTACCCAAACCGAATTCTGCCTGGCACTTGTCTGCCAACTTCATTACTTCATCGGAATGCCTTAGTTCCACGACATAAATTTTTGACTAGGCAGGAATGTTGGGGTGAGACTACATCATGGCGGAACTGAAATCACTGGCAGACGGTCTGTGAATGGAAACTCAAATTGGAAAAGAATGCAAAGCAGGCCGAGTGGTCGGGCCGAGTATCTGACATGCAGTAGTAGTAAAGAGTAAGGAGACACCAAAGTCAAATGCATTCAAGTGAAACAACAAACAACAAACAACATGAGCATAACATGAAACCGATGCAGTTATTCATAATTACCAATGGGAGATCACGATAAGAAGAACAGATCAAGATGTAACCAGGCGCCAAAACCCCACGCTGTGCACGTCATCAACGGGGTGCAAGTCCCTTGGGTTCACTGCCCTTGCATCTCCACAAGAGCATGATCAATGCCTTGGGCATCAAGCCCAGGTGGAACACAGGGCAAGACATTGTCAACATCGCCATGAACCAAGAGATCCAAACCCGCGTATAGCAATATATCATAGTCGTCTCCCCTCCTCTCTCGTCTCTAATCTTCCCAGCTCTTCTCGACGGTCTCGCGCACTCGCTTGATGTACTCCTTGCGGTTATCTTTGTACAGGTTCGAGGCTTCTACATTGGCGGGGGAAGAGGTGTTCGGGTCGTTGAGCAAGCTATAGACAGAAAAGCGTTCGTTAGCATCGTTTTATTCCCGCCTCGTGATTGATCGGGGATAAGCAAGGCAGACAAGAGTCCTTACCTCTGAATACTGGTAAGGATCGCGGCCACGTCATAGGTTGGGCTCCAACGGTTCTGGAGGATGTCCAAGCAGAGCTCGCCCGTACCGTAGACATTCGGATGGAACATCTGGCTGATGAATTTGACGCCTGGAGGCTTGTTGGGATACTGCTCCTCGAAGTGCATCACGAGCCGGAATGTGCCGTCCTCAAAGGGCGTATCAGCGGGTCCGATAATGACCGCATTCCTGGAGCGGTTATCAGACTCAGACTCCATTGCGAGAGAGAACATCGAGACAGTTAGGATCAACTCACCAGGTCATGACATTGTCTGCTACAGGAGACGCGGAAACTCCAGCAGGAGGGTCAGTTTGCATACGCTAAGATGAAGCATAGCTGTTAGCTCATGTAGCTTGGCCTTGGTCGATAATCGATAAAAAGCTTAAAGCGAGTCTTGAGACAAGAGACCCATTTCAACGCAAGGGACATAGGGTTGGATCCCACTAACGCAGCAGACAGCTACGTACCTTGAAATCGCGCATAAGGCGACGACGGGCAGAGGTCGACATTGTGGCGGGGTATCAGCGGTATGAACGAGGAGCTATCGGAAGCTGATCCAAGAACAAGTCAGGGTGCACGACTGCAGGTGGCAAAGATCACGGATGAGTGGCAGAGGGTGGGCGATGTGAGGGAAATATGAGGCGAAGAGGATGAGATCTCTCAGGCCGAAAGTCTGAGTAATAAGACAACGAGGAGTTGAAGGCAGTGGAGAATCGGTCGGATGGAGTTCGGAAAGAGGAGAACAAACGGACGATAGTCGGAGCGGGAGGATGGGATGAGTAGGGCGGGCGGGCGTTGATCCTCACTGTTGGACTGCACCGTCAGAGACTCAGAGTGTTTGTTAGTTTTGTTGGACCAGTCACTGACCGTTGATTCAGCCAGCCTGAAGAACTAACCACGATAGGCATGGTGTGCTCATGCCATCCGAATTACCTAATGCTTATCCAGACACCCGGTGACTCTCACCGCCCGCTTGATCGGGAAGCATAGCATGCAGCCGGCTGCAGGCTCGGCCCCGTGCACGTGATTACGCATGAAGTGTGAGTGCAATCTTTCTCCTTCCCGCCCACATTGGACTAACCCGAAGCAGGAACAACTATAGATTCGTCCCGCCATACAATCGCTATAGCTGGAGACAGCATTCCAGCAATCAAAGGGATGTCAAGCAGTGCCGGTCGTTGACCAAATGCTCTGTGATAAATTCGACACACTTTAAAAAAAAATCCATATCTCAATCATGAGAAGTTGTTGAATACCACCGCTGTCTCGAGATGCTAGGACCGTTGGAATTGCCGTTATTCCCCTCCTGCTCAGATTGCCTGGCCTGGTCGGCAGACGGGGAACTGGCCATCGGTGCGGGGGAATACGTCCAGGTCCTGGTCAGTCGTTTGTCCATCACTATCGAGCCTATGCGAATGATTTGCTAACTGCGAACAGACCCCCAAGACGGCCAATGAAAAAGCTGAACAGGGTCCTGTGCAAAAAGCCATCAACGACTGGCATTCCAATCGGTTCAGGGTCAATGTTTTCACTGAAAGCGAATGGCCAACCATCTATCCCCAGAAGCGCGACAATTTCTCTCTTGGCGGCGAGCAGTCCCTTAGCACCGTGGTAGGTCTGGCCTGGTCCCCTCCAGGACTCGCCAAGTTCCGGCGCTGTGTGCTCGCCGTCTTCACCTCCAATCTGCTGCTTTCCCTCTATGAGCCTGTCGGGATCCAAGGCAAATGGACGCGCGTAGCCATCGTCAACGACTCCCTGAAACTGCAATTCCAACCCCAGATCCAGGATGAGGGCTTGGCTCTGCGGAAATCATACATTCGGTCTTTTTCGTGGTCATCGCCTCTGAAAGTACCTATCGCGGAGCAAAATGCGGACTCACTAGCAATTTCCGGCGTCGAGAGTCGCTGGGGCCATCACCTGTTATCAGTTGCAAATGACTCTAAGGATGTGATCTTCCTGCGAATACGAAGCTTGGTAGCAGTACATAGTCCAAGGTACACCGCTGATGTGCTCGCCTTAACTTCCTTGAATAAACCCTTTGTGAGCTATCCTGAGGCTCAGCCATCATCGCTCTTTGCCGCTACACTACAATCCAAAGCCATTGTCTCATCAATGAATTGGGGCCCGTGGATCTTTCCGGGAGACGACGATCAGACGCAAAGCCCAACTGCCCGTCACGCGATAGGGAATCTGGCCGTTGTGTACGGGACAAAATTGAGGGTCCTCAGACTAGAAGTTGACCCAGCATCTCTCAAGTACGGAGCAGACATGTGTCTGCCTCCCGAGCCAGTGGCCAAGTCAGAGGAGAACGCTTCAGTGTCTTGCAAGGAACTGGAAGATCATCGTTTCACCGGTCCCATTGAATGGATCAGTCTGGTAAGACAGGAACTCACAGGGATTTAATACTCGATTAACAACCACACCAGGGTAATGCGCAGGCTCTTTCTTTGGCTGCGGGTGTCTTTGGGGGCCTCGCTCTTATCACAATGCCTCACTCAGCATATGAAGGACATGAGCAGAAATCCACACAGATTGAGTTCAAACACCTACCATTCTATGAGGACACGGCGGCAGAGATCCAGTCCAAAGCCCCAAGGCACTGGGATCCAATATCATGTAAGCAATATTCTGTCAACCACACTAGTCCTAGCCCAGGCTGACACGGGAAAGCCATGACTGTCACACGAGACCCTGAGTCTCAGAATCTCGTGCTGCATGTAGGAACAGGCGGCGGCTACGCGATAACGAAACAATTCTCCTCGGAGCAGGAGGACCAGCCATTCTCCAAGGCCCCCTGGAAAAACCAAATCGACGACATGCGGGAACAGTTCGACTTCAATCGAGATTTCGGAGGCCTCGCCGTGGCCAGGATCTGGGGCCTGACCTCATGCAAGGGCATCGTTGCGAGCGCTACCACGCTCCACCCGGGAGACGTCATTGAATACCGCACAGCCGCCGAAGACCGAGTGATCGTCACCTTCTCCACGACCACTGGTGAAGTCGCAGACGAGCTCCCCAGCGGGCCAACAGCGACATCGGACCCCAGCTCTGCCTCTGGCCCTGACTCCCCCAGTACAAGGCGCGATGCGGCCCTCCGGCACATTCTACAGTCCCAAAACGACGAAGGCGACAGCCCACCACTGCCACTGTCTGGTAGATTATTATACGCAGCAGCATGCTCCGCCATTGTCGATTGCGCCAATAGGGAGATCATGGCGCAAGCCCGCCAGGTTCTCATCAGACTCGCTACCATCACGGGCGCCGATCTGACCGAGGAGATTTCCAAATGCTCCACCTCCAAGAACACGGTAAAGGCCAAGTCCGCCGAGGAACTCAGCGGGCCAGGGAGCCCTCTATTCGAGAGATGCGATATCTGCGATGCCGGCCTTGCTTGGTATTCGAACCAGGAAGCGCAATGCGCCGCGGGCCACCTCTTCGGTATGTAGCACCCCCAGAAACAATGGTATGCTATCCTGCACATCAAACTAACAAACCTTTCCTGAATGTAGTGCGGTGTGGCTTGACGTCGCTAGCTATCCAAGACCCCGGGGTATCCAAATTCTGTTCCGGCTGTGGGAAAGAGTATCTGAACGAGGACGAGATGGACTCGTCCGATGCGGATCTCCAACGGTCTTGTCAACGTCTGTTCGACATGTTCGATACGTGCACCTTCTGCGGCGGGAAATTCCGTCCGTGATGTGAAGGTAGTTACCGGTATATAGCTCAGTAAATAAGTTACTTAACATGACGATAAATGCTGCTCTCGCCCAATAGCTCGCTTACGGAAGTAGTAAATGGCTATGTGTATTTATTATATCGCTAATGGCACTAATACAGCCCCAGCAGCTTGCCCGCCACGGGATTCCACTCATCATCCCAACGACGGGCACTCTCTTGACGAGCCCCGTCACGCAGCCTTTCCAGCTTCGCATCATCCCCAAACAGCTCCACAAGATGGCTGACCAGCTCCTCCGCGCTGCCGAACCCACGCCCATTGACCCCCTCCGTCACCAGCTCCGGCCACGCCTCGAACCGGTTCCACCCCACCACCGGCAAACCCGCGCCAAACATGTCCACGACCTTCATGGGCAGATCCACGCCACTGCTGCTGGTGTGCAGGCTGACGCCCAGCGACGCCGACGCCAGCAGGCGCGCGTAGTCCTCCATGCTCAACCACGCGGTGCGGATCGTCACATGCTCCAGCTTCCCCGCCGCTTCCAGCTCCCGAATGCGCCGGAGGTACATCTCCTTCTGGGGTCCCTTGCCCGTGATGATCGCCAAGATGGCAGGGAGTTTCGTGGGCTCCTCGCCGCCGCCGCCGCTGCCGCCGCCGCTCTGCTGCTGCCGCGCCAGCAAGGAGTATCGGCACAGGGCGTCGATGAGCACGGAGAAGTCCTCGTCCGCGGTCCAGGAGGTGGAGCTGACCAGGACGCGGAGGGCGTTGGTTGCGATGAGCGGGCGCACGGGTTCGGACTGCGGGAGGGAGTTGAGGAAGGCGGCGCGCGCGGCGCGGTCCGGGATGGGCTGGAAGTGGTCGGCGGGCCGGTCGTGGAGAGGCAAGATCGCGGCGTGATCGTTACGGATCCCGAAGTCCCGCTTGAGGACCGTGGCCATCGCGTTGGTGACGCAGAGGTGTGCTGTCGCGTATCGGCTGAAGAATCGCTCGTAGCGCTGCGAGAGGCGGACGAGCGGGTGCGTGTCGCCGAGCTTGAGGGCCAGGATCGTGTAGCCGAAGTTGTGCCAGTCGATTATTAGGCTGGTCTGCCGGAGGAGGCAGGTGAGGGAGGCGATGGCGAGGGTGGGGATGGATGGGGGGTTCTATTGTGGGAATGGGGGTGTTAGCAGGGTTGGTAGGTGTGGTAGGTGAGTAAATTATGCGGGGTGACGACTGACTTGCACGAGAAGCCATTTGGCTGGTTTGGTTCGGTAGGCGAGAATCCACCAGAGACATCCGATCTGGAATAGCACTTTGAGGGGTCCGAAGAGGAGGAAGAGGAGCTTGTTGCTTGTTTGGAGGAAGATCGGGTGCGGGGGGAGCGCGACGATGGATATCCGGGGATGGGAGGTGATTTCGGGGTGGACTTCCGATTCTGAACAAGCTATATATTAGTTTCAAACTATACGACTGCAATTGGTTCTGTTCGCGCACCGTGGTAGCCGATGATGTCCACTTGGCCTCCGCCTCTTGCTACACTGAGCGCATGGTATTGCATGCGCGGGCTGCGACCGATGTCCCCTAGTACGAGAATCTGGACGGTTGTCTTGGGGTTTTCGGGGCCATCTTTTCCAGAGGCAGGTTGGGGTGTATATCTTGAAGGGGCTAGGAGAATGATTGCCAGCGTGAGCGCTGTCGATGCGTAAAAGGCGATGCTGATGAGAGTTGCGAGCATGGTGACGACGGATCAAGCTCTTGGGGGGTTATGAGATTGGTGACAGATGATCCAGCATCGTGCACAGCAATAGAATTAAAGAATGGAGTGCGATCAATAGGCGTCTCAGCCGTGTATCGTTTAGCTTAACAAGCAGAAGTATGTCGATTGATCCTGATCCTGCGCGACAATGGAAGAAAGAAACCTAGAGCTCTGGGGACAAGCTGGCCGATGAACGGAACCCCACACCGGAGTACGGAGACACACACACACCACGCCGGGCGCGTCAGAATAACAAATCGGGCAAATTGACAACAGGCGCGCGGCTCGCATTGATAGGTTACATGCCACTGGACCAATTAAGTATCTTCGGCATTTACTCCTCTGATTATCTTTCGGTCTAGCTTTATCTCTCTTACCCCGGATCATCCCCTCCTAAGTTAAGTGAGTGCTTTGGGGACTGATTGATTACTCTTTCTAAGTTTCCTCACACTCGATCTGACGTGTGTTCCTGAAATGTCAGGCAACGACCGAGATAGGTCCCAGCTGAAAGGCTAATCACGTGGCGCTCGTTATCACCGCCGGCCGATCGTCGCGCCGCTATCTGGGGGCTATTCATCCATCATCATCAGCGTTCTAAGATCGCCACAAGCGCCCTTCGCGGTCGCTCCTTTCTCTTCCATTCATTCCCTTTCCATTGACGCTATGCTGCATCTTCTGCTTTTATCTTCCGACCTATCATTTTTGCTGAGCTCTTAAAGCTCAATTGTTCTGCTTCTAGGCAGCTAGCTGTTCCCTGAAACCTCGGCTCAAGCACCGGCCTCTCACGAACCCCCTTCGGCTGTTGGCTGGACACTTGCAACGACTGTGCATAGCGCAGCGAAATTGACACGATGTCGGCCGGGACACCCGTCTCTATCGTGGAGACAGCCCCCCCTAATCATGGGCTTGGTCATTCTCGTGGTCACCGTTCGCGATCGTCTCGCAGGTCGCACGGGCCAGTTTCCATTTCGGCCTCCTCTTTCGACCTGTCTTCAGCAAATCAACAGCCCCCACAACCTGTGATCAGCCCTGTGCTTCCCAATGGCAACTCTGGAGATTCCGCCGGACATGCTCATCACCATACACACTCCCATGCATCCAATCATAGCGTCTGGGAAGCATCTGCTCATGAGCACTCCGTCTCTTCATGCAACCATGCACATCACACGAAGAATGATGGCGCTGCAGGGCTGATTGGTGCTCAATCGCTCGATGCATCAGTCGGGCCTGGGCCAAATACAATGTGAGTTCCCCAGTCGCGCTCTTCTAGCCAGTAATAACAATTGGAGAAGTCAAGATGCTCTCGCTGGACCCCTCCTGGCTCTGCCATGGATCGCCCTTTCCTGGTATTACCAACACCATGCGCATTGGAAGATACAACAGAGAATCTCAGACGATCCTGACGCAATCGCTTCGAGTATCGGCAAATTAGAACAAGTCGAACGGAAGACCGCCATGCTGACAGCAGTTACACTGATACTATATGGATGCGGACAGATCGTGCGATCGGCACAGCGGGGAGGATTCGACTCCCCTTCTGCACTTCCCCCGGTGAATTCAAGCACGGCAAGGGTGGCACTTCTGCAAGCGGCTTCTCTTGCTTTGCCCATATATGCTGGTCTGAAAATTGGAGGGTTTCTGGTGGCTTTCAGCTTGCTCCTTGCGGTAGCCTCTGGAGTGCCTACGCTCCTCCAGGGGAATGGAGCCCACAGCAGTGGCCAATTTCGATTCAGCCAAAAGAAAACAAGCGGTGCTGTTCTTGTCGCGGTCATCGTGCTGAGCTTTTTGGGCTTGAATGCAACCTGGGATGATCACCCTTTCTTCGGTTACGCTTCTTTGCTTGTGTCCGTCTTTGTACTTCGTCCTCCCCTCTCAGGGGCCAAGTCGGTTGATGTTGACCTCTCTACTCCCGCATCGTCCAAGAAGCAGCTTTCAGAGTCGGGTGCAAGCCCTACTTCAGCTGGTGATTCTGTGTTGGCTATTTTGTCAGGCTTGTCGCTGACACTCGTCACCATTGTTGTTTCCGGGAACATCTCGTTCGAGGTCCCTGACGTGATTTATCACCTTGCCGCCTCTGGTGCATTTGCAATCAGTCTAGTCTCTATTGCCCCTTCGCATCTACAGTCGCCGCATAAACTAGGCCTCATTCTTGGGACGGGTAGCGCTGCCCTATTCTCCTCGCCTCCGCTACAGGACAACGCTCAGGTCATCTATGTCTCTCGGATCATCGTTTCACTCGTCTCCTACCTTGCCGTCCGGTTTGATGGAAAGAATCTGCGCCATTCTGCGCATTCCCATACTCATGAGCAGCACAGCCATTCATCTGCCGATGCTTCCAAAATCACCAGATTTATCCTCCACCACAGCGAATCGTATCCCCTTCTGTACAGTATTCTCAAGGAAACCGATTCGCGACGCATTTTCTACTTTATGTGGTAAGTTCCCGTACCACCCTAATATGTTTCACCATTGCTAACCCTTTTCAGCCTTAACTTCAGCTTCATGCTCGTTCAATTGGCATACGGCTTCTTAACTGGGTCCCTGGGACTGCTCAGCGATAGTATTCACATGTTCTTTGACTGCCTTGCTCTAGTCGTTGGTCTTTGTGCTGCTGTCATGAGCAAATGGCCTCCGAGTTCGAGGTTCCCCTACGGCTATGGCAAAGTCGACACGCTGTCTGGTTTTGCCAACGGCATCTTCCTCATGTGAGCAATGCGAACGACCATGCTTATGGCCTACGACTAATAGTATGCAGGATCATCAGTATCGAAATTATCTATGAGGCGGTCGAGAGGCTGTCTTCTGGCAGCCAAATGCACCGCATTGGTGAGCTTCTCGTTGTCAGCATTGCGGGTCTACTAGTGAACCTCGTCGGAATCATGGCCTTTGATCATGGACATGCGCATGGTCACGACCATGGACACGGACACTCGCACGGTAACGAAAACATGCACGGCATCTTCTTACATATTCTCGCCGATACGCTGGGATCTGTGGCTGTGGTGATCTCGACCATTCTAGTTCACTACTCTGGCTGGCCAGGGTATGATCCCATCGCCTCGTGCTTGATCGCAATCTTGATTTTCGCCTCGGCAGTCCCGCTTGTCAGCAGCACAGCGAAGACTCTATTACTGGCGTTACCGGCTGATGTGGAGTACAATGTGCGCGAAGCTCTAGCCGGTGTCAGTACTCTCCGAGGAGTTGTCGGGTACACGGTACCTCGATTCTGGCTGGACGATACAGGCAAGGAGTCTTCTGGTCACCACCACCACCACCATAGTCATGATCATGGTCACAGCCACTCCCACGGTCATAGCCAGAGTCACGGTCATGACCATGATCATGAACACAACCATTCGCACTCCCACAGCCATGGTCATGGCAGTGATCACTCGCACTCTCACTCTCCCACCCACAATCATGCCCATGGCCACAGCCACGATCACGGCAGTCACTCTCTTTCCCACAGCCATGACCACCACGACCACTCCCACGACACCCATAACCCCAAACTCCTCGGCGTCATCCACGTGATCGCTTCCCGCGGCGCTGACCTTGAAGACGTCCGCCAGCGCACAGTCAACTATCTTCGCGAGAAAGACATGGACATCCTTGTTCAGGTCGAGCGCGAAGGAGACGGCCGGTGTTGGTGCGGCGGAGGTGGAAACAAAACCTCCTAAAGCATTTCAGATTCTTTTTTCCTTCTAAAATATACATAATCTTTCTATGATGACTCTGGATCGGGCTGGATAGACCGGTCTTAAGGGTTTTTCGTTGATCTTCCCCCTGATTTACTTCACATGACGCTGTATGTATGTGTCGATGTATGTATGTATCTATGTCTCATTCAACTTTCGCCCTTCTTGTCTCTCTTCTTATGAAAGTTCTTATGAAAGGGGGGTATTTTCTCAGCAATTTGGTGGCTGTCCATAACAGGGTCCGCCAATAGGTATATGATATGGGGTTATTCGTTCCAAGCAGTCGTCTGGAAGGGGTAGCGACGGATATGTACTGTACTATAGTCATTTACGAGTGTATAAGAATCAAGGGAGACCGCAACCTGTTCCATTTTTTCACATATACACGGACCAATTGAGTTACATATTGCTGTATTGTACCCCTAGCCCGATGGGTAAAAGAGAAACCGGACGCACACAAGAATGACCCATTCATCAATGAGGTTCCAATGTTACAATCCAGTCACGTCGCACATGTGCGCTCTTCACGTGAGATTGAATCATAAATTTAGTATGATCACCCTGCTCCTCCCCCATCAGCCATAGCTCTCCTAGCTTTCCAGCACGGAAAGCGTGACTTGGATGGTTCCACGTAGCCAGTGGCAGGTGGATCCCCATAACTTAAATGAAAAAATCAAAATATCAAAAGCATACTCCATCCCCGCTATAGATTCAAGCATCATGAATGGCAATATATACAGCCGCCGGATAACTACTTACTGCTGGTTGATCAAACGGTCTGTTTGGACCCCGTACCCGCTTTTCCGGATATAAAAGTAGGAAAGAAGCACAGCGGGGAGACGAGATATGGGCAGCAGTCACGGGTACTGTAGCTAGCTACCTAGCTGGGGAGCTAAGTGAGAGACAAAGCCAACATTTTCTGGAAGGTAGTGGGGAAGATTCAGGGGGGTGTTTGGCTCGGGAATTACAGTGTAGTACTGTACATTTTGAGTATGTGGAATCGAAAAATGCCGCGGTGATTCGTCGGAGCGGAAATGAGACTCGCTCAAACTCTAACTTCACCTAGGATGTAGTGAGTGATCAAGTTTGTGGAGAGAGACTTGAGATCTGATTTCCGGCATGCTTTCCTTTAGGTTTGGCGTGTGTGGACTGTACGATACCTCCCAGCTCATGGCATGTGACATGGGAGGGAAGGGAGGACGGGGCTGGTATAGGTAGCTACTACTTACTTAGGTAGCTACCATGTCCTTTGGGTAGGTCACTCTGCGAATTAAGGAATGTATGGGCTTGTGCCACCGACTCTCGGTTCTTTTTAACCTTTACTTGATCGACTCGGTTGCAGGAAGGGCTCACTAGATTTTATTCTTTGTGGTAGTTGGACTATGCAAAGGAGGGCTCTAGCATCGCGAAAGCTGCTATCGTCCAAACATTGCATCAGTGTTTATTACTGCACGTTGCTATATCACGGAGTCAGGGAATCAAGTACAGCGCAACAATATATACACAATCAGAGAAGCCCCTGATGTCCATCGCCCTCCTTTCCACCCCCTCACTGCACGAGGCAGAGATCAAGCGCAGAGGGTATGCGACCTTATTCGAGAAACACACCGTCTTCCTCACCGGCAGCACCGGCGCGCTGGGGGCCGTGCTCCTCTACAAACTCGCGGTGCAGGTCCCCACCCACAAGATATACGTCCTGGTCCGGGGGTCCCCGGACCTCGCGATCCAGAAATGGAAGAAGGCGATGCCCGTGCAGACGCAGCCGGTCCTCCGCTCCCGGAAGGTTCATTTTGTAGTTGGGGACATGACGAAACCGGACTTTGGGATCGATGCGGCAGTGATGGATGAGCTGCGCCAGCAGGTCACGCTGGTGATCCACGCGGCCGCCAAAATCACCCTGGACGCGGACGTTGCGGAGGCGGTGGAGAACAATTGTCTCCCGTCGTTGGAGATGGCGAAGATCACCTCGCGGTTCCGCAGGCTGAAGCTCTTCGTGCAGGTGTCGACGGCGTACGTGAACAGTTTCTTGCCGGATGGGCACGTGGCGGAGAAGCTGTACTCTGTTGGGGTGGAAGTGGGTGGAAAGGGTGAGGAGGATGATCCGGAGGAGCTACTAGGGGCGATCCTCAGAGGCGAAGGTTCCCCGCACGCCGAGCACTTCTCCTCTTCATATACCCATGCGAAGTATTTGATGGAGCGGCTGATGCTGAAACGGTTCCCCACGCTGCCTATGTTGCTGGTGCGTCCAACCATCTTCGGTCCGGCGGTCAGAGATCCGTATCCACATTATGCGCCGGAGAATTCCATCCCGTTGAAGAGATTCGCCTCGCTATTTCTGATGACTCATGGCGAGACCCAGACCTGGCACGCGGCCGAGGGCTATGACAGTGGTGCGAATACGTTGGATGAGATGCCGGTTGACCTGGTGGCGAATGCCTGTCTTCTTCACGCTGTTGCGGGAACGCGAGGGGTCATTCATGTCGGATCGCAGCTTTATGTGAAGACGACGCTAGACGGAATTATGCAGTTGGCGGACACGTACGCCCCACAAGGCATGCGACATGCTTTGCCGACGGTACTTTTTGTGAAAGATCGAACTATTCCGCAGTGCTTCCTTGCGGACCTAGTCAAGGTTGGCTCACGCAATTGGTTGTTTGATTGTGGTCGGTCATTCTGGTTGAAGCAGCTTGGTGGTCCGCTGAGTTTGGCAGCATGCCAACATGATGCAGACAGGATCAATAAGCAACGGGCCACAGACGCATGGGAGCGAGTGTTGCGGTCAGTAAAGCTTTAGTTTGGGCTGTCCGTGATGTTATGTCGTGATGATTCACTTTGGTCAGTTAGCTGTGGGTAGTGCTCCGATTTCGGTTGAAAGCAGGCACAAGCCATGCAAAAAGCCTAATGCAGTGCTGTTGAAGAGTAGACCGCGTTGGTTGCAGTCGATATCAAGCTCTAATCTTCCGTTCTGGCCACTGCAAAGCACCTTCCCACTGTGCATCGCAAGGACGAAGGGCACTCAGTAGCTCAGAAACCAGCGCCCTACCCGAGTTCTTTGCCCACCACACTTTACCATCAAGCTCCATTAGAAGTGCCCCCCAGTGCATGAGAACGAGTAGTGCAAGAGGCTGGCGACACCTCAATGCATGCACAAACTCCTTGCTAGCCATCGCAAGCCATCCTAGAATGGATGCTATATCGCGAGCATGGTTGTATCTACAGAAGCAGCGCCTCAGAAGTGCGACCGCTCCATCGATGATGCGATATTGCTCTTCACTAACGCTGTCCTGCATGGAGTGGCTCAAACTAGTCAGTCTATCGAAGGCGGTCTCAGTCTCGGCGTCAAGAATCGAGAGTTGTGTTTCCCAGAATCCCTTTCGAGAAGTGACCAGTTGCGTGGACAGATGGTCGCGACTGAGGGTGTATATCTTGCTGACACCATGAAGCAATTCGAAAACGACGATGATGTTCTCGGTCATCGTGTTGGTCTCCTGGCTGTCAGAAGATAACCGAGGCAGGGCGATGCCGATGACTGTGGTGATAACCGAATGCGCAAAGACAGCATCGCAATTGGCCGGAGTCAGGTTGTCTATTGCGTGCCGGAACGGAGCAAATGCCCGGTCATGATACTCCAATGCGGTGTCAATATACGACAGAGCCTCTGGTGGTTCCATGGTAGCAGCGATATGCAGCGAGGCGACTGCAAGCAACCCACTCATGAGGAAGTCATGCTGGAAAGCTTTTCGCGCGATGACAGTCTGCCAGGTGTAATGGTCTACAGGCTCGTTGCACAGACTCTGATAGGTCTCCGTGGCATATTTGTGCATCAACTCCAGCTCTCGTGTGCTAGCAAACTTAGGCGGAGCAGAGCTGCCATACCGGGATAAAGTCCGGCTGTGGCTTGCGATTTCGGGGGATAATCCTTTGATGGAAGGGACTGAAGGAGGTATGGAGCTGGTCGATGGTGAACTTATAGTGCTGCGAGCTATTGGAACCTTAAAGTATGTACACTTGAGCTCGCGGCTGGTGCAATTCGAGCAAGGTGGGCCTTGTTCATCGCACTGTACTTGAACATTAGAGGTCCGGAGTTGGTGGTGGATGAGATGAGGGATTTGACAAGCACATCCGAGAGGCGGAGGAAAAGAAACTCAACGTACCTTGACTCGGCGCTTTTTACACTGGTCGCAGCCATTGCGTGACTTTGTATGGGTCCTCCGAGGCGGCATCTTCCATTTCGACGGGGTTGCTGAGGGAGACAAACCAATGGTGATGCTCCCACGTGGGGAGAGAGCGAGACACGCCGGGAAAGTCGGCGGAGGTCACGTGCATCGGACTTATCCGTCGGCTGGCAGTTCTGGAAGGTTAGGTTACCCACTACGGCCACTAAACAAGCCACTGCTTGAGTATGAATCTCTCTTTCCGACTGCAGCATCAGCCTTCAAGGTTGGGCTTTTGAAGCACTTTCAGCTTATTATGTCCTTTAATCAGTCTATTCACATCGTCGAAATCAAAATAGCATATAAGACCATCCTGACTTTTTCCCAACACAGGTTCAGCAATGTCAACAAACAACCTATCAACATCAAATGGGCGCAGACATGCGCCTTCAGCATTGTCTTGTCCTGTCAGAGCTCAAGGATTCTAGACTTGGCACATGAGGCCCCATATTTTCCCAGTACCCAAGGCTAAATTCTCTAATGCATGCTGTCTAATATCTCAGATATTCTGCCAGTGAGCTCAGAAGCGTTGTCCCACACCCGCCGGCGCTGGGGGCGAGCCGACCCACCTTAGAGAGCAGTGGGTCGACTGCAAGCGACGATGCAATCAGATTGCCAGGTCCATCGCAGAACTTGTCCAAACCCTGGGGTCTCTTCGAGACTATTGACTTTAGCCCAGAGCCTCAGCCAAGCTTCCAATGGGGATTTGTCAGGTTTCGTCTCAACTCCCCGCACAGCGCAGCTAATGTATACTGCTGTGGGCACTCAATATTGGAGTAGGGTCAGAGGTCAGCCTTACAAGGAGGAGGGAAGGTATTGAACCCCCTTCAACCTCCTTGATTCACATACGCAGTGTGCTAGCAGCAGCAGTTTGCTTCAATTACCCTCATCATTCATCCTGTATCATCCTTTCTGAGAACTGAGAATATCGAAGTCGATGAAAGAGTTCTGTGACCTAACCACGCCATGGGGGACTTTCAGACGGTCTTGTCGTCACTTTTCTGGATCGGCACTGTTATCACCACACAGTACATGCTCAGAGGACCTCTCCCGATACTTTTCGACATCATGTCCAACAGGATGCCAGATATTCTGTCCTCGCTTCCTCCCTCGCCGGCATGGGCCCCCTTTTGGCGCACGCTGTTCCACGCAGCCCCACCAGCGTTCAGTGTCTGGTTCTGCGTCCGGATGGCCGGGCTTAGCTTCAACATAGTCATCGCACTGATGGCGTATGTATCGATTGGGGTTCTTGAGATAGTTGATATAGTGTGGGATGGCTACGAAGATGGATGGACAGAACTCCTGGTGACGGGATGCCTGGGGCAGACGATCGTTGTGTCCATCTACACGGCGGCCATCTTCTATGTTCTTTCTTTCAGGCCTAGGCAGTCAGGTATGTTGTCAATCCATTTACCACGTCAGGAGAATGAAGCTGACTAAAATGAGATATATAGATCACGAGGTAGAAGCTGGTGCAACTGAGAAGGACTCGGAGTGATCTGATAGGCGATTTGCTCTTGGATACCATCTTGCGTCCGGATCTTATCAGGTTGTCTATAAACGATGATGTCGTTCTAGAAAGACGACGGCAATAAGATCCGACCTGGAAATATAGCTGATGAACCGGAAAAAACGTTGGCGCCGAGATTAAATTAGTCTCCATGCATTTCGACTTAACGAGCTGGAGGTCTTCGAATAGACTGGCCGTCCGCCTCAGCTGTCATATGCAGCTGCCCCATTCGCTGCGCTATTTAATGCAGATATCGCCGCTTGTGAAGACATTTAAAATCACGTTACTTCCCACCGCTTCTTTGACCTTGGAACCGAGAAGAGAGAGCGCTGATTAATGCGTGTTGACCTGAATTAGCCGAAGATGAGGTCGAAAAAGTCAATCGGCTCTCCCCGCTTGTGGGGCCTTGCGAGAACGAGAACGAGAACGAGAGCGAAAGCGACCCAATCACCGTGGTTATCGACCACGTTTTTCTTGATATCGATCCACCAGTCATCAAAACGCCAGCAAATCGGGGTTAAGGAACCAATTTAAACAATTCCCCGTATTGAAATAGGCCTGATCCCCCCTCAGGCCTCCAAATTACGAACATCAATCCTGGTCGGAAACAACACGTCCATCTCTTCCTTTCTTCTTTGTCGTTCTTTTGCTTATCATAACGGTTGTTCCTGCATCGCGTTGCCGGTAGAGCTTTTTATTCCCTCATTCTGTTCTTGTCGATTTTCAAACGTCCATCACGATCACATAGACTTAATCAGCAGAAAGTTTCACACCTTGAAATCGGCAAGACTCTTCAAAATCATCACCATGAGTTACGGCACCTGCGAAAAGGTTTCTCTAGAATGCCCCGTCGAGGCGACCACCTACGGCTACTACCCCAATCTCGGCGGCAACATTTTCTTCGCGGTCTTCTACGGCATCCTGGGCGTTTTCCAGCTGGGATTCGGCATCTACTTCCGCGCCTGGACGCTGACGATCGCCATGGTCATCGGCACTTTCATGGAGCTGGCAGGGTATATCGGTCGCATACAAATGCATTACAACCCGTGGAACGAGGACGCATTCAAGCTGCAGATCGTCTGCCTCGTGCTGGCGCCCACCTTCGTCGCCGCGGGCATCTATCTCACCCTCAAGCACATCGTCCTCTCTCTGGGGCCGCAGTACTCGCGCCTCAAACCGCGCCTCTTCACTTGGATCTTTATTAGCTGCGACGTCGGGTCCCTCGTCCTCCAGGCGGCCGGAGGTGGTGTCGCCGCCGCAGCCGGCAAGACGGACCAGACCCTCCTGCAGGTCGGAGACGACATCATCATCGCTGGTATCGCGTTCCAGGTGGCGACCATGTCAGTGTGCGGGCTGATCGCGCTGGAGTTTTTCATTCGGGTCGTTCGGCATGGGCCTGGCTTGGGCGGTGATCTCAACGTGGAGGGGGTGAAGCATATACGTCTGGTTATCTATGCGGAGATCTTCGCGTATTTCACCGTGTTGATTCGGTGTATCTACCGGTAGGCTGCTTCCTTTTGCCTTGTTGTTGAGCTTACAGCAATAAAATGATTGCTAACGATGCTCTTGTTGGACAGTATTCCCGAGATGGCCGGTGGATGGGGTAATCCCCTGATGCAGAAGGAAGACGAGTTCTTGGTGTTGGATGGAATGTATGTCGTTTTTCCTCGAGTGCGCACTGGTACTTGGCTAACATGTGTGATAGGATGATCGCGTTGGGAGTGGCCGCCCTTACCGTCGTGTATCCTGCATTTTTCCTGCCGTCTATGCGGAAGGGACGGCAGACGGAGAAGGCATAGAGGCTTTTATTTATTGACATGTATACACAGATACAGATACATATATTGATACCCTGAATTTTAAGTTTGGCTGCTTTTTTCTGTGAGATGAACAAGTCCGAATCAAGCTAGACAAGTCAACGGTGCTTCCGTTCTCTGCCTTCGAGAGCAGAAGCACTTTGATAGCGTCTTTTTATCCCGGAGGTACCACCTAACTCGAGACATACATAAACAGATGATCAGATTAGATAGATAGGTCACATACTGAAAACACCACTTCGTCTATCTGTTAGTGATCGAATAGTATTTACAAGTTCAATACAAATTTTAATAAGAATCTTATGTACCTTATTTTTGTGACGAATGTAAAGTAATCTCAAAGTTGAAAGGCATAAAAAGACCAATAATGTTCTCTTTATTTACTTCCTTACTTAAGATGCTAATATTATAATTATTTACTTTATTCCAAGAACCAAGATACACAAAATATGGGGTCTCTGTGAGGTATCTATAGGATTAAACTATCTTCTAAATCTGAATCAGTAGCTCTGGTACGATGATAGTGGAGAAGCCACCCGAAGTCAGACCGCAAAGATCCCGATCCACGGCGAGTCATCCAACCCCGCATTAGCGCCTTGATGGACGGGGTACTTTTCCCCGTCAACGATGTGAAGACTTGTACTGTCCACTATAAAAAGGACTGAAAGCGTAGTAAAAGAATGTCCACGCAGACTTTGGACTTTGGCCATCCCTGCCTTCAAGGACCCCGGACGTACCCAGACTTATCGTAGGTATCGTAGCGAACCTGACTCAAAAAGTCATAGTATTGCGACAAGCATCGCCCCCGCCAGCAACTCAGCCCCCTCTCACCTACCACTCTGGTGACTCTCTCTCTGCTGCTGCTGCTGCTGCTGCTGCTCTAACAAGTCGCCCTTCTCGCCCCCTCCGACTTCGCCTTAACTTTCAAACCCATATCACAACCCCGACCACAAATCCCACAAAATCTCACCCCGCACAATGGACGCACGCAAGTCCAACTGCAACGACGCCGATATCACCAGCGAGAGCACATGCTGGCAAGAAGCCTCCGCGCGGCTGCGCACGGAACACCCGCATCTCCACGCGCAATTCGAAGGGCCATCTGGCGCCGATCTGTCCGGCCAAATCGCGCAGTCGATCATGGACGCCTGCCAAAATCACACGGTCGACAAAGATCCCCCTTCCGCGTGGACGCATCGCGATGCACACGAGAAAGCCAGAGTGCGACGGCGGGCCATGGACACGATCCTCCGAGCCGTGACGGTGTTCAGGGATGTGGGCAGCGCGGTCGCGAATCTCGACCCGTCCCATGTCGGGATCGCGTGGGCGGGCGTGAATTTGATTTTGCAGGTATTCATTCCATGTTCGAAAACCCCTGGGGAAGATTCGCTCGAGATGGCTAGCTCACCCGGAAAGCGTCACAGCTCGTGTTGAGTGGCGCCGAGCAGAACGCTGCCGCGCTGCAGGGGCTCGCGCACATCTCGCCCATCATCACGAGATATGCGAAAGTGGAGGAGATATACATGGAGCAACGACGGAAGAATGATGCGGTCACTTTCGAAAAAGACTTCAGGGCGCAGGTTGTCAAACTCTACGTCGGTATTTTGGTATATCAGGGGACGATCATCGCGCACAGTAAGCGGCACCGTATTGGTGAGTTTGTTTGCACCCGACCGGCTCCTTACTAGGTACTGATTTGTCGTCATGTAGTCCAGTATGCGAGAGCAGTTCCAAAGGTTGATGACTGGAGCACGTTATTGCAAGATATCATGGACGCGGATGCAGAGTGTAGGAAGTTTACTCGCATTTTCGATTCGGAAGGTATATCGACAACGTCCCCAATCTTGGAGTGGAGACTAGGCTGACAAAATGTGAATATCCAGAACACAGGGTCCGGCACTGGGAGCTCAAGGACATCTTGGACCAACAGGACCAGCAAATGGAAATGTTATCTCGTCAAATTGGCGATATACACGTGCAAAGTGAAGCACTATTCAGCCATGCTGATTGGCGTGGTGCGTATTATATGCAGGACCCATAAGCAGACAACTAAAATCGAGCAGAGAATACGGAAATCCTTGATTGGGTCTCAACTACCTTGCCCGGCGACGACCATACCCGAATCCTAGAGCATGGGAAGCTGAACAGCGACTACGCCAATTCAGGAGAATGGCTCTTTTCCCGACCGGAGTTTCAGTCGTGGAGTAGCGCCGATGACGACAGCCAGCCAGTACTCTGGTTGCCTGGACCAGGTAAGCGAGTGTTGCCCTGGTGAGATTCCATCGCTAAAGAAACTTTACTTGGTATCTAGTCGGCACAGGCAAGAGTTCCTTGATGTAAGCTGGCCTGGTCTCCGTTTTAGACGAAGCTGGAATCTAATTGGAGACTTCCAAAGGTGCCTTGTTATTGAACAATGTCGAAAACGATTCCTGCCCGTTGGCAAGGAAGCTCATCGACTCGCATTCTTCTACTTTTCGAGAAAACAGGGGACAGAGGAAGCAAACAGTCCGAAGACTCTGCTCCGGAGCCTTCTGCGTCAACTAGCTTGGTCACCAACCAATCGCTCAATCTCACCCGTCGTCAAAGAGAAATACCGACAATGGCAGCAAAATCAGGGCTATGGGGGTTATCGGCTGCGTACAGATGACTGTACAAAGCTGATAACGCAGCTCATCTCATCCCAGGATCATACAAAGATCATCATCGATGCTTTGGATGAATGTTCCGACTATGACGAGCTCCTGTCTTACCTAGAAGAGATTATTTCTGCAAGTCAGGGGAAAGTCAAGTTTCTACTTTCGAGTCGGATGCATGTTCCCGTGCAGCAGATTTTTGCAGAGTGTGCCCGGGTGGATGTCGGTCTCGACAGCAAAGAAGACACCGAATACTTCATCAAAACCAAGATCAAGCAGAACCAACGACGTCTGCGTCAATGCAAAGCGGTGGATCTTGAGGACCGAATGATCAAGACATTGAGTCGCCGCGCTCAAGGAATGTGAGTGCAGGAACTCAGTTCCCGGTGTCTTGTTTGCTTTCTCACTGACAGAGAATATAGGTTTCGATGGGTCGAACTGCAACTGGATATATTCTTCAGTTCCAAGTCGATTATTCGGCGCCGAGACGTCTTCGAAAGAAAACTTGACCGGCTTGAGATGGAATCTGGTATGCCAGAGTTGGAGGAAGTGTACGACGAAATTTATGAAATGAACGCGCCGGGACTCGAGGACCGCATGGTTGCGGAGCGAGCACTGAAATGGATTATGTGTTGCCGAAGACCGCTGAGCATCGAGGTCCTCGTGAAAGCGGTGTCTCTCGACTCCAAGGGTGACGTGGACGAGGCAGTGGATGCAGACTACATTTTGGCCATCTGCAGTAACTTCATCATCATCGATCATAACCAGACAGTCCAGTTTGCGCATCTTTCGGTTCGGGAATATTTGATGAGCAGCGCAAGGCATGCCTATACTACCGCTGATGCGAATACCCAGGCAGCAATGACCTCCCTCAAGTATCTGCTCGGTGAAGGCTCTCAGAGTGATGCAGATACAAGCAAAGGAGACGGATTGCTCGAGTACGCAGCGTTGTACTGGCCCATTCATTGCTCACTAGGATTGGTGGAGGCGGAAAGAGACCACTGCCTTCAGCAGCTCATTTTCAAGTTTCACGCCCCTGAAGAGCCAAGCAGTGGCTTCGCCCTGTGCTTGCGGATATGGGCAGCTGCTCTAGATGAATTCGACACCCAGGATTTGCACATTCCAATCCGAGCCAGTCTCAGTCAAACGAATTCCCCAGTGTTCACAGCATGTGTCTGGGGTTTTGCTATGGTGGTTCGGGCGGCATTATCTGGCGGCCTCGATCTAAACGAGCGCAACGATGATGGCGATGCGGCCCTGGCGGTGGCAGCCAGTTTCAACAACCCTGAGATAGTGCGGTTGCTATTGGAAGGCGGGGCAGACGCTAATGCAGTTGGAAGCATAGGAGGCTATGCACCTTTACACTACGGGGTCCGGCCATGGCGCCACGGATCCTCGCTCGAGGTGGTCAAGCTGTTGGTCCAGCACGGGGCCGACGTCTCCAAGGCGATCAAAGGCCCCGTCAACGATGGATACACCCCGTTACATCGAGCAGACCACAATGATATCGTCCGGTTCCTGCTGGATAACGGAGCTCGGGTCAATGCACAAAACGCGGCGGGCTCGACCGCTCTGCATTTGGTCGCTGGATTTGGAGCCACCGAAACCGCCCGACTGCTCCTCGAATCCGGCGCAGCACCCGGTCTAAAAGACCACCACGGCCACACGGCTTTACACGTAGCAGCGACGAACGGGAACGAGGAGATGGTCACCTACCTTTCCACGTACCTGGGTCTGGGGTCAGAGGCGAAGAAGTGGGCGCGGCAAGCACGGTTCTACAATGCAGTTGATGAAGGCGATGAGGCTCTTGTTCGGCGGCTGGTGGAGGAAGAAGAAGAAGAAGAAGAAGAAGAAGGCGTCGATATGCGCATGAGGAACTACCGGGGCGAATCCCCACTCCACTGCGCGATCAACGGCGGGCATCTGCGGGTGGCGTCGCTCCTTCTCCAGAAGGGAGCCGATATCGATGCCAAAGATAAATTCGGCGACACGGCGCTATTGATTGCCTGTAGGCAGAGACATGAGGAACGCATGGAATTCTTGCTGGACCACGGAGCGGACATCAATATTAGGAATGAGGAACGGGCCAATGGATTCACGGCACTCTCGATGGCCACGGCCCTAGGGGAGCCGCAGCTGGTGGAGATGCTGTTAAGCCGAGGGGCGAATCCACAAAGTGTGGATGTTGACTCGCTGCAGCGAGAGCGGTATGTTTCGCCTGAGCAGTTTGAGAAGGCGTTGGACGTGTTGCGTTCGCACTTGCCGACTTGAGGATGTATTTTCCGGGTGATATCCTACGACAGATACACACACTCCACTTTGAGTTATATATTTACATAACAGGGAGGTCCTGTTTCTAACTTGGAAGATTGTGGTGGTGGCTTTCCGTTTTCTTTTGCCAGTTGATCAAATTTGACTGGTTGTTTTGGATGTATACCCCTCTCTACTCATTATACAGATACACTGTGTTGGCTATTGTACAGTTTAATTGGGACTATGGCTTAGAGACAGCAGGCAGCATGGTTACAGTGTCTTACTCAAAACACATGTACTTCTACTCCCTGACATCGGAGGAACACCGCCATATAAAGCTACTAACCTCCGGCTGGTATGCTTAAAACCCTCCCGAGTCATATACTGGACATCGGCCCCCCCACCAATCGGCCCTCGTCTTCAGAATGGTCGACTGTGTCCCTGGATCAGAATAATCAGAATAAGACCCCCCATCAATGGGTATTTTTCCTGATCACGGACCACGGACCACGGACCATCCCGGGAAATCAGACTCAGGTCCACGGTACAGCGACCAGGAGCAGTGGTGTGATACAGGGCCTATTCGGCGATGCGGGGAAACGCTCGCACCGTATGATCGATCCTCCTCATCATCATCTCACACAACCTCCCCTTCTACAATCAACTTACCACTCTTCCACATCACCTTCCCAAATACTCCTCTCTTCTCTTGAACCACTACGCAAACTCTACACCTCATTTTACTCATGTCCCCCGAACAAGCAGTCATAGTGATCGGCTCCGGCCTGGCCGGGCTTTGCGCCACCACCCAACTGATCGCGCACCGCATCCCCGTCGTCATGCTCGAGCGCGCCGCCAAACCCGGCGGGAACAGCATCAAGGCCTCGTCGGGGATCAACGGCGCGCCCACGCGGTTCCAGCCCGCGCTCCAGCACGACGCCACGGACCTCTTCCTCGCCGACACGCTCGGCTCCGCCGGCGGCCCGCTCACCAGCTCCGTCGCCGAGGAGCGCGCGCGCCGCGAGAAGCTCATCAGCACGCTGGTCACGTCCTCGGCGGAGGCGGTCCATTGGCTCGCCGACGAGCAGGGCGTCGATCTGAGCACGGTCACGCAACTCGGCGGCCACAGTCGCGCGCGCACGCACCGCGGCGGCGCCGGCCAGAAGCCGCCCGGGTTCGCGATCGTGAGTGCGCTGCTGGAGTCGCTGGATCGGGAGCCGTTGTTTCAGCTGCGGACGAATGCGAAAGTCACGAGGGTGATCGGAATGAACGCGGAAGGGGCCCAACACGAGGAGGAAGAAGGTATGCTGGGGGTGGAGGTCGATGCGGGGCAGGAGGGGGGCGATAATCGGACCGAGACGCTGTATGGGCCGTTGGTGTTCGCGACGGGCGGCTTTGCTGGGGATACGCATGGGTTGTTGGAGAAGTACCGGCCGGATCTGGCGGGGATCCCGTCGACGAATGACGCGCGCGAAGGCACGCAGCCGCTGCTGGAGGCGGTCGGGGCGGCGGTCGTCGATATGGATCAGGTCCAGGTGCACCCGACGGGGTTCGTGGATGCGAAGGATCGCTCGGCGCGCGTGAAGTTTCTCGCGGCCGAGGCGCTGCGGGGTGAAGGGGGGGTCTTGCTGGATGGTCGGGGAGGGCGGTTTGTCGATGAGTTGACGACGCGCGAGAAGGTCACCGCCGCGGTCATGGCGAGCGCGAGTCCGCTGGAGGGGGAGACCACCAGTCTGCTGCGGCAGTGGGATGTCACGCTGCTGATGGATGAGGGGGCGGCGGCGGCTGCGAAAACGCATCTCGATTTCTACCTGTGGAAGGGGCTGATGCGGAAGACCACGGTCGGCGAGCTTGGGCTTGCTCTCCCTCTCGTTCGCGATACGCTCCGCGGCTATGCCGATGTGGTCTCTGGCAAAAAGCCGGACGTGTTCGGGCGGACCTCGTTCGGAAACTGGACCTTGAAGGATGTGAGTTCCGATTCGGTGGTCTACGTGGGACAAGTCACGCCCGTCGTTCATTTCACCATGGGAGGCGTCGTGATCAACGAGCACAGTCAAGTATTGGACAAGGACGGTGCTCCTATCAAAGGTCTCTGGGCTGCAGGCGAGATCACGGGCGGACTTCATGGCCAGAATCGTCTAGGAGGTTCTTCCCTTCTAGAATGTGTCGTCTTCGGGAGGATAGCCGGTGAGAATGCTGCTGCCTTCCATCAGGCACACTAGTATGAGTACCTTAGACAGGTAGGGTTCTCATCCCATGATTCATGTAGCCTGTGGGGTGTTGTTTCGCCATGACGGCGGCGCTCGGACGTGTCTGATTCTGTGCAAATATTGTCAATATTGTGTAATTGTGGAGATAATCCTCATGAGCTATCAAGTTTCTGAAATGCCATAAGCCTCGATCATTTTGTCTTACGACCAAGAGGTGACAAGCTGGTACAAGGTCGATGCAACAATTGGGTCATCCATAATTTGGTCTGTCTCTGTTTGTCGCAGAAAGTGACGGAGCGAACAAAGTTGCCTCAGATCAAGGCACAGGGCATGCAATTAGAGTCCTGCCAACATGCTGCTTAAGTACAGTACATATCCAATGGTAGGGTTGGGAAATGCAAGATGATGCAGCTGCATGTGGTCAGCCCTAGCAGATCAGCCACTCCCTTAAATTTTAGAGTCAAATAAAGTTCTATGCTCAGGAGGGTCCAGGGGCGGTTAGGATTCGAAGAAACTTCTGCCCATATTCTCTGAAGTCATAACTCCCTGGACTTCTTGTGTGCTGTAATGCATCATGGGTTCCATTGTAGCGTTAGGGGTGGCCCTCGCATGCACCGATCGGAAATGAGGATGAAGCCACATTCCTGGTC